GTGATCTTCGACTCATCACACACTTCTGTCCTGCGCCGCGCAGAAAGTTCGCAGGCTCATAGCTTTCGAGATCAGCCCATTAGTTCTGGCAACAATACGACAGCGCGTTGAATGAATTGCAATGAATGCGATAGCAAAAGAAAAGTAACCTTATATGAAGTAAAATATAAGGCTGGCAGCCAACTCTTTTGAATCCAATATCGCGGAACTCCTACAAAACGCTGGTGTGAGCAAACATGGCCGCACCAGGGAGATTAAATGCTCTTTTAACACAGTCCCTTTGGGTTGAAAGCGTACTGATACTTGCCGAGAGCCCTAAACGCTTTCGACTGCTTTTGGCCATGTCCCCTTCCCATTACCCCAGCGTAGGGTAGCAAACCGGGCATGTGCCTGGTTAACCTCCCTGCCTTCTCTCTTGTTAATCATCCCCCTCCCCCTTTGGCCATGTCCTGCGGGGGAAGTTAGCACACCAGGGAAACGTTTTGCTCGGTAGAAACTTGGTATGCCCATGGCTGTAAGTTGTGATGTCAAATAAAAGTTTAGCCTTATCGTGGGTGGTAAAAACCTAAACTTTTTCGACTGCTTTTGAGCGTGTCCTGCGGTGAAGTAAGCGCACCAGGGAAACCTTTAGCTAAGTAGGAACGTGGTACGCCTATGGCTGCAAGGCGTGACATCAGACAAAAGTTGAGCCTTAGCGTGGGTGATAAGCAGCTCAAAGTTTTTGACTGCTTTTGAGCATGTCCTGCAGTGAAGTCAGCACACCAGAAAAACGCTTAGATATAAAAGAACGTGGTACGCCCATGGCTGCAAATTGTGACGTCAGATAAAAGTTTAGCCTTATCGTGGGTGATAAGGACCTAAACTTTTCGACTGCCTTTGGGCGTGTCCTGCGGTGAAATCAGCGCACCAGGGTAGCGTTTAGCTATAGGAATGAACGTGTACGCCCATGCAAGATGTGACGTCAGACTAAGGTTGAGCCGTATATCGTGGGTGATAAGCAGCTCAACGTTTTTTACTGCTTTTGAGCATGTCCTGCAGTGAAGTCAGCACACCAGGGAAACGCTTAGATATGAAAGACCGTGGGACCCCCATGGCTGCAAGTTGTGACGTCAGATAAAAGTTGAGCCTTATTGTGGGTGATAAGGACCTCAACTTTTTCGACTGCTTTTGAGCGTGTTCCGCGGTGAAGGAAACGCACAAGAGAAACGTTTAGCTAGGAAGGGACATGGTACGCCTACGACTGCAAGATGGGACGTCAGACAAAAGTTGAGCCTTATTGTGGGTGATAAGGGCCTCAACTTTCTTGACTGTTTTTGAGGGTGTCCTGAGGTGAAGTAAGCGCACCAGGAAAACGTTTAGCTAGGTAGGAACTTGGTACACCCATGGCTGCAATTAAGTCGTGACGTCAGATAAAAGTTGAGCCTCATTGTGGGTGGTAAAAACCCCAACTTTTTAGACTGCTTTTGAGCGTGTCCTGCGGTGAAGTAAGCGCACCAAGTTAAACGCTTAGCTAGGTAGGAACGTGGTACGCCCATGGCTGCAAGTTGTGATGTCAGAGAAAAGTTGAGCCGTGGGTGATATCGTGGGTCATAAGCACGTCAACGTTTTTGACTGCTTTAATTTAAGCAAGTCCTGCAGTGAAGTCAGCATACCAGGAAAACGTTTATATAGGAAGGAACGTGGTACGCCCATGGCTGCAAGGTGTGACGTCAGACAAAAGTTGAGCCTTATCGTGGGTGATAAGCACCTCTACATTTTTGACTGTTTTTCAGCATGTCCTGCAGTAAAGTAAGCGCACAAGGGAAACGTTTAGCTAGGAAGGAACGTGGTGTGCCCATGGCTGCAAGGTGTGACGTCAGAGAAAAGTTGAGCCATATCGTGGGTGATAAGCACCTCAACGTTTTTGACTGCTTTTATATGAAAGAACGCGGTACGCCCATGGCTGCAAGGTGTGACGTCAGACAAAACTTAAGCCTTATCGTGGGTGATAAGCACCTCGACGTTTTTGACTGCTTTTGAGTATGTCCTGCAGTGAAGTTAGAGTACCAGGGAAACGTTTATTTAGGAAGGAACGTGGTACGCCCATGGCTGCAAGGTGTGACGTCACACAAAAGTTGAGCCTTATCATGGGTGATAAGCACCTCAACGTTTTTGACTGCTTTTCAGCATGTCCTGCAGTCAAGTAAGCGCACAAGGGAAACGTTTAGCTAGGAAGGAACATGGTGTGCCAATGGCTGCAAGGTACGTGTGACGTCAAAGAAAAGTTGAGCCGTATCGTGGGTGAGAATTACGGACCTCAACTTTTCGACTGCTTTTGAGCGTGTATTGCGGTGAAATCAGCGCACCAGGGTAACGTTTAGCTATAGGAAGAAATGTTTACGCCCATGCAAGATGTGACGTCAGGCAAAAGTTGAGCTTTATGGTCAGTGATAAGGACCTCAACTTTCTTGGCTGCTTTTGAGCATGTCCTGCGGTGAAGTAAGCGCACCAGGGAAATGTTAAAGTAGATAGGAACGTGGTACGCCCATGGCTGCAAGTTGTGACGTCAGATAAAAGTTGAGCCTTATGGTGGGTGATAAAGATTGATTGATTGATTTGTGGGGTTTAACATCCCAAAACCACCATTTGATTATGAGAGACGCCGTAGTGGAGGGCTCCGGAAATTTGGACCACCTGGGGTTCTTTAACGTGCACCCAAATCTGAATACACGGGCCTACAACATTTCCGCCTCCATCGGAAATGCAGCCGCCGCCGCCGCCGGGATTCGAACCCGCGACCTGCGGGTCAGCAGCCGAGTACCTTAGCCACTAGACCACCGGGGCGGGGCAAATAACCGTGGGTGATAAAGACCTATACTTTTTCGACTGATTTTGAGCGTGTCCTGCGGTGAAGTAAGCGCACAAGAGAAACGTTTAGCTAGGAAGGGACATGGTACGCCCACGACTGCAAGATGGGACGTCAGACAAAAGTTGAACCTTACAGTGGGTGATAAGGACCTCAACTTTCTTGACTGTTTTTGAGCGTGTCCTGAGGTGAAGTAAACGCACCAGGGAAACGTTTAGCTAGGTAGGAACTTGGTACGCCCATGGCTGCAATTAGGGTGTGACATCAGATAAAAGTTGAGCTTTATCGTGGGTGGTAAAAACCTCAACTTTTTCGATTGCTTTTGAGCGTGTCCTGTGGTGAAGTAAGCGCACCAGGTTAAACGCTTAGCTAGGTAGGAACGTGGGACGCCCATGGGTGCAAGTTGTGATGTCAGAGAAAAGTTGAGCCATATCGTGGGTGATAAGCACGTCAACGTTTTTTTTTACTGTTTTAATTTAGGCACGTCCTGCAGTGAAGTCAGCGTACCAGGAAAACGTTTATATAGGAAGGAACGTGGTACGCCCATGGCTGCAAGGTGTGACGTCAGAAAAAAGTTGAGCCTTATCGTCGATGATAAGCACCTCAACATTTTTGACTACATTTCAACATGTCCTGCAGTGAAGTAAGCGCACAAGGGAAACGTTTAGCTAGGAAAGAACGTGGTGTGCCCATGACTGCAAGGTGTGACCTCAGAGAAAAGTTGAGCCATATCGTGGGTGATGAAGACCTCAACTTTTTCGGCTGCTTTTTAGCGCGTCCTGCAGTGAAATCAGCACACCAGCGAAACGTTTCGCTAAAAAGAAACGTACGCCCATGACTGCAAGGTGTGACGTCAAAGAAAAGTTGAGCCATATCGTGGGTGATGAAGACCTCAACTTTTTCGGCTGCTTTTGAGCGCGTCCTGCTGTGAAATCAGCGCACCAGGGAAACGTTTCACTAAAAAGAAACGTACGCCCATGACTGCAAGGTGTGACGTCAGACGAAAGTTTAGCCTAATCGTCGGTGATAGACCTAAATCAGGAGCGGACCAAGCTACTCAATTTAAGAGGGGGGGGGGGGGGCATCACCTAAAGTTAAACCGGAAAGGGTGATATATGGTCATGACATTTCTTTTTACTAGCAGAAAAAACCCTTCGCACCATAAAAAAAAATACTGTCAGTGTGTGCTCACAGTGGTTTCACTCATTTGTCGTAATTATTGATAGCACCCCACCCCTGGATTCGGGGACTGCGAGCACCGAATCCAGGGATGGGGTGCTATCACAGAGTTTGAGGGGGGGAGGCGATCGCGCCCATTACCCCACTTCTGGATCCGCCACTGTCTGAGATGGCGAGCGCGCCTGCAGCGATTGCGATCACCCTTAAAATCAAAGTTCATTGTTGCCACTCGAGCAATCCCTAACCCCCCCCCCCCTCCCGCGTTCTTTCCATTCGAATTGGGTGGATTTTTTTTTTTGTTTTAGCATTCGACAGCAGTTTCAACACGCGGGGGAAGTTATTTTATGCGCCTTCCGGGCGATAGAGATGAGCCAATTAATCTGATCTCTGCTTCAGCTGCGCTCGCGCGCTTTTACTCCTGAAAGTTACGACGCACTGGGGCATGTAATCAATTTGGACTTAAATGTTGCGGAGCATGGCGGCGACGGCAAAAACCCGCCAAGAGTGCCTATATAATTACTATCGCAATAGTAACGAAGGTTTTTGCCGCTTAATAATAGTTTTGGGTTAGCTCTGCAGTCAGTCTCTCTTTTGATTAATTTGTACATTTATTTTCGGTATTTTCGTACCGAACCTCTATATAACAAAATCCTCTTTATGAAAAATTTTCCGTAAATATGTCAACTTTGTTAAATCTAGGCTTACCTGTATACAGCTAGATTATACAGTGTAATATACAATGCTTCTAGAGTTTTTCATAGGGAGTAAGCACTTCTAGTTAAAGTGGTCTGCGCTGGTGCAAAACACACACGCTTTGTACTAGGTAACTTCTGCACAGTCTAGAGAAAGTCTTGAAAGCCCTCAAAGGAAAGATGTATATCAAAAATTGAAAACTCACGAAAGCTTACCAGTACTCTCCAAATTTGGTACCAATATAAATTTGCATGCTGTGGTACAAGATAAAGATAACCACGGAAACAGTTTTAAGCACACATTTATTTGCGAAATATAAATAGCTTACAGTAAAAACAATACAAAATGTACATAAACCTGCGTAACAAAATATATAAGAGGACAAAAATGAAGTGGAATTTTTGTTGAAAGTACCGCTGTCGCAATTGGCACACACCAAAACATCTCGGCAATTTATTTCACTGGACGAGGAACCTTTTCAGAGAGCATATAGACTAAAATGAAATTCTTTCCCAAATAGCAAAAGAATATCAAACTTTGAGGACACTTGAGCTTTGCCTTCAAGAGCAGAATGCGATAGTGCAATTGGGGCCCTGTACACATCGCCTTTAACCATGCCGCAAGGAACATTTGTGCACTTCGCATTAGCTGTTTCCAACTGTCCCAGAGTGCCTAACGCAAGTATTGTTGCAAAGTGCCCACTTCATACCATAATTCTACATTTCACGAATCGGTGAGATACCCACTACGGGTCTGTAAGGTGCCACATGCACCAGCGCAGCTGCGCGCTTTGCAATGGGTGGGCAGCTTGATGCCATCCACTCGTTACACAATTCGCATGTTTTGACACTTGGTGCAATCTATGGTTCATGCGGTATTACATGCATTAAGGAGACTCCTCCTGCTACATGAAATTCTTGTAGCACTTTTTTTTAAGACGCAGTTTCACGTGTTGCTGTGGCTACGTGCTAGAACACCTGCTTGCCACGTGAAATGCCTTGGTTCGATTTTCACTCGAATATAATTTTCTTACCATATTTATGCAATTACAACACACACCTTCTTTCAGAAGAAAATGGGCCTTAAAGTAGCATGGGCGATAGAAACTACACCATAGCTGCCCATCGTCATGGCTATTACGTGGTGTCACCATTTATTTGTTGCTGACAACAACAGTGGCACATTTGGTTGTGGCTTTCTGCCTCGCTGGAAGCATTTACAATAGGCACAATAGGTCCCATGCTGTCATTGTGCGCAGTGCGATCCGTCAGCCACCTTGTCCAAGAATCGACGCAGCAGTTACAAAGGCTCGTCGTGTCCGCCACAAGAATAGTGTTAACTTAAGCGTTAACTTATTTTTCATAAGGAAGAAAATGGCAACAGAAGGGCAGACTATCATTTCAGCATGCCATAGACTTGCTTTCGCTATTGGCGAAAGCTGTAGAAGTGGATCTTCGAGTGCACTCTTCAAGCAAAAGTTGCCACGATCCGCATGCAGGGCGATTTCCAGATATTGAAGATGAGCTGGCAAATGAAGAAAATACTTGCACATTTCGTTCATTTGTGAAAACTGCATGCATCCACATTAAGAGCATGGAGAACAGTTTGTTATTTCTTTGGCGAAGGAAAGCAGGTGTTTTTTTTTTTTTATATATTCTTGGTTCGTCCTCATTCCATGTACTGTGAAACATTGAATTATGCTGCACCAACTAAACCAATGCTCAACCTTAGTGTTATAAGTACAACTTTAAAGTAAAAGAGTTGGCTGTATGCAATATATCAATCTATAAGCTTAAATCAATACCTACGCTGCTTAATCAATACAGTCAGGAATCACTGTTAAGCATACAAATAGTGTTAAAGTGACAATGACAACACAATGTACCACGATTTATCAAATTTACAAAACTCAAGTGGAACACTGTGGAACACCTCACAGCCATGGCCACCCTCCCCAAAATGGCAACCACAGCATATTTCACCAGTGGTGGTATATCTGAAATGAGTCTCTAAACGGCTGCTTTTAGCGCTGCCCAAACTGATCACACCTAGCACAAACAAAAATTCGTGAATAGTACACCGACACACAATGCATAAGCACATTGAACACAAAGTATGTAAAAACTTCAATAAATACATAAATATAAATAAATATCAAGGATGCTCAATTTACATCATAACACAGAAGTATTTTTGTTGCTTCTCACAATATATACAATAGTCAACCAGTTAATTGCACTTAGCCCTGTTTTGTTGAATAAATTATTTACCAAACTCTATATTGTGATACTTGAAGATATGCAAAGTGGAATCCCAGGACGGATTCTCAGTTTTATGAAGTGCTGTAGATAAAAAGAATGATAACGCACGAAGATTACATAGATGTCATGCACTGAAAATCTCATATAAACTTGATGCAAATGACTGAGGTACAAAAAAAAAACATTTCGTGAAATGGGAGGAGTAAATGAGATGAAAGAGCAGCACCATCTCTCCCAAAAACAAGAGCTTCTGGAATACCTTTCTCACGTAAAGTTAGCTATTTAGGCTTGAAAATTATGCATACTATCATGCCAAAAACAAAACACCAACATGAGAAGACAAAACTGGCTACCGCAAACCAGTTTCACGTCAATCCATAACATGGGTAAGTTTCACGAAAAATAAATGTTGCCATCAACCTAACCAGTAGCGTAAAGCTACAAAAAGATTAATAAGGATTTCTATTTCTAGACGAATACCCTTCAAAGTGAGGCTACCTTTACCACTCTTCCTGGGATTTAGAATTTGTCATCATTTCTTCACTCAATATAGCATTCATATATTTGTAAACACTGACACACACACTCTCTCTCTCTGACCAGAGTTACAAGGCCAGACAGACTACTTCCTGCTATCTGGATACCATCCAGTCTTATGGGCAACAACCTAGATTAGTTGGAATACCTGTGGAGGATAATTGCTGGGTGTATGCATCCTTTCTTGGCCGTTCCTCCAAAACAAGTTCTATTGTGTGATGCTTCTTTCGGCAAGCATCACACGTTGCCTTCGCTGTTGAAACACAGGCAGCCAACGACTAATGTCAACAAAGCTGTGCTCGTGTCATTCACTATTGCTTCCACCTTGCTAACTAAGACAAGTTTCATGTCAGTTAAGTTAAAGCAATGAGCTAGACCATCCATGTTTTTTTTTAATCAGTTCTTTTTGTTTAAAAATTCCAAGAAATCCCTATTGGTTTTCTTTGAAGCTTTATGCTGCTTTCAGGTGGATAACCTTTTTTTATGAGGTGACGAAACAGCAGTGTTCTGTCCTACCGCAGATAGAACCAGTATGTGTTAACGTGGTGTGATAGACACTTTTCGTAAAACTCTTGGCATTTCATGCTCACCCTAGTGATGACACCACCTGTCGTAGTTCAAATGAAGACAGATTTCTAGCTTCCCATGCTGGAACTTGTCATTTACACATGTTTAAATCATGCAAGTTGCATTTACACTTTCTGTGTAGTTAGGTGGGGTGACGAAATTGAAGAACTTTGCAGGCACAAAATAGAATCAGCTCGAACAAGACAAAGTAAATTGGAGATCACTGGGAGAAACCTTTGTCTTGTAGTGAACATAGACATAGGCTGAGAATGATGAGGGCAACCAAACTGTGGCTGTATGAGCTGTTTGTAGAAAAGACCACGTCACCATTGGTTGAGCGAAATGCATTGCAAGAAAGTTGTCTTTTGAAAAAAAAAAAAAAGGGGACACTACTAGCTTTAATGCTAGGTTAAACCACAATTTCCTACTCCAAAATTCAAGTAATCAAGCATGAATGTTCCATTCCACTTATTAATTTGGTTTCAATCTGGCATGATTGTAGTACAAGCAGAGAAGATGGTTCTCAATCAGTAATGAACGCATTCACTTTAAGAAAAATGAAAAATGCGAGACAATTAAATGCTACTACTAGACAATGCCATTGCATGATATGCGTGTAGCATTTAAATCTAAGCATAGACAATGGTACTAAAGGCTTTAGGCATTTGCGAACAATTCATCAGTATAAAAGACAGCACTTATCGTTGAACACCCACAAGTGCAACAGCAGTCAACGCCTCCTACACTGTCGTTTGCTGTGTAACGTGCCACCTACTAAGCTTTTTTGTTATTTCAGTGCAGGTCTCCGTTACACTGAAGTCTTGCGCTCCTTTTCATATTTAGTGCACCGAGTAACATGTACTACCACAAACAGAATACCAGAGGTGTATTAAGAACAGCAGTGCCAGGCTTGACATGTCATCACGTGTTTACTACCCAGCCCATACAGAGCTCTTGTTACAGTGGATGCCTATGCTCAACTTAGTTACCAGTATAAATATGCTGGGTTTATATAAAATTAAATAGTTGGATTTAATATTGTAAAGTACACGCAACCATATCAGAGGGGTGCACTATAATTTTTACCAACTGGGAATATTTTACGTGTGCGCTAAGTATGCAGCCCAATGAAAATTCTGCAACACCTTTCCACTGGAATGCAACCATGGTGGCTAGCCTTAAAGCCAGCAACCTTATTCACTGCTCAGCATGAGTATTCTACAGTCACAGACCCACCAATGCAGTGGATCTATAGTTGGCTGCTGCAATAAAATTTTTTAAATTTTATTTTTCACTCGTACACATTAATTGTGTAATGCAAGGCTTTTCTTAGTCACATTATCAAACTATCAAAAGATTAGGCCACCAGTACAGGTATTCCTGTCTATGCCTCTGACACTAAATAGCATGCACAGTCAGCCAAAACTATAGCTATTCTGCATGAGTGGCATATTTTCTGCATATCTTTGCCATACCACTAGATTAAGTTTCAAAAAAAGGTGAGGACAAGTGTATGCCCAAAAATCACATGTCCTCGAAGTAATTTCTTGCAACTTCGTTTTGTAATACGGCGCTGACAGACAAAAAAGTGACCGCTGCATGGAATAGCTAAAGTTTTGGCCTACTGTACTTATATGCAAGGCTATAAAAAGCCACATTTATGCTAAGCATTGGGCATGATTATTGGTCAAAGCTAAAGCAGTGAAATGTGACATGACACACACACAAAGAAAGAAACAGGCAGTACCTTTTTCTTTCTGTGTTAAGTGTTGCACAGTAGCCTCTATTTGGAGCCTACTAATGTGCACAGGTATTTTTGGTCTGGCATGGCAGCTGGTAGAACACGCACCAAAAACAAAATAACTACAAAATGACACCGCACTTTCTCAAGCAAGAGTCGAGCAGGAATAAAAAATGACGTGCCCATTGGAGCTAAACTTGGGTGAGGCTTCCCACGGCAACTCCACAGTGATCCCTGCAAAAAAATAAAGAAAGAAAGTTACAGATTCCTTAATCTTGGTATCCTCTAAATTTCAGAAAGCCTTATTTTTCGCCTGAGAAATTCTGAGAGAAAAACTCATAACAATATTACAGTATGTAGCTACTCATAAAACGACATGAAAAATTCCACACACCAGACTACGGCAACACAGAGTGCTGCTAGTGGTGAAGTAAGTATTACACAATAGTACAAAGAAAAGGTGAAATAACACTCAAAAGAAAAGTGTGCAAAACTGGTGCACAATAAGCAACGACTACAGCTATTTGCCAAGAAACAGATAGCTGAACCTGCCTGCGAGAGGATTTTGGACGAGAGGTCTTCGGTCGAGCCGACTTTCTACCCGACCGGTGCCGGCCAGGCATCTGCAGCCCATCCGGTGAGTAGCTCAAGTACACGTGAGAGATGTCTAGATCAGATTTCTGAAATAATATGGAAGCACAAAAAACAGCCGAGCTTTTGAAAGCATACAGCTAGATGCTGCTTTCAGTACTACTCCACTGTTGAGATATTGCTAGGTGCCCAAAATCAGTAATAAATATATATATATACACACACACACACGTTTCATGCTTAGCATATCATCAAAAACTGACCAATTTTATGGACTTGTCTCATCATTTGCACAGCTTTATGGCACCACCATGCATTCAACAGAACCAATTTTAGATGCTGGAACACCTTCCCGTTTCAATTTTTTACATTGTAAAATGCTTGCACTTCAGATGAAGCTGCTTTTGTCTTGGTCCTCTATGGTCACTACAGCATTTGAATCATCAAACCCTACTGCAGAGAACTCTCACTTGAGTGAACTTGAAGAGACCCAAGGAAATAGTTCACTTAACTGAAAGTTCAATGAACTGAGTATTCACTGGGATATGGAACAGCACTGGGCATAGCAGAAAGGAAGTCAAATATTTTAACTGCAATTCATTTTGAGAAGAATTCTGTCATTTTTCTTTAAACAAGGAGACGAAAGCTGTATAAAGAGTATATGTTACTGTGCACTGCCTCTGGATTAATTCATTGCTTTCTACTGTGCCCTACCGCCTCGGCTAAAGAGACAAGATTTGAACCTGCCTCTGCCACAAGAACTTCGTCGATCTCTTATTATTATTTTTTTTTTGCTTTGGACGAACACTGGTGACAATTCCCAAATCTGATAGCTCTGGGAATGATTCTGAAGTGTGTGTTGCTCATTTTCGACTCCCGCACGACCACTTTGCCTCGGAAGCACTGTACACACAAGCAATGGCGCACTGCCGTTGATGTATGAGTGATTTAGGGAGCTGCACGCATCAGCTACATTAGTGCTGCAGAGCACAAAACTTCATTAAATTTATCTACAAAATGAGCCGCCATTTGTAGATTAAGTTAGCTTAACTTAAATGATCACTATTCAGAAGTTCGCTTAACTGAAAGATTTTTGCATAGAATGTATAGCAAAACTGCGGAAATATTCTAAAAGGTCATTATTCTAATTTTGAACAGATGTTCACATGATCAAGAGTTCACTGTCATAATAAACATTAGTTGAAGCCACTACCACCACTATGTTGATTATCTCAGAACTTCAAACCAGCGCTCTCACGCACCAATCTGCTAGCTCCCTACCTTTCCCATATTCTCTCTCTCTTCCTCTCTTCCCAAGATATCAGCTTCTTCACAATGCAGAAGTGTTATGCAGCCAAGCACATGCAACGTATTGCAGTGAACCACACCATGAATGGAAAGAGGCCACCCACTGTCGCAGGACATACTGTTGTCTTGAACTACACGCCTGTGCACCCGCTAACTCCTGTCACCATACAAGCACTGAGACCGCTAAATAAGTGCCTTGGCAGGGCTATTTTAAATGTGTCAATTTGAGCACTTGAGGGCAGTAAAGAGGCATACATTCATTTATTTTTTCTTACTTTTCAGCTGATTTTGTTGTCCCCATGTACACTAAACAACCTAATCTTGAGCATTACTACAAGTGAATTTACACATAAATTTACAAATGAACCTACTGGGACTCGATCATATAACTGAAAACTTCATTCGGAAGAAAGAAGAGACATCATGGTAAACAAAGAAAAAAAATAAGCAGCACTCCAGGAAGTTTTCTTGTTCATGACACATCGTCAACTCACACCTTTATCTTCCCCTGAAATTCTGCCCTTTTTGGCACTGTACGTATGGGTGATACAAAGGAGATGGCTTTTGTGTAATCTAGCTACAGCATGTCAATTAATTTAGCTGATGCCTTAAACGAACATGAAACGAATATAAAACCTTGAAAGTGCTTTGGAGTTGGAATACAACCTGCTATTCTTATCAGATATAGTAATTCTTAAGAAGCAGAATGGTGAGTTGAGCAAATCGGTTGGTCTTTATCATAAAATAAAAACAGTGCAACTGGTTAGACACAAAGAACAGAAACAACACAAGCACTCTGCTGTTTCTTTGTGTCTATCCTGTGGTGCTGTTTTTACTTAACAACTCTTGAGAAGCAGACCCCATTTCAATGAAATAAGAAGTCTTAACTTGTACAATTTAATAAGATGCATTCCACTTTCTAACACACAACGATTATTATGGTGACAGTTGTTGGTCTGTCCAAAATGGCCTAGGGAAACTATAGGTAAGTCTGGCATTCAGAGAAAATTGATGCAACATTGTCTCAAGGTGGCGAGGAGGCTAGTGTGGAAGTTTTCAGTTTAAGACAGGGTCAACAAAGTTCTACTTTGTTGTACAGATGAGTATAAAGGTGAACAATGGCAACATGCATGCTATGCAGAGTTACGCATACCTCTGCAATAACAGTGGGTAAGTAGTAGTCTGTAGTAGAACATGCAAGATCCTTGGTGCAATTACACCACCCTTTTTAAGTGTGAATACACTTTATAAGTGCACCCCAAACCATCCACTGCCGTCGGCGGCCGCCGCAGTCTTCTCTCTATCTTTAAAAGAAAGAGGACTTGGCGGGCCGCAGCACGACGCTCTACCGAATAAGCCACGGACGCGAAGCTGATATCGGTGTCAGTAACGCGCCCTATACCCCCTCCCCCTTCGCTCGCTCCTCCGCTCTCCTCGCTCGCTGCAGCTGCGCGCGCACCCCTCTCTCTCGCGCGCCCGCCTTCTCTCTCAGTCTCCCGTCGAGAGCGGGTCGTGAGGGGGAATAAAGTTAAAATCCGTTGGCATTCGCGAGTGAGTTAACGTAAACTCCCTCGTGTGATCAAATTGCGATTCCCAGGAACCATTACACCATAAAGACACCATAGTGTGATTAATAAATATAATAGTGCGAATTAATAAATACCCCTCATAGCATCACCTCGTGTATTCGCACTTAACCATGTTTACCCTTGGGGAAATGCTAGGGAGTTTATTTGTCAGCACTTTACTTGCACAATTACTAGATGCCACTAAGTCATCAATGTTGCACACGTAAGCAACGCCACCCAAGTGAAGACACTAACCTCATGAACATTGCCAACATCAGGAGAACTCTGCTTGCACATGTTGTTTCCCGTGTATGCAATGCACTTCAGCTGCCACTCTCCAATGTCTTCGTTCCACTGGACACACCTCTCTAGAAGCTCCTGCGTTGTTGAACAGCTGAATCAGTAACTCCTTGATATAAGCTGTTAAAGCAAGAACTGGAGACCAAAAACTACTGAAATCATAACACATGCAGAATGTTTGGTGCAACTTGAAGATAAAAAAAATTGCCCGCAGCTTCCCTCGGGGGAACACTGAGGAGGATGCGGACCATATAATTGGTTAACGGGGTGTTAAAGTGCGACTTACTTGGGTCGATGGCTAAATTGGTTAACGTGGTTGTGAAATGGGGTGTTAAATTGCGACTTACTTGGGTCGATGGCTAAATTGGTTAACGTGGTTGTAGGAGGGGGTGTTAAATGAGTGAACACGTACACACGTATGCGAAAGGGCGGCGCTGGTCGAAGGGACGTCGATCATTGTGTTTGTGGATTCGTTGGAATTCATTTCACCGCGACCTTGGACGTCGACGCGCCGTACAAACCAACCGACGAGCGGCAACTGAGCGAGCGAGCGCCGACCTTGAGTATATATACAGCACGACGGCGCATGCACTGTCAGCTGTTGAATGTTCTCGAAGCGCGACGCCACATGCGCGTCCACTGGAGAATCAGGAGAATTGTAGATGTCGAACGCGGTGTGTAGAGGAGGAAGGGTGCACAGATGGTGGAGGAGTGAAGCGCGTGCGATGTGTAGAGGAGGAAGGGAACATCTTAGAGATAGGCCATTGCCTAAAAAATCTCCAAAGTAATAAGGAATAAGCATCTGCTTCCAGAAACAAAAATTAAAACCCACTGTGGCTCATTATTATGACAATGATGTTGGTTTCTTATGAAGGATGTGTAATAAATGCCAATAGAAAATTTTAGTACACACTCTGACCTTATAAGTAAATTACATTTCTGTTCCTTTACAAATCAAATTAAGTTGAACATCTAAATATCCCACACCTTAAAATGTCCTTAATATTCTGCTACACAAAGCAGTTCCACTCTAGCTCATTAATAAAAGTAAGGTGTACAGGCTGTCGTTTACCCATCTGTGGAATACAATTTGCTCGCAGGTAATACGAAGAAATACTACTGTTGTCTAAGCCCTTTCCTCCCATTAGTGCACTAATACATAGACGAGTATTTCTATTAATCTAATTGGACGTATCACCTCAAATCTTTATGTGCTGTCATACCAATTGGCACAGGCTATAAGACACACTTTCATCGTGAAATTCGCATGAAAACAAACTAACAGTAAGCACGATATCACCTTTTAACTACGGGTGTGCGAATATTTGAACTTCGAATATTCGAACAGTTATTTTGTCTTGAAAGTAGAGAAACTGAATTTGTGAAAGCAAATCAACATAAAAATCGAAAAAAACTTTCATTTTTCAACTTTCATCTCCCCTTGATTCCTGAAACCACAACACAGGCCACTACTACAGGACTACGTTAACAAAATCGTTACACGGTGAAGTCCAACAGGGTAATATACAAGTGACCAGTAGGCAGGCCCACCTGATACTCGGGTGGGATGAAAGCATCTATGAGGAGCATATTGAGCCGCAGTTCCCGGCTGAGCTGGCGCACGTTTTCGAGAAGCCCTTCAGACTCGCGCTGGTGCTCCTGACGTAGGTCGGCCATCTCTGCCTTCGCACTCATGAGCAGAGCCCAGACCTTCTTGAGCTTACGTGTCTTGCCCGCTGCCTCCTCTTGCAGAGTGGAATACCGCTCCTCCATGTCCAGCCGCTCAGCCTGCACAGTTAAAATGTGCTACAAGTAAATACCAATATCACGGCACAGCCACGGCCAAACGAAAATCCCGAAATTCTACCAGTTCCAATAATTCACAAGATGCCATTACAACTAAAGCCAAGCATAATGGGTTGCTACAAACAGAGCATTTTCACGGATCAGTTCACATTACTACAAAATTGGCACAGCGTACTATACATACAGCAGTACTTTACAGGAAACCAACAAGATGTAAAGATGTTGAGGAGATTACCATTATTTCAAACATGTTTAAACGTGATGCCAAATTGGTAAGGCAAATTTATACCTATATACTAAGCAGAGATAGTTTAAAGCCACTGTATAGTTTATAAAGACATAATTGAAAAAACCTTTCTTTTTTTTCTATATTGTCCATTACCAGTTATTAAGTCAATCTTTGCAAGTTTGTTTAACCAGGCTAGAGTTTTAACCAAGGTAGAGTAACTTTTTCTCTGCGACTTAACATGATGAGGAGCCTGCACGTGCAGTTAAGCCTGATTTTTCTAAATGTACTAATACCCCCCCCCCCCCCCAAAAAAAAAAAAACATCTACAGTTCGTACCTGAAGGAATACAACTCCACGCAGAATTCAAACACTGAAACTTGTATGGTGCACCAACCATATTTGAGAAAATAGTGTATTTGTTTATATATTGTTACAGGTGAGAGATATTTATTGCACAGGCCGGATGATAGATCGTTGCAGAAGTCAGGCTTGGCACAGAACACATTCACTTCTTTTTCCTGTACTCCACTTCAAGGAAAGTCCCGTATCATTTTCCCCATTGCAGACGATGCCCACTGGGTGAGTTAGTCAGTGTCGCGCGTGGTATGGCTTCAGCCGGGCGACATGTACAACGTCAGTTTACCTGGAGCGATGGCCAGAAGATGTGAGGTGTGATATCACGTACGTAAGGCCGCTAAGGCGCGACAAAATGACAAAGGGACCTATAAGCAGGCCAAAAACTTTTGGTACAAACCACTCTTGTGATACGGAGTCCACAGCCACACTATATCACATTCACTGTACGACACATGTCGAAGTCGCTTATCGTAGCGAGCCTTTGAACAGTCTTGGGCTGCGAAAGTTTGGAGACGTGCGATGGGCCATGCCTCCTCTGCGAGACAGAGTGTCTCTGTAAGGGATAGGTTTTCTGGCTCAAAAAACGGGAGAATTGTGTCGAGGGTAGTACGTGGCTGACGGATGTAGAAAAGGTAAAACGGGCTAAAGCCAATGGTCTCTTGTAGCACAGTGTTGTAGGCGTAGGTCATAAACGGTAAAACTTCGTCCCAGTTTTTATGCTTAGAATCAACGTACATAGCGAGCATGTTAATGAGCGCCTTGTTGACACGCTCAGTCAAACCGTTGGCCTGTGGATGGTACAAAGTGGCGTGACGAAACTGGGAAGCAGACCGGCGAATCAACTCTTCCACGAAGTCGGCTACAAACTGCTGGCCACGGTCGCTGATGATGGCACGAGGAGGGCCATGCCGGAGGATGATGTAGCGTAGCAGGAAGTCCCAATTGTGATCGGCTGTTGCGGCAGAGATCACTGCAGTTTCAGCATACCGAGCGAGGTAGTCTACACAGACTATAATTCAGCGGTTCCCAGTGATAGATTGTAGAAAAGGCCCATCAAGTCAATACCGACGACCTCAAAGGGAAAACATGGAGGCGGTATGGGATGGAGGAATCCTGGCAGCGCACTTGTTGGACTCTTGTACCGTTGACAATGCTCGCAGCTGGTCACGTATTTAGCTGTAGTCTGACGCATGCGGGGTCAGTAGAAACATTTCTGTGTGCGGTGATAGGTCTTGGCGAACCCCATATGCCCAGATGTTGGATCGTCGTGCATAGCTTGCAGCACGTTGAGTCGCAAATTATTGCGACTCAATGCGCGACTCAATTTGGGGACAACCAAAAGTAGGCGGACCCCCTCTGCAGTGAAATTTCGCATGTAAAGAATGCCATCCTGTATAACGAATGGGCTCTGAAGCGGCTTATCGATGGCAGATGAGAAAAAAGGAGCCAGACTACGGTCTTGACGTTGTTCTGTACGGAACGCTTCCAAATCTTGAAAACGTGAATCAAGAGCGGCCAGACAGTTGTCTAAATTGTTGGCGTCGCATTCAGTCGTGGGAAGGGGAAGTCGCGATAGGCAGTCAGCGTCCACGTGACAGCGGCCACTTTTGAAGCAAACATCAAAGTCATATTTTTGCAAACGGAGCGCCCATCGTGCAAGACGACCGGTTGGATCTTGTAGACCAGTGAGTCAACAAAGTGAGTGGTGGTCTGTGACGATGGATAATCGGCGGCCATAGATGTACGGGCGGAACTTGTGCACTGCGAAGACAGCTGCCAGACATTCTTGCTCTGTAACAGTGTAATTGCGCTCAGCTTTACTCAAAGAACGGCTCGCGTAGGCAATGACATGTTCGGCGGCGCCGTGACGCCAAACTAATACTGCGCCCATACCGATTCCGCTTGCATCACTGTGAACCTCAGTTGGGGCTGACACATCAAAATGACTAAGAATAGGCCCAGAAGTGAGTAGAAGCTTCAGCTGCGAAAACGATGACTTGCACTTTTTCGTCCACTTGAAGGGTACGTGTTTGTTGAGCAGATGAGTAAGAGGCTCAGCAACATTGGCGAAGCTAGGAACAAAGCGCCCGAAATACGAACACAGGCCCAGGAAGCTTCGGAATTCTCATAGTGAGCGTGGTTGAGGGAAAGTGCTGACCGCGGTGATTTTGTGGAGATCAGGCCGAACGCCGTGTTTGTCTATGAGATGGCAAAGAACTAGAGTTTCACGATCATCAAAATGACACTTTTTGGAATTCAAAGTAAGTGCTGCTTTCTCAAGGCACGTGAGAACGACATCAAGTCGACGATTGTGTTCTTCAAACGTGCGTCCAAAGATTACAACGTCATCAAGATAGCAAAGACAAACTTCCCATTTTAAGCCACGGAGAACTGTGTCCATAAAGCGCTCAAACGTGGCTGGAGCGTTACATAGACCAAATGGCATGACGTTAAATTCAAATAAACCATCTGGAGTTATAAAAGCCGTTTTTTCTTTATCGGCAGAGTGCACAGGGATTTGCTAATATCCCGATCTCAAGTCTACGGAAGAAAAGTACGAAGCAGAGTGCAAACAATCGATAACGTCATCGATGCGGGGAAGCGGATATACGTCTTTTTTTTTAACTGAGTTGAGCCGCCGGTAATCTACACAGAATCTCCAAGAGCCATTCTTCTTTTTTACAAGTATAAATGGTGCTGCCAAGGGGCTAGACGTCTCTTGTATAACTTTCTTAGACAGCATTTCTTCCACCTGCTCAGCAATAACTGTACGCTCCGACGGAGCTACTCTGTACGGTCTCTGACGAATGGGATGCGCGGAACCAGTATCAATCGCACGACGAGTACGTGAAGGTGGTGCAGAAATTCTGCGGCTATTGAGTGCGAAATCAAAAACGGTTGCATGGCTGGAGAGGATTCGAACTAACGCTTGTCTCTTCTCTGGCGATAGCAACTTATTCACCATATCCATTAGTATGTCATCACTAGGACAAGCCACATCAGACGCATTTTCCTTTTTCGTGTCGTTGCTAATGACTGCAATGTTGACATTGCTCCTGACGTTGAATTCAAACACAGCCAGCCTCATTCCACCAGGCAGTACAATCGGCTCAAAAGAGGAGTTGACCACCCATACCAAGGCTGTGCCACTACTTGCAGAAATTACGCGATGCGGCACAACCACATCCTTCTTCACACAGCTCAGCTGGATTGAGTGAACTATAACGTCAACATTATTTGCTGTGATACCACAAATACTAACAAGCACTTGAACTATGGACTGGGCCGGTAAAACTATGTCATCAACGACAGCGAAAGTCTGTTGGCATCGCCTGGGCTCTTCCCAAAAACCAGACAGTAAAACTTGGCCAGCTGCGCAATCCACAGTAGCTCCACATTCTTTCAAAAAGTCTATCTCCAGGATAACGTCATGAGTAGAATTAAGAAGAACTGCAAAATCTGCCTTAAACAATTTAGCACCGAAACTAACTGTTGCAGTACAAACTCCCACTGGGCGCAACGGTTCTCCACTCACTGCACGAAACGTTGTCTGGCTTCACCAAGAGAACATCACTTTCTTGCCAAGATGAGTCTTAAAATTTCTGCTCATGATGGAAACAGTTGCTCCTGTGTCGACTAACGCGGACGTGGGGACACCATCTATAAGAGCACTGACACTATTTTGTAGTATGGAAACTGGCGGAGGCATATCTGCATGCAGTGAAAAATGTCTGGCGACCTCACCTCCACCGGCCGCGGCGTCTAGTTTCCCAGCAGAGGAGGAGAAGTGAGACGCCGACGACCTGGTGATGGTGACCGATGCTGGCGGGAGGAGGCTGGTGGCGTCGCACAGCGCACAGAAGCCGGTGAATCGCTGCGGAAGGTCTGTTGGAAGTCGGTTCGGTAGAAGCCGCTGGGTGGCCAGCGATAATTTCTCCGAGTACTTGCGCGCCGTGAGGATGCCAGGGGGCCTTGATACTGCGGCAGAGGTGACCACTGCCGCTCTGAGCAGAGGCGGGCTATATGTCCACGAACGCCGCAGCAAAAGCACACAGGTGCTTCACGCCCACTCACTGCTGAAGATGGTCAGCGGGATAACCTTGCCACACTGCCCTATCGGGGAGTGACCTTTGCACAGAGTCGTTTCGCGGATCAGACATACAGGCATGACGAGGCAACTGTACCGGCGTCCTTGAGTCGACGAAGCCAGCAGCTTTGATGGACGCAGGCGGGGGGCGGCATGACGTATAAGAACCGTGGCCATGTGCTATCAACGGCGCAGCAGCGTCCCGCCGATCAAGTTCTTCGCGCACTATTTCTCATATTGTTGACGCCAGATCGCTGGGTGGAGGGACTACGTCGATGCTTGCGACCATTGTGACGTTGGGGAGTCTACCAAACTTTGCCGAAATGTGCCGCGCTTTAAGGGCCTCAAATGTTCGGCCATGTCGGATGATGTCATTGGCCGACTGCAAGTCATCCTTTCCTATAAGATAGTGACAGATATCCTCCGCAATGCCCTTAAGAGATGCCCGACCTTATCCTCATCAGTCATTAGTGGGTCCACACTCTTGCAAAGCTTGAGAACTTCTTCAATATACGTCGTAAATCTCTCCCCAGAGACTTGAGCACATTGGCTGAGAGTATGCTCAGCAGGCTTCTTTATCATGGTCAGATCTCCAAAACACTTCTCGATTTCGTCCACGAAATTCGCCCACGTAGTCTCCTCATAATTCTTGTACAACATCAACACGGTTCCCTTAAGAAAAAGTGGTACATAGTTGCGCTGGCCGGTAGTGTCCCAGCAGTTATACAAACTCACCTGCTGATAGTGCTTGCTTGAGCCATTCATCGACGTCCTCTCCATGTTTCCCAGAGAGCGGGCGCGGTTCCCTGTAATGGTGTCCATAGGTGTTAGGCGCAGCTGGTTGGATTTCGCCGTCAGGGTTCATGATGACTGGTAGCGGCGGAAGTCCTGCGAGTCTGCGGCTCCGGTGAAGCTCCAGGGGTGTGTCTTCCGCCGTACTTGTCCGGTGCTCCAAGGCGTTACCCAGCACTCTTCACCAATTATGTTACAGGTGAGAGATGTTTATTGTACAGGCGGGATGATAGATGGTTGCAGAAGTCAGGCCTGGCACAGAACACATTCACTTCTTTTTCCTCTACCCCACTTCAACGAAAGTCCCGTATCAATATATATTTATATATATACACACACACTGAAGCTCAGCAAATAAGAAACCTGACCCACCTCTTTCTGCTCCAGGGCTTCTCTGAGAGCAGCCTCTTTTCGCTTTCTCTCTTCAAGTTCTCGTGCACTCTCTTCCAAGAGCCGTTCTTGCTCTTCAGCCTTTTGAAGCAGGTTCTCACCTCCAACGATGATCTTCTTTTCGAGTGCATGAAGCTTTTGCATCAAACCTTCCTGCTCTTCTCTGCGAACAAAAAGCTCCAGTAGTCCAACAAAAATGGCAAAAGAATAGCTTTGGACACCCAAACATACACAAAAATTATCTTGTATTTGATGGCAGGTCGTGCTAAAAACTGAAAATATGCCCTTCCCTAAGAAGGGTTAGGGAATGAAACTGTTCCTGTCAACACTGGTCTGAAGCATAAAGAATACTTCAGCAGCCAAAAAAAAACCTGTCTAATGATGGCCAAAACTTTTCTGCTATTACTATATGGTATCATTCTGTGCATAGACAATGTTAGTACTTGAACGTGCACAATTTCGACATATAAATCCCAAGCATTTTGTATTATTTGGCCCTGTACTAAACAACATGCCTTAGTGAGCTGTACGAATCCCACCTGACACAGCTCGCAACATGCACAGTTCGACGGGGCTGTAAATACATTTAAAATAGTACAGCGGCCTCAATAATCACATCTAGTTAGCAGTTAATACCAAATGGCAACAAATGCTCTGTACGGCATCATATTGCAGGTAGGCTGTTTCCTGCACGTGGAAAGAACCAGCGCAGCAGTTGCAAGAGAGGTGGCCGTTCGCAGAGGAAGGGCTACACACAACTGTGCCGCAAAGTTACGATACAAATGTGCAGAAAACTCGGGAACAAGCAAAAAAGGGCACCAAGGGCCCACAACAATGCTAAGCACAAAATTGAGTAAAGAACCGAGAGCTTTCGAAAAGCAAGAACCAACCTTGCTGCATTCAGCTGTTGTTCTCTTATCTCGAGTTCACTAGCGAGACGATCACGCTCTTCCTGGGCCATGTCCTTTTTCTCTGACAAGGTTTTTCGGTCAGCCAAGATTTGCGCTTGTATCTCACGCATCTTCTCTTCCGAAATGGCTGCACAAACAACAAAACAGAAATTGCGCCACACAAACACAAAAATAGACATAGAAATGTATGCTTCTCAGTTTATGTAACAGTACCAGAATATGATTAAATCACCACAGATACCAGGGGACCTATATACTATATACCTATATATGTTTGTGGATACTAGGGAATTAATTATGGCTGATTTTCAAAGCAGCAAGACAACATACATGTGTCTTAGCAATGGCCTTGTGTGATTTTAGAAGCAATACAAAAAGAGAGTGTTGTTATGGCTGTACAGCCTTTTAAGGTAATCTGCCATAATTTGTACAACACCCTAATTGTGAATCAGCCTTGCAACCAAAATTAATTTCACATATTTTTCAAATAGTGTTGGCTATTTGATTTGCACAATAATTTTACTATTCAAACTATTAGAACTTGCCAAAGACAAATACAGTAAACATGCTATTGACTATGGCCCCTTCAAAATTTGTTATATGCTTCACCCCATCACATTCACATTTCAGCAAAGCTGCCCTTCAAACTCCGCTGTGGTTGTAAATGTGACTCGAGAAAACGTCAGTTCCAGCCTGGAGATGCGCTGTACTGCTATGGTGGCGCCTTCATATGTTTAATATGCCTCACTGCATCAACTTCCAGTACTACGGCAAAGCTGTCTTTACACGCCTCCGCTATGACCGTAAACAGATTGACTCTAGAAGTCGATCCGTCTACAGATCAATTCAATTATTATTCGATAACAATTCACACTTACTATTGCTATTCACTTTGCGCTCAAAATATTACTATTCCCACAGCTCTACAGAAAGCCCCTGAGTGAACAAGGCACACCCATAAAAAATTATTGATGATCCAAGAAATGTTGACACACCTGAAAAATTTCCAACTTAAAATAAACTAAACACCCAGCAATCTGTGTTTGAAATTACATTCAAGTGACCACAGGAAAGTTGCACCTCTCAATCTGTCAAAAGAAATACAACCAGCATGCCTGTGATTTCTACTAATTAAACACTGCACTATTGCCTTCCCAATGAGTAACTTGGTTCAAAACTTCCTTTACTAGCTAAATCAATATAAATGCAGTTGAAAAGCAGATGAGCTTTTCTTATAATCACATAGAGGCAATTACCCAACAATTTGACAATATTGTGCCTTTGGTGACTTTTTTTCATTCAAAGAAAGATCATTACCTAATTAAATCGATGTAGAAGTCAGTATTACAGTGATAAAACACCAGCAAGAAGGCATTTATCAAGAATATGCAGCGTGCATGAGGCATTCAAAGCACTGTAATCAAATCAATAACCGGGAGTACAAATTAGCTCACAGAAAGACATCCGTAACTCGCAAACCTTTCTTCCGTTTCCGCTTGTCCTTTTTATCGGTGCTATCATCACCACAGCTAGCTTCTTCACTGCTTTCATCCTCAGGTGTTGATTCGTCAGCCCCTGAAAAGTAACGAACACACTAAGTGATTAGAAATTTACGCCCTACTATTAGCTTTAGCATCATTTTAAGGAAGTATTTTTTCCATTGAAGCTACTGCACTGAGGTACGTGATTAGTAAATTTGCACATTCTGCTAGGTGAACACAGAGAATTCACATCTGTCACTACATTTGTAAAAGCCTACTGCTGCCACTTCAACATCTTGTCAACCATCAGCTGTTTCTCCTTTGCCTTGGTTACTTCCATTTACTATTAATGAATAAGATGGGGTCAATCTCGTAGCAATGCTAAGTAGCCACAATTTTTTAAAATGAAGTTCTCGAGTTTAACCAGCCAAAGACGCAATTTGATTATGACGCACATTGTCCGCCTCGATGGTAGAGTAGTGGTTACGGCGCAGGGCTGCTCAAAGTCGCCGGTTCGATTCCAACTGCGGCAGTCGCATTTCAATGGAGGCGAAATGCTGGAGCCCCATGCACTTTACGTTGTCCGTGCACTTTTAAAGAACACCCAGATGGTCAAAATTTCTAGAGCCCTCCACTACAGCGTCCCTCATAATCATATTGTGGTTTCTGCACGCAAAACCTCAGATATTATTGATTACGAGGCATACCGCAGTGGGGTACTAGAAGTTAATTTTGACAACTTCGTTTTTTTTTTTTTTGTTCACGTTCATCTGAATCTAAGTACACAACCATTTCCGCACTACACCCTCAGTGCTATGCACACACTGAGGCTGGCATTGATCTCACGACGTTAAGCTCAATAGTGCAATGCCATTGCAATCAAACTACCAATGGAAGATCACTATTTCCCCACTGATTAGTCATCCCGAAGCATGCGCAAATTCAAAGTTTTAACTCTACAACATAAAACTTCAGCTTGTACCGAGTACACAGCAGTAAAGCTCGACTATTGTTGATTTATAAAAAGGAAAAGGCTGCACACCTTCTGCAGTTGTTTTCTGAGGTCCTCGATTTCCTTTTGAAACTGACGAAGCAGGGCATCCTTTGGATCTTCGTTGATTCTGGCCTTGTTCTTGATGTTCTTGGCTCGGTTGGCATAACGAAGAGCGCTAATTGTTTCATCGTAGTTATAGTCGGCAGGGCCAATGTTGGTGCACTACAAAACATCAATAAAATATGTAAGCACCCAAAAAAAAAAGCTGTGATGAACGTTTCTAAAGTTTTGTACCAGGACATTAAATGTCTGAGCACTTATCCATTATCGTACAGCACGACGGCACTAAAGTAAAAAATATGGCAATTTTTACAGGTCTGCCAGTGACTCAATTAGCTTTCAATAGGAAGCATTATGGGAAGACAGACAGAATTTCCCCGAGAACTGCAAAAATTTGACAAGCTGAAGGCATCCCATCAACTCGCCAAGAGCAAGGCTGCACAACACCAACAACACATTTTCCCAAAACGAACATAACCAATGGCTGAGCACCAATGCAAGGCAATTCATCTTATCATGTACTAATCTTGATCAAGTCGTCCCGTGGCAGCCACAGCTGAAAGTCTCAGGACTAACCTGGCACTTACCAATATTTAAAGGTATACTAAAGGCAAACAACAGTTCGCATCAGAGTGAAAGATCAATGTTTTGAAATCTCTAAAATGGCATATTTATCAACAGCAGTGCTTTACTAACGAGAAATTTACATAAATGTACAACACGACATGCACTGTGAGTGAGACATTTTGGAAATGATCCCAATGACGTCAAATTGTCTGACTGCAATTATCACTGGTATCCAAATTATCTGCAGTTAAAAAAGAATCTTCCATGCATTATAACAGCTAATAAAATGCTGCTTGTACGTTTCTGTTTGATTCATATAAAAAAGAACAGCCTGGAATTACTATGGAAAATTGTGCGAGTGGTCCAATAGTTTCGTTTTTGCCTGGTTAAGCTGGATAGGCAGTTCCATCTAGCCAAGCCTAGTTGATCCAAGCAATCAAGAAATAGTTCGAAGGCTGTTGTTCCTGCTGTGCCTCCTGCTACTGTCACTTTTCTGCTGCTAGCGTAGGTGGCTGCGCAGTAAAAGTGGGCTACGTTGGGCAAGGCAACTGTTATGTCAGGAGGTCTGTCTTGAGGTGGGTAATTTGAAGTGTGCCAAGACCGTGTGGACCATTAAAACGGTGATGATTTTATTTCAAAATAAGCATTTCCTTGGCACGAAAGTAGCACTACGAGGTTTCTGGACCACTATTTCAGCAATCAACACCGACTTTATATTTGCCTTTAGTTTTCCTTCAACTGTCACAATGACAGCTCAACACTGATTTGGTGTCCAAAAATGCCACATACTGCTGAAGCCTGTTTATGACTACTTCACCTTTCACGGGGCTTACACAGTTAAAAATCCAAAAGAACTGCATAGTTCAGTATGTGATTGATAAAGCCACATCTACAAAACAAAGAAGTCTAAGTTCTTGACACTTTTGGCTTTCAGTTCCGGTTGGGCTAGAAGTATAAGCTGATAACATTGAAAGAAGAGTTAAAATAGCCAACTATAGTCAGTGTTACACTTAAAATGGTTCACTGGATGTAGAAATTATAGGAAACATGAATGTCTCGAAATGTTGGGCAGGCAGCCTAGAACTCGCATTGCATTCTGCAGCAATAGGCACATTCCACAGTGACCTAGGTAAGGTGAGGATAGGTCCAATTAGGTTAGTACAACACAATGTTGCAGACTGAATAACAAAGGCATACCACTACATAAAAAAAAAAAAACTATCCCAAGCAAACTTTTGGAACTGACCATGAATACCCAGCACTGAATGCTTTATTCAGTGACGGAAAGTAGCCAAGCTTCAAAACAGCGCTCTTAAATATTACGTGGCCAGCGATACAATCTTGACTACAGGGATCCTTATTCACTTTATTACTTGATGTGTCAAGCGTATAATGAAACACAAATTGTAAGACACGAAAAATATGCATCATTATGTCTGATGAAAACGCATTGTACACATGTCGCACCCAACAAGGCGTACTTTTTCCCACGTGGCTACGAGATCTTATTTAAAAAAAAAAAACTTGAAAAATCACTGAAACTATCTTATGATGACATTTGCCAAAACTCACCCAATGTCGACATTTTCATGGCAGTGTGAAGAGCACTAAGAGATAATGCAGACTCTACTCTGCTTCCGTTTGACGGCAATATTTTGACTACGCAAGATTTCTAACTGCACACCCAGGATTGTATAGGTAAACATTGCAGCACCATGCCCTCATCGAAGATAAGAGGCAGCAGCTAGGCTTATGGTTGCTTTTTCTCCACTTTTGATAGAAATATAATTTTTAAAGTATTATTTTTAAAAAGAGCAACCACTGCAAGAAATTATCCTGTCTTCCCCAGCATCGCACAGTATGTATGAAGGTGGAGCATGAATTTAAAGATATACACTTGCCATTAAGGTTTTTGAGTTGCCACCAAGTGAATCTTGCAACAGGCGGGTCAGCTTTGAGTTCCGATAAGGCACATGATGTGCTTTTGCCATCAACCAGAGCAGAGATAACATTACCGAGAGTTGACAGCGACAAATTGATTTTCGAAGCTTCTCGTAGCCTCTGACCAGAAGAGCCTGTTTTGCTCTGACGCTCTGAACCCTGAAAAGGAAAACGACAAGATGTTATATTTTTTAAAATTTCTTACGAAGTAAAAAAAATGGTGGCTAGAGATTCATCCCTGAACCAGACCTTTTTTTCCAGATCAATTGAAAGGAGAGATGGTGCAATCTTCCTAAAGTTACATAAAATAAAAAAATTCATGGATTGATTTATTAAGGTAATATTGTCTCCAACAAGAACCGAGATTTTAGTCGTACGACGGATCACCCCACAGCCATATTCATGGACAGTGTGTTGGGACTTCCCATGTGTAGCTTGGCAGTTTCAGTATACAAGGTATAGCTAAAACTGCAAAGAAAGTGTGCTCAAAAAGAGGTGGTAAGTGCCAAAGACTTGGCCAACGTTCCAAATGAAAGATCAAGCTTATATCAGTGTGATACACTGTTACGATTGTTAAAAGGAAGTGTTTAACATTCAGAACTGTCTGATACTTCGTTGACAAAGTTTTGCATGAGACTTTTGCCATTGTAAGAAGTGCTACTGCAAGTGCTATAAAACCTTGATTGTCACAAATGTGTTTATTTTTTATTGCCCCTTATAACATAAAAATAAGTTCTTACAGCAAAAAATAACAAAAGGGTGACATAAAATGATATGGCAAGAAAGGTTTAGAGAAAATAATATTGGAGTTGAATTGTTTGTTCACTGACCACTTTAATATCATATAAGGCCAGCACAATTTGGTTTTCCAAAAAACAGGTGAGCTGAATTAGCCGTCATGACCCAAAAAGAGGTTATATTGCAAAAATTTGAGGGAAAAGAAAATGGTGCTTAGCATTTTTCTCAATTTTTCAAAGGCCTTTGACCTTATAGCTCCCAATGCTTTGCTTGAAAAACTTGATCACTATGGTATTCGGGGCGTAGCTCATTCTCTAATTACACCCTACCTTCAACACAGACGCCAATTCGCAACTATAGCTGCGGACCATTCAGAGTTGGAATTCTGTAACAACAGGCGTCTCACAGGGGAGCATATTGGGTCCGTACCTCTTCATATTGTACATCAATGACATAGTAAGTGTTGACTAATCAGCAAAGTGCATCGTTTATACAGACGATATAGCATGTTTTTCGAGGGTGAGTTAGGTTCTCAAATGTCAAATCGAGCCAATAAAACACTTGCAAGTATACAGAAGTGGGCGACAAGCAATTATCTTGAAATAAATACAGGAAAAAAAAGCAGTAGTGTTTCATTCCTGTAATACACATTTTCAACTGAGCCCCACTAAATTAAACAATACTGAAATAGAAATACTGCCGCCTTTCAAATCACTTGGCGTATATTTCTTCGAAACTATGTCACGGGATCATCAAGTGAATCATTCAGTAAATTATCTAAAGCAACAGGTACTAAGCTTTGCCATTGCAGTTATCTTCCTACACCCCCCCCCCCCCCCCCATTAACAAAATTTTATATAATTCTATGTCTCTTTCTTTGGTTCAGTACGGAATTCTAGTCTGGGGACCACTACAGTTGAAAATGTTCAGAGACTCAAGGTACTACGAAAAAAAGCTATATGCCTTGTTCCCAGGATGCCATATCTTTAGCATGCTGCTCCTTTGTTCACAAAGCTTAGTACCATAAAATTGAATCTTTTTACACATATAGGCTTTGTCGCATGTATACACGGGGCAAAATTAAGAATAATGACTCTTTGATACAACTGGCATTTTTGCAGCAACATAACTGTTTTTATAAATTTCGTCATATGGAACCTTGGATTGTCAGCAAAAACAGAACTTTATACAGTAACCAAATGCTACAGTTTTGTTTACTGGCTATTTTAAATCGGTTACACAAAGAAAATGGTCTCGATGTATTCACTCCCTTGCTGAAAAGCCTACGTGGCATATTTGTATGATTGCTTCTACTGCCATAGGTTCATCAGTTTTTTTTTGTTATTGTTTTTACTGTCTTCATCACTACGGGTATTTTTTTCTCTTGGTTTTTCGAATTTTTACACAATACCCTCGTTCATTATTTCTTACCGTGTTTGTTTACTGTTTTTCTGTTCTGTTCATGCATTAGGTATAGCACATGCTTTGAATTGCTGTAACCGCTCAGCGTGTGAGGTGGCCAGGTTCCCCTGAAGCTGCTCAGTGCAGCTTTTTTGCCTGGTCTCCTCGCAACCTTATTGCGCAATAAACTCAATTCAATTCAATATGAAATACCATGACTTCAGCAGAAACCAGGAAGACCTATAAGGATACATAAGATATAAAAAGATGCATTTTATAATATCTAACCTTATAGTAGTTGATGATACCATTTATACGCTATATTAAGACTTTATTTACAGTTATGTCCTTAAGGAAAGAAATCTGCTTTTGTTCCACAAAAGAAAAGTTTTCACAATGTTGCATGCATATAGGCAAATCGATCAAATACACGTCTTTGCTAAAAAATGCCTGCATGACATTTCTTCAGTACAAAGCTGTCAGTCTTCACATGCACAAAGTGAATGCACCGACAAATGGTACGAAACATAGAAAGCAACAAAGCACAATTTACAAGAGGACTGGCAGATAACTCCTGAAACTAAGTTTTAAGCATGTGCAAATACTCAAGCACTTCAAATATTCGAATAAAGAATATAGCTTGTACAAGACTTCAAATTATTCGAGATGAACGAATATGCATATTTTAAACAAGTAACCACCTATAAAGGTGGTTTCACTACAGTGTAGAAGTGCCAAGCCATGTAAGCCCCTATCAAAAAAAAAAAAAATTTGCACTGCAACGAACACAGTCTTTAAAAATAAATAAACATATTACCCTTGCACTGATTAATCATTTAAGCTTAAAAGTTCATTATACAGGCTTATATGCTTTAAGTGTATTAAGTGTTAAAATGTGATGTATTTTATTGGTTATCACTTACATCCTACTGAAGCTCAAATCCTGCTACTATTCAAAGTTGCTTTCAACTTCACTTTAAACCAAAAAGAACAACATTCGTATATGCCTTTGTCCAATCTTTAAAAAACATTGTGCAGGTTAGTTGGAACATGACAAATATGCTCATTTTTTTTAACAATGTGTGCTATATATACTATTCAAACTATTCAATATGAAATTTTCTGACCAAATCACCATTCAGATTGAGTTAACTTAGAGTCTTAAATTTACTCTTCGCACACCCCTACTAAAGCTGCTTTGTCTAAGTTTTATAAGACGTCCTTTCATAGTCCTTACTTTTTAGCTTGCTTCTGAAAATGTGGCACCATATATGCATTGTATTTTGCGATTCAGTTAATTAATTTCAAACTCACCGCCAGGTCAACCAGGTGAAGCTTGCCAACACGGACATGCTGCCTACCGTCCAGACCGCACTCACTGCACTCTACGGTGATTGTAAACATGGCAGTGTGAACGAGAGCTGTGTGCATTCATGTTGGTTGCACCCACAGCCCCTGAGAACGAAAAACTGAGAGTGCTCAGTGATGCACATAAGCGACAATTAAGGAAGGGAACATTTGAGCCATGCTTACAGGAGCACTCCAAAGCCAAGCTAAAACAGTTGAGACTGACAAATACTTACATGTGAACCATATTTTCATTTATCTAACAGAAATGATGACATTACTGTAGAAGCTGAACTTTTCTTGTTTTAATTGCATGTCAAAGCCCAAGTAGTGAATAAGAATGTCATGATTCCTCTAAGTGTGGCAGTGCATGGCCACACTCTACAGAGTGCAAATGCACGAAGCATAACACCACCTCAACAGAAAACAGTTGCAGTGAAGCTCAGAGGCACCGCTTCGCTTTGTGACATTGTGGGCCCACAGATCCAAACAATGAGCAAACATGAAGTAATGCCCCCAGGCGTCACTAAAGCTCCACCAGTTTGCTAACCTAAGTGTCATTTTTTTAAATATCCGGCTTGCAACACAGTTGCATAATATAACCAACGTGACCTCACTATTTTTGTTTCCGAGTGTCATGATTCGATCCAGTTCATCTGCTGTTTTGACGACGCAGCTTGAAAGTCCCTTGACATATACACCAATGTCTGGCCTTTCCTTAACCTGGAAAAGGCAAATGGACATTACATGTACATCTTTCACACTTAAGTTTTCAAGTTAAAGGGACAATAAAGTCAAATAACAATTTACGTCAGAGTGAAAGCTCAGTGTATGACAACATCTAAAAGGAAAATATTATCAACACCAGAGCCCCACTTACCGATAAATTAAAGTAAATGCAAAATAACACAAGCACCACAGTAGAACATTTTCAAAATTATTCTGATGAAATCAGACAGACCGCCTACAATGAATCACTAGTAATCTATCTAACTGCACTAAATAAAAAATGTTCCGTGCATCAAGAGACGCAATAAAATGCTGCTTGTTCGTTTCTCTTTGACTCATGTAAAAAAGAAATGCTGGACGTTACTATGCGGAATGGCGCGAGTGGTTCAAAAATTCTATTTTCGAGTGGTTACACGGGACAGGTGGTGCCATCTAGCGAGGCGCAATTGAAACAAAAGTGCCTGCAATATTGAAGCCAATGGCGGGAAATTAATCAATGGCCATTGCTGCTGCTGAGGCTCCTGCTGCCTTCGGTCTGCTGCTACTAGCGCAGTAAAGCCGGGCAACATTGTGCACGGCAAAAGTGACGTGAGAAGGTCTGGTCGGTCTGTTTCTTAAGGCGGGTAATTTGAAGGGCGCTAACCCGACACGGAGCACTAAAACGTGATATTATTTCAAAATAGGCTTTTCCTTGGCACAAAAGTAACACTAAGAGGTTCCTGGACCACCATTTCAACAATCAACATCAACTTAATAGTTGGCTTTAGTGTCCCTTTAAGCAAGAAATCATTTTAGTAGAATGTAATGCACTTACTTCGAGTCTTGCATTTTGGTCCTTTGCCAAAAGATCTCTGGCTTCTTCATTGTAAATCTCAAGGTATGATGCCCTCACTAGGAACCTCGAAGACAAAGTAAACTACAATTTAGTAAACAGTTGACAATCACACATATTGGCCTAGCATCTTACTTTTTGTCATCCTCAGCTTTAGCGATATGGCCAAAGATATGAGCAAATGAGTTTGGAATGATCCCCTTTAACTCCGGAACTGAGCGATCTCCCACCATGGTGAACGTCTTTCCAGTACCAGTCTGTCCGTAAGCGAAAATTGTGCCTGCAAAGAGAAAAAGTGACATAGGTGCAACTGAGACAAAAAATTTTTAATTGCTAGTTGTTCCTAGCAAATGAAGCTGCAAATAAATGTGCTTATAAAGTATGTTTAATTACATATATTGAAAGTTGTCTGCTTTATGACTTGCACAGCAGGTGTCCTGTTCATTCCTCTGCCACTACACTACCTTGTTAAAAAATCGCTAACAGCACACGTTACTTGGAAAGGCCGGTAAAAAAAAAATGATAATTGTTTGAGCAAGGGGCATGCTGTAAGTACGTGGTACATTTCATTAACAAAAGTATCTTCAAATGTGACCTGACCGAGATGGAAGAAAATTGATGTTCACATTAGCAGCTTTCTTAAAAAGGAAAAATCATTTAGAAATTACTTAATTCGATGAATTAAGAAACTGCTACTGCACATTTCATTTGACAGCTTCATCACTGCCATAAATGTGGCGGCAATGGAATTGGCTGAGACATTACACTTATAGATACGCAATGACTATTCGAGTCCCATAACACTGAATACGTACGGTATCTGACGCACGTGCTCAGCGATTATAGATGTTATATGCACCAATACCCAATTTCGCTCGTTTCAAGTGGCAGATTATAAGTTGAAAACTCACTGACCATTATATCCTTCGAGCACATTTTCAACGATCGGCCTAGCTGCCTGGTTGTAGACTTCGACTTGTTTGGAATTCACATCGAAGACAGTGTCAAACGTGAACATTTTAGGAGGTACATCTCCGTGTGCCCCGCTTGGGTTGGTGACCAAGACGGTACCCTGAACAGTGTCGACCTGCAGTGCGAGTTCACAGTGGTGATGCAGTACAAGGACAATTACGATAAAACAACGAGTAGGAATCTTACCGTTACAATTTCCTGGCATCCTGCAGCCAGCTCCTTTTCGCTGAGAGGACGGCATCGGACCACGACGCGAATATTCTCCGCGTCGGCCGACATAATGCGCACTGCAAGATAGAAATGAAAATAATAACCTCAGTTTTTATAGTAAATCACACGACGATCTCAACCGCCAACGTTCATTATTGTTAGCACAGAATATGAAACTTCAAGAAGAAGCGACGTAAGGTGCACTACACTCGCCACAAACATCCAGCGGATAGCACCCGAAAGCGAATCAAAGGCCATACGTTTGCCGTAGCACTACCACATTATGACGATCGGCTTTAGAGCAGACTGGTGTTCTCAGCAGATGATTACCTGCAAAGTTTCCGCCGTTAGCACCGGTTAGTTTCCAGAACCCCGATCCAGGGAACACCTATCCCGATCTCTATGCCGAACGCGAAAGCTCTAAAACGAAACAAAAATGCAATAACAAATTGGCTAGATACACCAGACAGCAGCCAAGCGCAGCCAAGTCAAGCCGGGCTCAGTTGCAGTGTGATCGAGCTGTGCTGTGACTGTGTGACTGTAGCAGCAGTACCTTCGGTGTAAATAGCGAAGTAGTAAAACAGATGAACATTTATTAATTGTGCGTCGGAACTCCTCATTGCCGAGGGTTTGCATCATAGTACGTTCTATGTTTGAACTCGTACCGCGAGTGACACTTCCTTCTACTTTATTCACGCTGGTCACTACTTCAGTGCTCCACCTCTTTGATGGCGGCGTCCTAGATATCAGAAACCAAAACAGGAGCTAGTGAAAACTGTGGCCGAAATAAGCAATCATCGACGAGTTCTCGCCTGAGAGCTATGGAAAAGACGAAGCAAGGAGAACCAGCAGCCCACAATAGCCACGGACTAAAGCCTGCCAGTGTTGACTCGCTGGAAGGTTCGGAAAATGGTTCGCTAAACTCGAAGCTCGGCCCGCGGTCGGTGGGCAGCCACAGCTCTCACTCGCCGTCAAAGTCGCTCTGCTCGTCCTCCTCGACATCCACGGAAAACATGCAACTCGCGCAGGAGCTCAAGGTGTGTGCGATTTTCATAATTTGCGCACCTCGTCACGCAATTTGCGCACCGACATGACGTCTATCGGAAAAATCCGCGAACACCTTTCTGGCGCTTTTTTTTTTTTTTTTTTGTTACAAGTACTTCACATCAGACCAGCGAAGGTGTCTTAACGAAATCGAGCTGCTTATTTATAGTGGTGGCATATGTTCAAGAAAATATCAATGCTGGCAGAGTACGTTTTTGCATTTTTCGAAACTATAAAACTCGTTATACGTTTTATGTCATATCCCCTAGACTGCGCCAACTTCATTTCCTCATTTGAAAAGAAACACAAAAATAGAAATTCAAAAATATATCTATGCGTGAATGAATGCCTCCGCATATTTTGACCTGACCCGAACTATCACTGCCCCTACAATCATATCAGAAATTTTATTGAGCTAAGGAGACAGTTACTGCCTAAGGCTTTAGTCAACGAAAGTTACGACATTAGTCTACATTTGTAACCACTGTGGTAATTAATTTGTAACGGCCATACTAAGCAGCACCACTGCCCATTAATTTAGTTCCCTTCACTTGCTTCAGATGCGAGAAGTGTCCAAAGTGACAAAGACGCAAGAGCCACCTCTGCTGCCTGGAGAACAGCCGCACGTTGTTCAGAAAGGTGATGAAGCTTCTGTTTTTATGTGCTGGTGGTGATCAACAGTATTTTCGAGGGCTTACTTATCTTTCCATTGAAAATTGCTTGTCAATGTGAATGTTTTGTTACCTCGTTATGATCGTGAGATAAATGTCTTATATGTGTTGTTATCCACAATTTTTGCGTACCGTGAAATGCCGAGCGAGCGCACCCCCCTCCTATGGTGAAGGATAATCCGACCAGATTTTAGAAGGGAGTGCTTGCCCGGTGCCAGACCGGTCATTGGCAGTTATTTGGTGTTTATTTCAAATCTCCCGAAAACGTAAGGAGAGCGCTTGAGGTAATAACTCGAGCCGATAAAAATTCCCATTCCTCGAAAACGTTGGTCAAGTTGGTTGGCTTCAAATGATTGTGAATTATTGAACTGGACTTTCGAGTTGTTATAAGTCAACTTCATAAAACAGCTCATGCAGAAGAGGCTAGACCATAATGAAAGCTCTTACAAACCATAATGAAAGAGCTTGTACTAATGAACAGCTCATAAGAGGCCAGGCTATAATGAAATATTGGTGATTTTATTAAGTGCAGCAGATGTGACATTGACCTGTGTTGAAATGCAGCACGCGATGTCACCTACCTGTGCCCATTCCAAGGCCCCATTCGTGGCTGCCTCTTCATCACTAACTACAAGCTGTACTTTCGCAGTGTTGAGAAGGTAAGGACATGAGTTTGACGTGCTGGGCTCTTATGTTGAGGACAGTGTTGTGCATGGTGGCATTTTGTAACTTTTCGAAACAAGCTGCTGAAACTGTAGAGGACCAACAGCCCTTGAAGGGCATGGTGCATCAGTGTACAGTGCAAAATTTCTTCCACGATGTATGAAGATTAGACAGGTTAAGCAAATGGTATCTGTTGAAGAAAAGTAAATTTTAACACCTGCTATCATAATAAAACTGCTTTAACTATCTGAGCACCAATTAAGTTATAAAAAAGTAAGCAATATTATAAATATGTGCATACACAGTGATGTAGGCACCAAGATTAGAAAGCCATTATAGGAAAAGTAACAAACACATGAAAAGATAGCATGGTGCATTGTGGGACCCTTCTTTTAAATTTTAATGGTGCTTGGCCTGTAACATTTTTTACGTGCCCCCTTCCGGTGTGAATTATGATGCACTGTCTACAAATGTGTCAAATTGACATACCATCTTTCCAAAACACTCAATATAAAGCGCTGCTCTTAGGTGCTCATTCCTGCGTTGAGCAGCGTTGCTGTTGCCGTTGTCATCAGAGGCGTAACTAATAGACATGAAAAAATAAAATGATAAACAATACTCTGGAATCAAATGGAATTTGAACCCGGGTTCTCTGCGCAGCAGTCAAGTATTCTATCACGGAGCCATGCTACTGCTTGAAATCATTTGCAGAAAGACCCTATACAAGTGTCATGTCAGACCCACTACGGTGGTCTAGCGGCTAAGGCACTCAGCTGCTGACTCGCACATCGCAGGGATTGGCCGCGGTGGCCACATTTTTGAAGGAGGTGAAAATGCTTGAGGCCCGTGTGCTCAGATTTGGGTGCACGTTAAAGAACTCCTGGCGGTCGAAATTTTCGGAGCCCTCCACTACGGCATCACTCATAATCATATGGTGGTCTTGGGACGTTAACCCCCACATATCGATCAATTGCATTGTAATTTACATTAAATTAAATACTTTACTATTATGCTGTCAGCCATGTTTAATTTTGACTTAAAAGAATGAGATCACAGGCCCCAAACGTGTGTAAAACTAGCTTTTAGTTGCATTCATTTTGGAAAGTAGTACTTTTGACGTTGGTTCTGGATAGGAAATGTTGAATGTCTCATCAACATCATTATGCTTTCACTGATGTGATTGGCTATGATCATAGAGTTTCCTATAAATACACGAGAGGGAAATCTGCCGCTAGCGTCATTGGGAGCTGCAACACATGGCGCTTCTGCGAGCATGATGGGTACTACATGGTTTTGCCTGATCTTTGTACTTCACAGTCCTTTTAGCTTTGCATAGCTTGAAGCTGTTTTGTCACGAAACAACAATCGACAAATGTTCGGCAGTTACGCTTCATCACCATAACCTTTTAGGCTTACCAATTCAAAACAGGTCATGATGTTCAGAACGCTTCATTCTTTGGTTCAAAACGAAACCAAAACACACAAGTCACAAGTGCGTTCGCCGCCTGGAAGCACGAGGACTAGGTAAATGCATGTACTATCCATCACTCCCATGGTCGCTCAACGATCGCAGCACCAGAGTCCCCTTTTGTTAATTTTAGGAAAGGCTACGGCTATGGTTATACGCAGCACATTAAGGTTTACTGAAAACATATTGACTAGTATGTAGAAAGTTCAGTTTATCTAATGAGCTATATATCTTGCTCTCTTATTTGGCCACTAGTTGGCACAAATAGCATAAACGTGTTGTGTACAGATATTGCCGCCGCGGCTGAAAGGGGTATACTTGCGATAACCTCACTTGATGGCTGTTCCCACCTTCTTTGTTGTTCTTTGCGAAGGGAATGGTTCATTAGTTCTTACAATAGCCAAGTGCATTAATTTTGAGTTGTAGTACTGTGAGACTCGGTGGTGATTCTTTGTGGAGCTTTTCTGTGGAAGGGCAGTTAGAATAATGCCATACTTTTTTCCTCTCACAGAATTCCCGCTCCAAACAGTTCACTGTAAGTGTACAGGCATTCTGCCACTAGCTTTCTTTATGTGTGCTTCTTAACATTGCTAAGTCAGATCGTATTCAGCTAATGCAAAATAAAAAAAACTAAGCCTGTGCACACTCTTAGTCTGTTGGCTTTTGACCATTGCTGATTTTAAGCATTAATATTTCATTTTTTATCTAACTTCTTACATAAGCTGTGTAAGCTGAAATGTCAGTGTTAGTTCTAATGTAACAACTCTGCAGTTCTCTTTCATTCTTATCATCTCCCTATCAGGACTTCCTGCTTCTAATTGTAATGTTGGCAGCATGCCTCTTTAGTCGCTCAATAAATACAGGATTGAATGTATGTTAAAAATTAAATCATTATAAAGCCTTGCTGTGGCACTACATTCCATTAAAGAATATGGAAACCTTGCGAATGCTGTATGCTTTGGATTCTAAGCAAAACCATATCTCATTCATTGTCAAGCTTATTATTGTATTGTTACCATAGTATTTCCCATAGTAGTGCTATGTAACAGCTGTCCAGTAGCTTGAATAGAACAGTGCAGGAAATGTCAGTGTGGCTGTTACACGAATGCTTGCTTTTCTTAAATTTTCGATGAAATTCACTAATTGCAGCTAGCTATTCTAAATAGTAGGACAACTGCATATAGTTTGAAATGCTCACACACGTAATATTGCCATCACAAACATCGCCGATGCAAGCCCATGGTTACACCTCTACTTGACTAACTGAGGGTTTATTGCTTTCTTTGCTACCAGCTGGCTTTTTTTTTTTAGTTACTAAGCATTGTGATTCATACATAGGACAACTCTTTCCTTTTTTTCCCTCATTTCTGACATTAAAATTTTAAGCATGTTTTTCACTTTCTATTACAATACATTTAAACTGTTTCTATCTCTGTCACCAAACTTGTGTAATCTGAATTCTTGCTCTATTTCTAACGAACATTTAGCGTCCTGCACAAGTAATCTTGATGGAATATTTATTTCTTGCACAAACAATTGTTTTGAGCTTCACTGTCTTTTTTTTACTTGTCGATCGATCGGGGCAGGAGCCACGGTTTACGTTGGAAGTCCCGCTTGGCGTCGTGAGTCGCATCGAGAAGGTCGGCTACGCGTCTAGTCGCGGAGAGAATGCGTACGGCATCGAGCTCTTCTGCAAAGACCTGCGCAGCCTGAAGTTTGCCCACAAGCAGGAGAACCACTCACGCCGAGACATCTTCGACAAACTGCACAAGCTGGCCTTCCCACTCTCCAACAGCCTGGTGAGTGACAAGCCACATGGTATAGGGAAAAAAAAAGCTTTAGTCTCACTCTATTAAAGTGGCATGCAGACACAAGGGGAGCTTGCAGTGTTCGTATTTTTTTTCTTCTACGTATGGGACAATGCAGAGACAAAATTAACAAAGAATAGGCAACGCTCTCTTTATATCCTAGCTGTTTCTCAGGTTCGGGTACTATCAGCAAATGAAACCCAAACACCGGCAAGCCTTTGTGATGGTATAGTGCATGCAGTCCAGTTGTCACAATTAACAGGCTGCGCGCATTCTGTTCGGCAGCTCTGTGCATATGTGTGTGCCTGTCCATGGTGATAAGTGGACGGCGATAACATAACATTGCGCAGACTTGTGCCATGGTTGGTGGCATTGTAAGCAATGCATTTTGTGTCAATAATTCGTACATAGCCTTCTGTTCAAAGATTTTGACTGTAGTGCATGCCACCTAGAGGCAGGGCTTGTTCATTGCAATGCCAAAATCAGATGAGGTGTCCTTGAATCAAGTATGTGCTAGGCGCCCCAATCAAGTAACTCCAGCACCCCCCTGAATGATGTTTAATTTTGTATTTATTACACAGTGCATATCATGTTATGTGATATGGATTTTCTTCAAACAATGTGACTGAACTGACCTGTAAGAAATACTAGAATTATATTCAAGTTGCCTTGAACCCACTAGGATTCAATTATAAATAATTGGGATCACATAGAAGACTCAAGGTTCAAACCGAATCGATAGATTATTGTTCCTGAAGTACAAAAACCAAAAATGCCAATATTGCTGTGACTAGAAGCTTGCCCAGCTATGAAATACTAATGCAAAAGTGAGACAAGTGGTGGCACTCAGTGACATACGGCCGTAATTGCTCACAAAAGATATAGTATAGTCAGTTGTTTACACTGTAGTCAGTAATAATAGCATTGTATGAATGTCGAAGCTACTGACTCATTTACAGAGGAATGAGATACCAAATTTGCTTATTGGGTAGTGGCTCTTTTTTTTTACATATTTCAGCCGTTGTTCGCCTTCGAGTACGGTGGACGATTCACAGTGAATGGCTGGGCTGTTTACGACCCATTGGCCGAGTACCGACGCCAGGGCCTGCCCACCGAGAGCTGGCGGCTGAGCCGGGCAAACGAGAACTACCAGCTGTGCGACACCTATCCTGCCATCGTGAGTTGCCATGGTGCTGCACTTCTGTGTTGACTCTTTCACTTGTGTTGCATGCAGAGTACATCTTGTTGCTTGCTTGCAACTGAACACAAGTATTATCTCCAATTACAGTCACAGATTTTGAAGGTGTCTACTGGGTTCTGTGTAGCTTCTAACCAATAATAAAGTACATTGTCATCAAAGGGTGCAATAGACCTAGCATATGAGTTTCAGAAATTTTCATTGAGCCAATGTCATTACAATAGGGAAAACACACTTTATATTTTCTGTCACGGGGGTGCCGAGATTTCGGTGTAAAATTCAAGAATGAAACTTCAACCTCGATTTTCTCCGCATATGGCATTATACTTCTCAGAGTGCAGTTTGTCAATCTAAACCAAGCCATTGTTTCTCTTTAGTGTCTTTTTTGAGAGGGCCACTTGGTATCTTACTTATTTAATTTATAAATGTATTTGTTTTATGTTATAAATTGAGATTAGGTTTTTGTGTGAGTCTTTGTATCTATTTTGTAACCTTTCAGGCTTGTAAGAATGTATGTACTGGAGTCCCAAAAAGGGCATTTATTACATAGAAAGGCTCGATGTGTTTTTATGTACTGCTTAGTTACGCTAATAATTTTCTAATTGCTTGTTGATGTTATCAACTTGTTTCTATGTGCTGCAGCTAGCTGTTCCTGCCGCTGCCGATGACAGTCTTTTGGAAGCAGTGGCCAGTTTTAGAAGCCGGGGCCGCATTCCAGTACGTTTGTACCTCATGTCTCTGCATGTTGCTTATATGCTTGACTTTCAGTCGCGCCGCAGTGGCCTAGCAGCTAAGGTACTCGGGTGCTGGCCCGCAGGTCGCGGAGTCGAATCCCAGCTGCGGCGGCTGCATTTTCGATGGAGGCGAAAATGCTGTAGGCCCGTGTGCTCAGATTTGCGTGCACGTCAAAGAACCCCAGACTGGTCTAAATTCTTAGAGCCCTCCACTACGGCATCTGTCATAATCATATGGTGGTTTTGGACGTTAAACCCCACATACTTGACTTTTCATATAAGTTGAGAGCCTTTTGCGGCTGTTAACCAAAAAGCCTCACCTAATGTCATCCGGGAGTGAAGCACGAAACAGTATCTTAGGCAAATCCAGAATGCAGACAGCCATCAGGGCTGCCGTATGTCTAGCCTTAGCCAATGCAGGCAGTTGTGTGTGCTGAGGTACGTTAATTTAGTCCACACGGTCAGGTTGACCACATAGTATATATACATTACACCTGTAAAAAAGGCTGAAGTTTGGTGCTGGTGTTTTATGGCTTGCAATGTTTCTTCGACTATTTGAGTGAACGAGAAGCTAACGTTTCTCTACATTTTCCACCGGTTGTGGCCAGGTTCTGTCCTGGATCCACCCCGAGGGACAGGCTACCATAACCCGTTGCAGTCAGCCCAACGTTGGTGTGAGCGGCAAGCGCAGTACGGAGGACGAGAGCTACTTGCAGATGATCATGGACGCCAATGCACATTCGCACAAGCTCTTCATAATGGACGCTCGACCTAGCGTGAACGCGGTGGCCAACAAGGTGAACTTGTCCTGGCAGCTTCCGCAGGGTTGCCGCACTTGTTCTTGATGTGTTTCACCGTTTCATTGCTGACACCTTTCAGTTAAGCTTCATGCTATGTTCGTCGGGCAAACAGTTAAGAGGACACTAAGGAGCAAAATGACTTTTCTTGCGCTAGTGAGTTGCTTTTTACAAATCCAAAATCTGCGCACTTGTCCCAAGAAAATTGGCCGTAATTAAATGAGCATAAAAAAAAGAAAAAACTGGTGGCGGCGTTTTTACAAATTACCGCGCCAAATGCTATGATGTCGTAAAGGATGACTACAAAGTTGTACATTGTTCCTAGTCAGCAAAAGTGGAGTACAATGTTCTACGTTAAGGGAGGGGAGCATAGATTTAACACTCAGGAAAGTTTCAGGAAATTTTGTTGAGCCAATGTGAAGATACTGCATGCACCTTGAAATCTGTGATAACACATGTGCAGATTTCGGCTCAAAATTTAAAAGTGCAACATTGACCTTGATTTTATCCTGTATTAAGAAACTTATGATGGTGAAATTAATGACCTGGGAGTTCTCAGAGTACAACTTGTCAATTTAAACCAATTCATTGTATCACTTTAGCGTCCCTTTAAAAAACAATCTCACAAGTATCTGAGAATGCCTACCAAAAGCAAGACACTTGAGCTTCATAGGTATCACAAGCTTACAGCATGCATACAAGTATAGTGCAATATTCTTTTGTAAATTTACTGACCTGAAAAGTTTTATTGTGTTGTGCGTGCAAGTTATGCTTCTAATGTTATACAAGAACATTTATCCATTCTTTAATCGTTTATTGTGGAAGTAGGCTCACCTGCTATATTGAAAAGTTGGATGGGTAAGCTGGCTTGTCGAGGCTGTACGGAGAGTAGAAATTTGTGCCGAGAAGCATGGGATGTGTCTCAAAGTGCAACAAGAGTGAAACTGAAAAGTAAGGGTAAAACTGCGCAGTGTTGGCCAATCACCCTAGTCCACCAGCTCATTGAGTGCTTTGCACACCACCATGCATGCCAGTGTAGCCATTGCAGCTCGTATAAAAATAAATGCATCCTATAATATGTGCACCCACAATGCAGTACAGCAAAAGTTGCCCAGAACTGCGCTCTTGTCGGAGCTCTGCTCTTTGTCGACAGGGGCACACTAGAACTGCAGGATTCATAGTGCTCTGTCAGTTCTGCACACACTGTTGAATTTACTTACATCATTTAAGGCATAGGGATGTTCTTGCGTATAGCTCGTACCCTCAATGATGAGCAGTAAACTTGGTAAAAATGATTTCGCATATTAATGTAAAGCTAGGTTTTTTACATAGCTTCTAAGCACTTTCGTGAATTCACCTTTGCAGACTGGTGTATTTGCATTTTTTATCTCGACCTTAGCTCCAACAGACTTTCTTCAAGCAATCCCAGAATGCTATGCGGGCACATAAAGCACTATGGGAAAAATGTGTATATACGCTGAGCATACCAGCTGGCCACGGAGGAAAAAATATTTCGGAGGTGAAATTCCCGATAGAACTGCCGTCCGTGGGCGTCTAGATAACAAAACAAAAATAACATGCTCGGACAAAGACATTTCAGTTAGCGGCGCCTTGCGGCATGAGGGCGCAACCACGAAAAAAAGAAAAGGCAACGCTATCGACCAAGCACATCCAGACGCGCTCCATGTTCCCGCTTCATGACTGCGGCAGAACGTGCGCGTCTGGTTTGCTCTGAAACTGAAACAGCGGCAATGATTGCTAGATGCCGCCAGCCAGATTTGGCCCTCTGGCATTGTGACATTATCTGGTCGCCTCAAGGAGCGGAGTTGCACCTACTAAATTTTGCTTCTTCCGTGCGGCTGGCCCGCTGTTTCGTCACTCGCTGCTCATTGCGCCATGGAAGCATAACACAAAAAGAACACGTTGCCATTTATTGACTGCTATTAAATCTTAAATACTGCACCTGTCTGAAAGCGCCTGTATGTATGCCTACACATGAAATTTGAAAGAAATAATGCAGTCAGTACAGTGTGGGTACTGCCAAGTGGATGTATGTCAGATGGAGCAGTTAAGCGGCATGCGGAGTTGTCACGTGCCAATTCATGTAGTCAAAACGTGTGATCATGAGCTATGTGAACTGGAACACCAAATTCATATTTACTTGATGATTACTTTGTTTGCTATGGCATTTAATTCATTGGAGGCAGCTAACCCCAAACTACAGAGAAGTGCTGCACTATTCTGGTATACGTATAGAGGTTGTCTGCTTTAAATTTACAAGTAACACGCTATAGAAAGAAGTGGACAAGTTCTAAACATGTTCAAACTAGAAAGGAATATGAGAATGGAATATTCCACTATCTTCCGCTGATGATTGGCAGTTTCTTGATGCACGCTTCTAATTCTCACTGCGGAGGATGTATGCTTGCAGCCTTCAGTGAAAGTGGGTTTTATTTCACGTTTATCGGCCCATTTGATGATTGATAAACAAGGCATTGTGATTTTATGTTTGCGAGTGCACACCACTAGATAAAAGCTTGCACACATGAGCTGCGCAGCATTTTCCAGCTGCGAATTGATCATCTAAATAAGGCGAAAAAAGGGATGCATATCTTTGCATCTGTTTGCTCATTCGTATTGCAAAGAAAGATAAATATGAACATTCTCCACATGAGAATAATGAGAAACCTAAAATTGTGCAATCCACTTCATCTATGCATAAGATATATCGCAAGGCTGGAAAATCTAGGGAAGTGATATGGGGTGAGGTATAATGTTTTCCGCTAGAATAAGCTTAGTCGCATTTGTTCTCTAGTGCAGAAAAGGCCACAGAAATCTGCTGTGGGCAAATAAAAATGTGTCAAGATGCTTTCCCATTGTTTCTTTTTTTTTCACTTATGTTGGGGTTGTTATATTGGCGCAACTGACTGCCCGGGCGTGCTGGTTGATGCTGGTGCTGGTCCATCATTCTATATTGACACGTGCCTCACAGAGCATCGAAATTCATGGAATGGAGCCATCTCATCTCACTTTGCATTGTCAGTCATGCAAATATAATCTAATTTGTGAAAGCACAGTAACTTTGACCACGCAAGAAATCTTGCCGGCATATTGTATCATAAAGAAAACCACACTTTGCATAAGTACTTCTATATCGTTACAAGACAAGGAATTCTACTTGACTGTGAATGCGCTCCTTGGTTGTTTGGCTTTTTGTGCCTCTTTTAAACATGTTTGATGCACCTCCATTTTCGTATCTATGTTTTTTCACACATGTGATGAACTTTCAGTCATAACTGAGTGCTTGTGGTGTGTGTATTTCTTTCAATGCCCTGGTTCTTTATTATTGCACTCTAAGATTTATTCTAACATATGTAGTTGCATCGTCAATGAGAGTTGATGTCCCTTATTATTTATTGCCAGACGTGCACGTTGTCAAGTTTATGTATTTTTTTTCAGTAAATGTTAGTTATACTGTACTTTATTACGTACTTTTCAATTATCAGAACCTTAAATTGTACTAGTCGTCAGTGTCAATGAATGTTGGTTCCAAATTAATCTGCCAAATATACACCGGCCCTGCATTTCATGAGCAGCTGAGTTATGTTTTTATTTCATTTATGCCGTAAAGTGTACTGGAGCCAAAAAAAAAGGAAAAGGTGAAGCTTCTAAGTCCCTCAACTGTTTCAACAGTGGGACTGATAGAAGCTCTAGAGATGTCGTTGTAGCTAAACACCGAAGTTCGCAATTGAATTGCGCAGCAACCTGACCAAATTAAGTTTATCTGAGACATGCACTGGCATGGCGCAAGCTGGAAGCTACAGCATGAGGCCCATGATCTCGCAACAGCGGCTGCTTATGTGCCCATTGGGGGCACTCGTGTGCTTGAAAAAAGTTCATTGTTTACAATATTTTGTGCGGGTTGTATGCGAGAAAATATGTTACCTTAAAGAGCACCTTGTGTGGTCACAGTTATGCGCCACTTTTCACGGCCCTCGTACTGCTTGGACTTTTGAGAGATCAGAATATGCACTCACATTATAGACGAGCAAATTCTGAAAATGCTGTCTGCATCGAACCCGCGTGCAGGCGAAAGGTGGCGGCTACGAGAGTGACGAGGCATACCGGTGCACCGAGCTGTGCTTCCTGGACATCCACAACATCCACGTGATGCGGGAGAGTTTGCGCAAGCTCAAGGAGACCTGCTTTCCCAGTGCTGCCGACGAGTCTCGCTGGTTGTCTGCCCTCGAAGCCACCCACTGGCTGCAGCACGTGCGTGCTGTACTGGCTGGGGCCTTGCGTGTTGCACATCGCCTCGAAGGTGCCAAGGGGTCGGTGCTGGTGCACTGCTCTGATGGATGGGACCGCACCGCGCAGCTTACAAGTCTGGCCATGCTGATGCTTGACCCTTACTACCGCACCATCCGAGGCTTCGAGGTTCTCGTCGAGAAGGAGTGGCTCAGCTTTGGCCACAAGTTCGCTCAGGTGAGTAAGGACACTTGTAGCTGTGGAGGCCGCTTGATTCAGTGTCATTCTACAGCCTCCACTTCTCCTTCTGGGTGTCAGTTCCTTTAATCTAAGGTTCTTTTTTTAATGCTGAGAACATTAGAATGAACCAAATGTGTACAGATGCTTGCCGTTGACTTGACATTAGTTTGACTAAAAAAAAGGCATAGACACCATCACCCATGTATTATTAGTACTCGGGCACACCAGCTACTCCACTAAGGAACAATAGCTATGTAGTGAAATTGGCTTCATTGACACAGACTATGACAGTGATATCATTTGGTGTGCACATAGCATTTCAGAGGTGGGAACAAGCGGTACTGTTTCCAATGAAAATGACATGGGGTTCATTGCACTTAGGTTGTTCTCGAGAGGATGGTGGTGTCTTGAGGAGCGAAGTCTCGCCAGTCTGATCTTCCTAGTCAAGTTGTGCATCTGCGGCTCCTTCTCAGTTGTCCTATAGGCTTTAGCTGCCCTGAATGAATGGCTCTTTTCAGTCAACAACTGATTTAAAACAGCTTGTACTCTCGCAAAAGGCATATGCTGTTGCCATGTCTCGTGGATTCATTATTGATAAGTGTCAGCAGTAGCCGCACGGTTTCTGGTCTTCATTTCGCATCACCGTTGAAGCTGCAATTTTTAAAGAGGTATTTAGATTCCAGTTGTATATCTGTGTGTATTCATAAATTGACTGACGACATACATTGCCCATTCACAATGCCTGTGCATTTATAGTTGTTGCATGTGTTCTCCTCTTGCAGCGTATCGGTCACGGAGACGACAAACACTCGGATGCAGACCGGTCGCCCGTTTTTCTCCAGTTCATTGACTGCACATGGCAGATCATGAACCAAGTAAGGGTCAATTTCCTGACTGAACACCTGCCACGTTTTATGACTTTATGCATAATTTTTAAATTTTATTTTTCTGTTTTATTGGGAACAGTGACCTTTTCTTTAGTTTAGCACTCAACTCATTTATTGCACATATCTTGTGTGCATTAACTAGATGGAATTCATTGACCCTACATAGTGTGATAAGCTGGTCAGGTTCATCTTAAAAAGCACCCTGTGATTAGCTCACAAAAAGCCCTTTGCAATCTCTTTCCAGTTCAAAAATGCTTTTGAATTCAACGAGCACTTCCTCATAACTATCCTGGACCATCTCTACAGTTGCCTGTTTGGCACGTTCCTCTACAACTCAGAGCAGCAGCGGGTTAAAGAGGTGAGTGAAGTGATTATAAAAATGTTCTGCCTGTTTCGCCTACCGAGTGATGCATTAAAGGGACACTAAATTGAAATGTTATATCAGCTTATATTGAGATGTTTTCTTTGTGTGGCCCAGGAGAATTTGTTTTGTTTTCTGCAAGAGCTTTGTCTATTGTGCAGAATGTGCGTGAACGAACCCAGTCGCTCTGGTCAATGGTGAACAGTGAGATCGACGAGTACACCAACCCTCTGTACGCCAGCTACCCACAGCAGCACGTCTTGTTTCCGGTGGCTAGTCTGCGTCGCATCCAGCTCTGGAAAGGGTACTACTGCCGCTGGAACCCACGCATGCGACTTCAGGTTGGTGCTTCATCGTGCCACAGGATTTGTGCTGCACGAATGTTAGTTTTGACTGAGCACTCTTGAGGCACAAATCTTTGCCCTGCAAAGGTAGGAGTGCAGCAAGAGGTGCCGCTAAAAGTCATTAACTACTATCATTGCCTCCTACTGTCATGAAATCTGCATGCTATTGTCCACATAATTTTATATCACACTTTTGTTGTGCTCATTCATTTAGAACATCACAACATTGATATGGGGATGAAGGCCAGTGGTGACTGAATAGCTTGCTTTAGGAGCACATATCACGAATTGCAAAATACCGTCTGCCTTTATGGAACATTGGCTATGGGGCTCGGCTGCTGACTCAAAGGTCGCGGATTCGATCCCGGCCGTGGTGGTCGCATTTTGGTGGAGGCGAAATGGTAAAGGTCCGTGTACTGGTGCGATGTCAATGCACGTTAAAGAACGCCAGACGGTCAAAATTACCAGAGCCCTTCACTGCGGGGTCTCTAATAATCTGATGGTTTTGGGATGTAAAACCCCGAATATTATTATGATTAGAATTGGAAAATACCAAATTCTCTAGTTCGGCAGTCAGCAACCTATGCCTTGCAGGAAAGTTACCATATGTAAGTACACTATCTCCCCTGCCCGTTCCTATCTGAAGGCTGACATAGCAGTTCGGACATCGAATGGCATTGGAATTTTGCTTGCAACTTATGTTCGTTAATTCCAAGTTTGTGAAATATGTGCAGAAAACAAACACGACATTTATTGCAATTCGGTGCATTATTGTAACTTTGTCGACTTCTCCTTGCCTGCGAAGCCCCGCCCACCCGAATGGCTGTCCGGTCCTCACCGTGTTGGCTTAATGTGAATTGGCCTGGTGTCTCAAAAGATTGCTGACCCTTGCTCTTAACTGTTAATACATTTGGTTGTATATCATGAATAATGGTGTGAATCAGCAAGAAGCATAAGTTTAACAAAGAAATGTTATTGAAGTGTGGTATGTGATTGTAGTGTGTTGCATGGTTAATAAACTTTCTTTTTTATGGTCCTCGAATGGGGCCCTGTATATATTTAGGTTGTTACGGAACCTCAATGATTAACTATGAAGAAATTATTTCTTTCAGGAACCATTGCAGGTGCGTAGCCGAGAGCTTCTGCAGTTGCGTGCGCAGCTGCAGAGGCAGCTTGAAGAATTGAAGAAGGAACACGAATCAAAGATGTCACGCATCCCACCAAGAGTTTCATCGCCCATCACTGTTTAGCATTGCCGGCTGCGAATGTAGGGCAGCACATCCCCGAGGTGCCACGGTGACACTTGGCTGACTCGAAAAGATGCCTTCTTACTCCACGCACATGTCATCAATGTGCTTGCTGAAACTGTTCCCAGGATGTCGTTGGCACAGTGTTTGGTGGGGCAACATCATCAATCTTGCCATGAACTTGGATCTTTGCTGTACCTCTCGACCCGCTGGTTACTTGAAAAATGGACACTATTAGTGTATTTCGATAAGCCACGCCATTCGCCATTATCAGCTGTTATGTAGTGTTGACGCAGTGTGACATGGTTTATGTAGAGTGGTGGCAGGAAGGGTTCCAAATACTGATTTTATAACTCTTCGTCAGCAAACATTTACGTGTATACATTTTATTTGAACAATAAGAAACTATCTTAAACTATAACAGTTTGTAGTACTGTGGTGTCTGCTTTTAGTCCCATATTGTTGTTATAAAGTGTTTGCAGTTGCAATTTGTATATTTGTTTATTTTTTCTACCCTTTTCTGAAAACATAGATCTGAATTTCTTTTTCTTCAGCATTTTCTGACATAAAGTTTAACCTAGTCCTAGACTGTCTGTTGTCATAAACTGCTAAAGACATTAGTAGGCTTGTGTGAATAGTGTTTTTTAGGATTGAAGCAAATTCGAAGCTAACATTAATTTTTGTCGAATAATTTTGAATCAAATTCGAATACTATATATCGCATGTTATAAAGGAAAATGGGCATATTTGGCATGACATAACTAGCCTATATATTTTATAAATTGAAACAAAGCCTGTGCAAATGCCATTTTTTTAGTTGAAAGAAAAGCAAGACTGAATAGTAGCAGGATTAGACTTTTGGTAGAATGCAAATACCCTGCAAAATGTTATGTTTTGTATAACAAACTTTTAAGCATCAAAAATGATTAATCAAGGTGAGGGTGACGTGTTAATTTAACCTTGAAGTGGAGCTTTGTGGCAATGTGAATTTTCAATAAATAAACGTTTTCACTGCTTAGCACCCCTTCACTGCAGTGAAACCACCTTTTCAGAAAGTTACATTTATATAGGTAATAGTTCATTTGAAGTTGTAAAAGACTACGTCTACTTAGGACAGGTAATAACCGCTGAGCCGAACCACGAGAATGAACTAACTAGAAGAATAAGAATGGGATAGAGCACATTCGGCAAGCACTCTCAAATCACAACACGTAGATTTCCACTATCCCGGCAAGATGAAGATATAGAACATCTGAATCTTGCCAGTTCTTATCTACAGAGCAGAAATTTGGAGGCTTAAATTGAGGACGATGCAGCGAGTGATGGAAAGGAAAATGATAGGTGTAACCTTAAGGGTCAAGAAGAAAGCCGAGTGGATCAGGTAACAAATGGAGGTTAAAGATATCATAGTTGAAATCAAGAAGAAATGGACATGGGCTGGGTATGTAGCACAGAGACAGCATAACCTCTAGTCGGGATAACTGACTGGATTTCCAGAGAAGGCGAGCGGGTTAGGGGGAGACAAAGTTAGGTGGGCAGATGAGATCGGGAAGTTTGGGGGTTATGAAGTGGCAGCAGCAAGCACTAGGCCGAGTTGACTGGCTGATCATGGAAGGGGCCTTTGTCCTACAGTAAATGTAGTCAGGCTGATAATGATGATAGCATTTATATAGGTGCTTTCACGGCTTGGCACCCCTTTACTGCACTGAAACCACCTTTACGGGGGCTACATGCGGACTGATATACATACATTCATTCGTTCATTTCGAATACTTCGAAATTTTCAATAATTCTAGACTCGAATTGAAGTGAATTATAACGCTGTGATATCCGTTCGAATATTCGAAGCATTCGATTATTCGCTCAAGCTTAGAAAAATAGGTCTGATGCACTGTTTTTCTTTGCTTTATGCATCTACAGGGCACACTCATGACTGTGTAAAAATGTAAAGCTGGAATAATGTTACAACCAGCACTGCCATTCAGCTACTGGCGAGTTGGAATAATGAGCACCCAAGTTTTCTATAAAAAATTCACAAAATGCCAAGAGAAGTTTATCTCAGTACTGACAAGTCGATGTGAGCTAATTGCCTCAAAAATTAAACTCGTCTTTATTTTCATTACAGTTACTTTGTGACATGGCAAAATCATATCTACATTGAACAGCTGTAACTCCACTGAGCATCAAATGACTGAGAGTAAGCTGACTTTCCTTTTTGGAAAGTGTCTTACTGTTTCCCACTTGGAGAGATGGCACGTAAAGCATATTTATATCTGCCGAAACATAACTACCCTGACGATAGTTATAGCGCGAGACAGAACAACGACACAGAGACAAGAAAAACACGAACACTAACTTCCAACTGAGATTATTGCCCAGAGTGCGAAAATATATAGAGGAGACAGTAAACCATGTGACAAAAACCATATGGCACAAAGAGCAAAACGTGAGTAAGGAACATGAGTAAGTCATCGTTGAGGCCGCGCAGATGGCACTGCGAACAGGTGTCTTGCATTAGCAAGCACTCCATGTCTCTGTCCGAGAAGGAACTAAGGTTCCTCGAAGGTTTCAGTGAGCGCAAGTTGTTATATTACCTTGATTTTCTGTTTCGTTTCCTTATAGACTTTTCTTTGCCTTTTTCTGTGCTTTTGTTTTTTTCTCTTACTCATGTTTTGCTCTTTGTGCCATATGGTTTTTGTCACATGGTTTACTGTCTCCTCTATATATTTTTGTGCTTTGTGCAATAAACTCAGTTGGAAGTTAGTGCTCGTGTCCTTCTTGTCTCTGTGTCGTCGTTCTGTCTCGCGCTATAACTATCGTCATGTCATACCAACTAGCCCAAGCTGCCACACTTATAAGTACCCTGAGTCGATCTTGTGTGCCCCATTAAATTGAGAAGCTCGATCAGGCTCCTGAGAAAAAAAAAATGGAGAAACTGTATGATCACTGTGTTAAAGTTAGAGAACCGTATAGCACTCGTGAAAAATGTTTCTTGTCATGCAGCTTCACAGCATAAAATTTCTTCAGAACAGTTGCATTGATTGAACATTGCGACATGAACATTGGTTGAGCCATTGTATTTCAACCCACACATTTAAGCTACAAAGAAGAGATTCTTTGCAGTGCCACTTTGTTGGCAAACTTTTGTTGATGGCTGTACAGACAGTCGTACAATGGCCAACAGAAGCCCAGCCGAACCATGTGCATTGACAAGCGAGTACATTAGTTTATGACGAGTACTGTTCACGCAGTCAAGTCGTCCAAAACGTGAAGCGATCATAATTCAAATATTCAAGTTTGCTATAGTCGTGCTTGACTAAAGCAAGTACAAACTGATTTCACTAAAATGAATGCATACTTTTAAAATCTTTTAACCAAAAATTTCCTGCCTTGTTTTGAAGACATGAATCATTTTACAATGTTATTAACATGCGACAGTGCAACCGTTTTTACAGTAATGGTTATTTGAAAAAAAAAAAAGCGCCTTCTTTAGGCAGCATTTAGATAAAGAATTAAGTCTAATAAAACAAATTTACATTGAGTGCACTGGTTTTTGAAAGTTGTTAGGAAATTGAAACCTATTATTCTACCGTAGCATTTAGCGCTGGTTGGGGCAACTGCAGCATTTATATCTCTCCTCCTCTCTCTCTGTCTCTCTTTTTTTTTTTATTAGTGATTTTTCAAGGGTGCGTTGCTGGCTGGCAAAACGCTGGCACAAGCAACGGAGACAACTGGGAAATATGCAAGGCAATTCGTTTTCACAACAGCGTCACTTGCGCCAGTAAGCTTGCCTCACCTAGTCGTTGCCGCAACTATTATTTAATCGCCAAAGGCCAGCGCACGGCAACGCGTGCCTTCACGAGCGCAAAAATAGCAAGTCGCCGCGGATTTCGAAAGTACTGAACACTCGCTGTCCTTCCTCCAGGTGGCGTTCTCTTTCTAACTGGTGACGTCACCGCACCGTCATTTCTTTGGGTTCCCGGATGAAGACGTCACGCAACTGCTCTGTGGAATAACAAGATTTTTCCCTTGGAAACAACTAGATGCTAAAAGATTTTTTCTTTCGCGAACTGAGGTAATTAGGTATTCCAATATGTCAACACCAGCTAGGCGAAGACTCATGAGGGACTTTAAAAGGTAAGCGCCTGCATCCGCCTGCCCAAAGTTTTCGGTAGCACTGGCTGTAGTAAACTTGGTCGAGATGCCTGGTTGCGTTTTTGTCGATTGACTGCTTGCGCTTTGAACGGGCTGTCGAGTTTTGTACTTATAAGTATCACATAACCGTGCAGTATTCTTTTTTGTTAAGTCGAAATGGAGCACCGTTTGAGTGACTGTAACCGTGCGCGTAATATTTCCTTTCAGTAGTTGTGTACCCAGTACTCGTCTGGGCGTAATTTCCTGGGGCTTCCGAACATTCCCTTCGTGGTTTGATCTTCCTTCGTACTAGCGAGTTGTGCGCCCACGCGCTTAATTCTGCGACGACCTTCGCAGAGTAGCGTGATTCGCGTTAAGGAGCGTCAGCTGTTGCATCAGTCAGTCTTCTCTTTCGATGTGCTCCTAGGCCTAGTAGGTTTTCGGTGCTTGACTGACCTTGAGTGACGAATGGTTTCACTCTTACCAAGCGCGTTAAGGCCTTTCTGCACCTCGTCTGGCCGTCTCCGCACGCTGAGCATCCGCTTGGCGAGCGGGCGAGCAGCTGACGCTGCGATGTCGGGCATCGCCAAACTGCGTAATCACGATGCATTTCGAGCCATCATCAGTGAGCGTTGAACGCTCGTGGCTGGTTCGCGCGACTAGTTGACCTCCAAGTACACGCTTACCGTCGACCGTGATTCCCTCTTGTATTCCGCAATCCTTTGTCGGCACTCGCTTTAGCTACTCGCGAAAGTACATCGAATCGCAGTGCCTTGGTCGCTGAGATGCGACGGCAGCGCTGCACGAAACAAGCGCTCGCTCTTTAGGGAAATGTGGCCACAAACAACTTGCGTTCTTGTGTAATCTGCGTGGCTCTTTTTGTTCATCTGGCAGTCGGCGCGCCCCCTCAACGCCCGAGTCCTGCCATCCTAAATCTTTCGTATCGGTAGATGCCGTTGCTTAAACTGGGCCCGTATTGAGAAGCCCTTTTGCATACGGGTTTACGGCAGTAAGTGTACGTAAAGCAAGTGTGCTTGCTTTACAGGTTACAAGAAGATCCCCCAGCAGGTGTCAGTGGAGCCCCTACCGACAACAATATCATGATCTGGAACTGCAGTTATATTCGGGTGAGCATTCGTATGCTTGTAGTCCCCAGTTCAACAAGCGCGATATTGCTTCGTATGAACCTGTTTAGTAGGAGACTGTCCTTCAATTAGGAAACCCTCGGCTAGCCAAAGGCCGTGTATGTGTAGCCACATGTGAACAGAAGCTTCAATTCCTTTTGTGCCTCATGCTTAGCTCATTTAAATGATCTAATGCAGCAGCTTCCCTTTGGCATGCAAAGCTGTGTGAATCCCATCCAAAAGGTGTTGATTTGTTTGTTATGCTATGAAAACTGTGTATCGGCACAGATGAAAAGCCTCACATTTCTTCATCGTTGCATCCTCTGTTGCACCATGTACAGTGATGCCCTTGCATTTGTGCGTTAATATGGGCATGTGTATTTGCAGGCCGCATGACACGCCTTTTGAAGATGGCACCTTCAAGCTGACCCTAGAGTTCACAGAAGAGTATCCCAACAAACCGCCCACAGTTCGGTTTGTTTCCAAGATGTTTCATCCAAACGGTAAGCACCACTTTGCTGTTGCATTGTCACCAGCAGGCACACATGTGATGTTGGTGGGAACCAATGAAGTATCAGCAAACAGGCCCAGAGTTTGTTTCTACATCTCCCAAACAAGCTTGCTCATCTATATGAAAGGCTGCGGTGATGACACTTCGTGAATGTTTCAGCACTACTCCACTACACCAATGTATTATTTCAAAAACCAATTTTGTGCCCCTCTCCAGCACCTAACCAGTCCTCCTTCAAAGCACTGAGCTTATCGTTTGGTCCTGAGCACTATGATGCTACGCCTTGGCTTTGCGGTGATGCGAATTCGGCCACACACCAGAGTGTAATTGTTGCCATTATAGGTGTAGACATTGATGTAGTGCGAAGGTGATCCAGAAATTTTCACTCGCGTGCCAGATCCAAGTTCTTGGTTGAGCAAAGCAGAGTTTCAGGGGTATGCCGAAGATTGAAGTGACGACAATTGGTCAATCAAGGAATGTTGCTAGAGCAAATGTTTCCAAGTCAAGGGATTGTGGAAATGTTGGGTGCAGAGGTGACTGTAGTTCAATGAATTCTCTTTTAATGTTTGGCTTGGAATAATTACATAAAGCCCAGCAAGTTGGTTCTTATTCACCTTAAAAAAACAAGGAGTGCAACACGTACATAAGTAGTCGAGAGACCACAATCATTGGCCAGGCACCACTTGTGCATAACCTAGTGAACACAACCTGCGGCAGACACCAATAGTGTCTACCGCAGGATGTGTTTAAGCGACTACCTGCAGACAATGAAAAGACTATGCACAATGACTTTAAAAAGACTATGGGAAAGTTCTCTAATTATCTAGCATGATCTAGGACTAGGCCTTGTTAATAGTACCTGTGTGAATAATTATGGTTCTGATTTTCTTTAGTGCAGCTCAGCTCAATAGAGCTGTGTTAAGGGCACGGTTACACAGTAAATGCTCAATAATTCAAATTTCATGCGGCTGGAAAGAAAAGTCGCAAGTAACTGACTGTCGAATTATTGAAAGTGTGAAGGAAACAACTAACAAAAGTTGCTTATATCTATATCCTTTTATTTTTTTTAACGAATACATAAATCCTGTACTTAGTTTCCTACTAGTAGCAGTGTAAAAGCCACAATTTTCGCCATTCACGACTTTCACAGTGTACGCGCGGTTCAAGACTCCGATGTCTGAAGCCAAAAAATGCTCTTAACCTATCTCTTATTCTGCACCACCACCACTCACACGTGGCGATAATGCTTTCACTGGAAAACTGGACAGCGCAATGTACCCACTCATTTCGCATGCATTTCACTGGACATGTGTCGCGAAAATGCAGTGCCGCCGTTATCAGGTATTTAGATTGGTGTGGTAGGCAAAAGCTGCTGTGCCTGTTGCAGTTGTTGTTGTCTTCCCGCTGATGCGTGTGCTGTCGTGCAAAAAAGAGAAAAAAATAGTGTATCGACGAACTGTCAATTATTTGCATGAGAAGGAAAAAAAAAGATGGAATAAGTCTCTCTTTTTTTTTAAAGGCACGAAAAGATGAATTAAGTCTCTCACTATCTCTCTTCTTTCTTAGTTTTTTTTTTTACAATGACTATCTAGAAAAATTAGCCGCAGCTCTAAAACACGAGAACTTGTCTCCGAAGCTAGAGCCTTGGTTGTATTTGGAGTGGCTTGTTTTACCCAGAGGGAGGATTAGCTTTGTCAAGCGTTTACATTGCAATGCGATGCACTACATTATTTGGATTAAGTCCTCTGTGGAGCCATAGCGAGCGAGGTTGCCATTGTTGATACAACCGCAGAAGTCTTGGAAACACCAAAAAGATTTTGTTATACTCGTGTGAACTAAAAGGTGTCGCTTGGTCATGCAGCATGTGTTTTTCTAGCGTGTGCACAGTTCGTTAAAAGAGCAGCGAAGGAAATTGGGTAACTTCAACTATGATTTTGCTAATTTTACGTGGCTGCGATGACACACCTGACACATGTATCGGCCAGGACTGTTCTAGTTGCAGTGCCTTTCACGAGATGTCAAAATTCACAGAAAAGCAGCATTGGAGCAACTTTCAGTGTGCGTTATGGGCTGTATGAGTTTCGCGGTCTCGACTTGAGCATATGAAGAGAACCACAGATCTGGCAGGTACGTAATCGCATTAGCCATAGCATGCAGGTGAAGCATTATCACAAGCATATCCCGGATGAAGGTGTTGCTCATATCACCTTTGTCATTTGCATAAATAACTTCTCTGGCGCATTTGTTATATTCGAGGATTTACTCCGTGCATTTGCATATCATACCCAAGAGACTCTTGCTAAACTGTGTAGGTTGTTGTTTCATTAGCTAACGAACTGGAGTGTACATGTTTGACCTAGACTGCCGCAACAGCGATGACATTTCGTAAGTGAGTCCCATTTCCACCGTTAAAACCCTCGTGTTATGACGAGGTCTTCACACTTAGAGCTACACATCACAGCGACTCGTATTCATTTCAAGAGTTTGGAGCTATTGCAACTTTCTCTTTTGCGGCTGCCGCTTGTAAACACGTGGAGGGTGCCGTGACGCGCTATGCTTGGAGGCAGCTTTTACACCTGCTGCGCCAGTTGTCAAGTGATCATAGAGGGCAGTAGCGAGCTTTGTGCTGGGGCGGCTGGGTGGAGCCAACACACTGCAACCTCACTGCTAGGGCCCTAAATATAGCGACGGGGAGCGTGGTGCTTATCGCTCTTTACATACATGCAGTAGGTCTCTGTAAGTGGCCGTTTACACCATTAATATGAAAGCCCTTTGCTTTTGTTTAAGTTAATCATATTGGACCCCCCGCCCCCCCGCCTTTTTTGCCCCCTACAGTGTACGCAGATGGTAGCATCTGTCTAGACATTCTTCAAAACCGGTGGAGCCCCACGTACGATGTGTCTGCCATCCTCACGTCCATTCAGGTGAGACATTTTATATCATCCTATCACAGAATGCTTTTTGCCATTCAGGTGTCTGTTCACCTCCTTCCGCATTGTGTAGCCCCGCCGCGGTGGTCTAGTGGCCAAGGTACTCGGCTGCTGACCCGCAGGTCGCGGGAACGAATCCCGTCTCCGGCGGCTGCATTTCCGATAGAGGCGGAAATGCTGTAGGCCCATGTGCTCAGATGTGGGTGCACGTTCAAGAACCCCAGGTGGTCTAAATTTCCGGAGCCCTCCACTACAGCGTCTCTCATGATCATATGGGGGTTTTGGGACGTTAAACCCCCACATATCAATCAATTCTGCATTGTGTTGCATGTTTCAAGAATTCAAGCACAGATTGGCATTGCTCAGATCCACCTCATGTCCAGTACGATAGCAACAGCAGCAATTTAGACACATTTGTTACGAAACTTTTCTAAATTTCTCGTAGGTGTATATTATGATTTTTCCTTCAATAAAGTTCTTAGTTGTAGCATGCCAAAGGGACAGGGCTTTGCAAACAACCGCAGCATTATTTGGTCGTTCTTGCAATGTGTGGAATTACTGTAGGTCACGAAAATAGTCAAAATTTCAAATAGAAGACTGTGTTCTCTGACTCTAGAGCAGGTGTCTCAAACTCACCTTGGCTAGGGGGCTGCAGTCACGAAATTTTGGCCCAAGAGGTCCAGAAGAGTGAAAAATGTAAAAAGTGGGGCTGGTGGTAGGGACATTTTTGTGCAATTCTCAGTTAATATTGCCATTAAAAAGATGGCCTTTCTGCTATCGCATATATGGGCCATCTTTTAAAGGGATTTGGTGTCAGGGTATTGATGCTGATCTCCGGGTGGACTAAAAAAAGTAAAAAAATCTGGGCATTGATTCTGAAATATATAGCTTTTGTGTCACTGTTGTTCCAATGCACAGTGAACTGATAAGGCAGCCTGTGAAAACAGTTCATGAGGCCAGTTGCATTTGTGTAGCTCATGAACATGAAGTAATAAAATTGCTTTCTTGTAATATTGTGTATTCAAAATTTCTTCTGGTCCCAAATGCATACATATTAAGCTGCATTACTAGAAGCGAACGAAGAGCTTGACCCGCCTAGAACAAAGCGGTGAGCAGAAGTGTCGCAAAGTGGCAGCAACCTTTTTGCACTTCCTGCAATGTCGAGTTAATATTGCTAACATTTCACATAGGCACAAAACAAGCCACAAAAAAACTAAACCCACGACCGATGACCATCTAGTAACGGAAGCCAAGAGAATATCCTGTGCTCCCAGCTGTTAACTGTTCCAACAGACTTTTATGACTTCATAAATGCAGTCAGGGCTCCCATAACACTAATACATGTTTGGTACTGATTTTTTGGATGATTTCATGTCCAAAAGTGTGATTTTTTTTTTTTTTTTGCTCATTTAGAGCCACACCACTTCATTTTGAAAGCTGCCATGTTGGATTTCTTGCTGCCTTGTTCAAGTTTGGCTTCCAGTGGCCAGTTTTTGTGGCTCAAAAATTTGGAATGCACGCAATTTTTCAGTTTCAGAGGCCAACTTTTCTTATCGTCGTAATTATATGACAGTGGGGTTTTTTTTTGTGTGTGTGTTTCTTCCTGTTGTAACTCCGCATGTAGTTGTGTTGGTGTGTGTGTGTGTCAAGTATTTTTTAATCATCATGCGCGTCGCATTTTCTCTGCCGTTGTCGTGGCTCAGTGGTTAAGGATGCTCGGCTGCTGACCTGAAACATGCTGGTTCAATTGTGGCCGCGTTTTGATAGAGGTGATATGCTGAAGGGACGCCTACTGTGCGATGTCAGTTCGGAACAGCGTCTTTAATTCCAACCAACCAGACAAGACATTGCGAGCATCTTGTTGAAACTGACGCTAGCTTTGTTTTGTTGGTGCCATGAAGCCACCAACTGTGCTACGCAAAATGGTCAGTAGCAGCAATCGCCAGTGCGGTGACGGTGTAACTGTAGCCCCAAATACATCCAAATCTGCTTGTCTAAGTTTATATGAAGCAGGGCATTATCGAAGACTTTTTAGGCTGCTCTAATCCGTATGAACTTTATTTTCATGTCTTAACAACATTTGTAGACTGTTTTACGGTACCCGCCAGGTCAGAAAAATCAATTATTGGCAACTGTACTGCAGAATGAATGAGAGCTGTCAAATTTTATGGTGCAAGATGCCCATACTGTTAATCTCAGTTGCAGTCGCATTGCCGGTGTGTCCAGTGATAGAATCTACATGAAAGTAAGTTTCCCTGTCGCTTTGCGATGCCATAAAACTGTAATCACACTTATGCCAAAATGTTGCCAAATGATCCCAGACGGACTTTCGTCGTAGCATTCCATTGGGTGCATTCTGCGATTCGCCATCTAATTGTGTTATTCACAGTGCTTTTATTGTACCTCAATAAAGTTCTGCTTCGTTGAATATAATATGTTTTGACTTCTCAGTTGTAGTGCAATTAAAGCTTGACTGCTTTAGCTTTTCTTGAGTGGTCGATTATTTGAAATACCACTTATAGCACATTTTACCACCCTCCCGCTGACTTCCTTATAATGAGGAATAACTGTACTTGGGAAATTAAATAAAACCCTAGTTGCTTATCGCTTGTTTGTTGATGGTCTTCCCTCTACCTTACATTTCACAGAACAGTAAGTGTCGCAGCCATGGAAAAGCTCTTGAGAAGTGGGATGCAGATGGCACAATGTGCCTGATCTCGTTGCTGGCATTCATCAAGGTGGTAGGGGGGGGGGGGGGCAATATTTATAAAACCAGTACTGTTTCGCAGCTCCGCTCGCAAGCCGACACGGTGCTGCTGTTCCATTTTGCTTGACTTGCTGTGTCCCATGGGATCGGATACAACAGCGCACCACTGCTCTCAATTGTGCATTGCTGAAGCTAATTACGGAGGCAACGCACATGCTGCAGCTAGTCGAGACACGCAAGGAGTAGCCGCTTCAGGCACATTGCGTTTTTCCATGCTCCATTCATGATCAGTGCTGCTAGTTCTTGCGTAGGCCGCTGCGTCCAGTTTGGAGAGCAAGCGTCCATGGGGAGCTGCGAAACTGACTTGGTTCTAGAAATGATAGGGTGGTTAGCGGTAATGCGGCAGAAAGCTTAGGTGACAGTGGAGTGGGGCCAGAGGAGCTTCACTCCTTACCTTTAAAAAAGAGAAAAAAAATGTGCACCATCATGTGCAGGTTAGGCTGTTAACAAAAGGTCTGCAGGCAGTGTGCTTGAGACCCCTTTTCTCTAGAGAATCCCGCTTCAAGCAAAATTGTGGCTGTATGTGAGAGTTCCTCATATAAGATGCACTGCTTGAAATGCGTCTTACCATAGCACATGACCTCTATTATTCAGTGACAATACTGCCACTGCGAGTGCACTGCACTGTAAAAAAAAAAATTTAAAAGTTGTCAGAGTAAGCTAGGCTCATCATGCACGTCTCATGAAGGTGTGCTTCAATCTTACCAATGGCAAAAATGCGTTCCGAAGCCTGACATGCCATGGCTGATTCTGCGGGTCCTGCAGATTGTCCCGCCATCTGAGAGCAACGGTACAAAGCACTAGAGTGCCACAGCGCTGCTCCCTGCATGTGCCTTTTTGCAAGCTGCTCAACGTTGTTCGTGGTGATGCCACACCGCATGCAGTGCTGGCACTGCTGCAAACATTTATGGGTATTGTTTTGCTCAGTAGCTGATAACAATCAGCAGACCCCCGCGATTTCAGCCAATGGTGCATCTAAACTTCGATGCATAGGGCCTGTCGGGAGTGAGTCTCGCAACTTGTACGATTGAAGAACTCTGGATAGTAAAAGTAGCACAGTGAAAACTTTTATTCATGCCCGTCTAGAGCACGACGTACATGACGTACTGAATGGTAGGATGCAAGAACTGCCATGTGCAAATTGCATCTCCTACAATGCTTGTCGAAACATGGGCTCCAGCGACATCTCTTGTTTGAATATTTTTTCATCACCTTATGCATCAATCTACCCTTGAACCTTCAGTTTTGTGATAGCATGGACTCACACACAAATACGTATATGATGGGTCCTTTGAAGTATAGTGGATTTTTAAGAAGCTGTGTTTAAAGACAAGTGCCTGTCCTTGTCAGCTCTTTGTTTATTGTCCTTACAAGACGTGGAGAGTGTGTTGTCTCTCGCCTAAACTGGTAGTTACAGACTCGAAGCAGGGTCAAAGCACTCATTCAAAAGAAGCTGTTCTGTTTGCCTCTCATTGCAGTCTCTTCTGGACGAACCAAATCCCAACAGCCCGGCGAACAGTCTGGCAGCACAGCTCTACCAAGAAAACAGGCGGGAGTACGAGAAACGAGTGGCTGCCATCGTTGAGCAGAGCTGGCTCAACTTCAACGACGATGAGGCCAAGGAATCAAAAAAGGAAGCGTCCTAGCTTATCCTGCTGATCCACCACCACCCATCAACGCTTGGCCCACCCACTCCCTTTCCCTCCCGAGAGAAATGCCTCTTCCCCTACCCACGCAAGACCAGGCACCGAAAGAGCGAGACCAGGGTGCAAGAGGCAGCATCCGTGTAGGCCGCTCTTATAAAAAAAAATCAGCAAGCGGAAAAGACGAAAGCTGATTAAAAAAGATGGAGGACGAGACTGTTGCTTCTCAAAACTACACGATTTTTCTGTGTGCTGGTGACATGAGCAGGGTTGCTTTTCAATTTTGTGTGCAAACTTATTGCAACTTTGTGACCGTTCTGAGCGTAGCTCATTTTCCATGCGTGCTGTGCAGTGCACGACTGCTCCTACAAGGCTGGCTTCAATGGAAAAATCCTGCACTTCTTGCGCTCTTGCTGCTTTTGAACTGAGAACGCCCTGGTTGGGGCATGCTCTGACAAGTTCGGTTCAAAATTCTGCATGCGGTGCAATGTTGCATGATGAATAGCTGTACTTGTATTGATTGGCTAAAATCAGTGCGTGAACGTCCCCACTTGCATTACCCATGTGGGCCTTATAAATATATATATATAAATCTATATATGAACACACATTCTCTTCACCATTGCGCTTGTGCACTGAAAAAGATGTAGTGCAAGTGGTTGGGCAAGCTGTTTTTTTTAACTCCCCTCTTACATGCTTTAAGTGCTAAAATGAGTGAAAGGTTCCTCCTGTTTTAACTTGTTTAGACCTGCATTGTGAGATTGTTTAGCACAGCCGGTTTTTTGCATTTCGAGACATTTTGCGAAGCAAGCATTTGTCTATTCGGTTTACAAGCAAACTCTTACGATGGTTGCTCGTATACTTGTTTGGTTACAGGAAAAAGAAAACAGATCCGACGGTTGTCCCTGTGTACATTTCGCTTTTGCAGTTGCACAAAATGTTTTTCTCGGTGAAATGAAATCTCCAGGCATCTATACAGCAAAGTGCCTGTTAATTAAGCAGTAGGTTTACTCGAGGCATTGTCAGCCGTGTTCCCGACTGTACTGTCACATGCATCTACAGTTGAGAGTTAAATTACCAGATCAATCGAGTAGATTGGGTTTGCACGAGCAATGCGCAGTGATGTTTGCAAATGCATTTTGATGTACACCTGTAGAGCTCTCAGCACTTCGAAATGCCTGTATTTATTGTGCCAGCAAGTGGTTCAACAACAGAGTAGTTGAAGTGCGACACTGCGATTTCTTGAGTGCACCGCAATTGTGCATGCATTAAAGAAAAAGGGGATCTTGCACGATTTCGGACACAATGAGTCTTAGTTCTGGGAGTCTGTGGGTCTTTTCTGCATGCGTGCTGCAATATGTTTCTAGTCTGTTTCCAAGGTGTGTCTAGACTGTTGAGACAAAAATAAACGTTGAGCTACTGCTACCGAAAGGTGGCCATCAGGACCTGACAGTGATGCCACGTTGTCTTCGACAATGCAAGTAGAGATGTCCTCCACTCTGACTTGCCTTCTTTCTCTCTCGCCTCGCTCTACTAGAGGTCTTGAACTGGCTGTGCACATTCGGTAATATAGGGTGTGCATTCTCATTGGGTAGCCGAGATAGGGCATGTTGAGCATGAGTAGCTGAATTCGTATTTCTCTGCACAGCTGCTAATGCTATGAAGCTTACCTACATGTAATCATGTGGAAACTTGTGGGGAGGAAACGTAGCTGCTGCCTTTTGAAAAGTACAGCATCAAGGCTGACCAAGCAAGTAAAGCTTCGATTCCTAAACTCGTAGTCGGAACCATGTAAAAAAAAAAAAGCCGCACAAGCGCTTGGCTGCTCAGAATATTTCAAATCCATGCAGTTTTTTCTTAATGGTGCCATAGCAACTCTAGTTCACTAATTTGCAACCCTTTCATGCCGCGATCTGTATGGGGCTTGATACATCGGTAGAAACATGCAACATTACTGTTGAGAATATCCATGTCGCCGTTCGCTATAAGAGAACCAGGTGGTCATCAGGTTATGCCTGCATTGTGAAGGAAAACAGTCGTGGTTTTTATATGCGCCTATGCGGGCCATGGAATGCAACATATGCCGATACTTCACACTGTGGCACTTGAAAACAGCCGCCTGGTTTTTGAGGCTTGCTACCAGCAACTACAGATGGCCACTCTTGGTTGTGCGCTTGCGAATTGATCATGCAAGATATGTACCATCATGGACAAATATAATATGTACAGTGTAAGTAGGACACCTAGAATGCCAACTGTCTAGCAAGGTCTTGCTGTGCTGCAATTGTGGAGGCACTGTACTGCGGATAATTTGTAAAGCCCCTATTTATGCTTATTTGTCCATGGTAGTGCAGTCAGTAAAGACTTTTTTTTTCTTCATTTCCTGTTGCTACACAGTAGCATTTACATTCTCGGCTTTAAGATCACACTGTGATAACTGTTTGCAAGAGCTTGCAACTGTGGTGTAAGTTGTGTCCCACTTTTTTTTTTTTTTCATCTTGTGCAGCGAGCAGTGTGTAACATAGATGCCACAGCATTAGCCGGCTCTTATTTCTCCCCTGTGTGTGGAGCAGATCACATCCTTCCGCCTAGAGTGTGTGCATCCCCTCGTGCACACGTGAAAGTGACATGATCAGACCTACTAAAGTGATGAAATAAAATCTTGCAAACGGAAGTTGTCTCGTTAGTGTGGTCTTCAAGCCCGCACAAAAAGCAGGCTTGTCACGCGATGTTGTGGATATTTCAGCTCGCAACACACGCACTCAGCCTTTCACAATTGCTTTTGATGTCTCTACAAAGGTCAAGTGTCCCTTTTAGCACATGGCAGTTATTAAGCATGAAGAATACTAGTGCTAATACAATTTTCCCAGCACTGCTGTGATAGCAAAGCTTGGTTCTACATGCAATTGGCTTACATCCCAAATGAGCCAATTGCTGTAAAATCCCGAGCAAGTGCCCCCTCCTTTTACGAGATTTGCAATATGCACCCCCTTTTCTCCCCTCCCACATTCTTGCTGTTTCAATGTTTTATTGCGATAGCAGTTATATGGACACTCTCGCTTGGATTCTGCCCCCGACGTTGCCATCACTCACCGTATGCGTATCTATATATATATATATGAAAACGCAAGAAAATTAATCCACACAACGACTGGCGCGCGGAGTCAAACTTGGCACCTTTGACACTTGAGTGCGAGGTGTTAACCACTGAGCCACCGAGGAGCACATCATTCAACGTTCAAACGGCAAGCTATTTATGTCTACCACTTGCCGCTGGTGATGGACATCTCGGGGAGAAAGTGTTTTCAGCATTACAAGCAAGATGGTGCAATGAGTGCGCGTCGTCACACCGAACGGTCGCATCATCAGGAAGCGGCGGCACACTCATCTCCCACGCGTACTTTGCTCCGCGAAGGAGAAGTGAGAGGATGCTCAGCCCTTATCTCACGATGGGGAAGACCGTACGTTTTGGTTGGCTTTGGACTTTCACCAGAATGATTCTGTTATAGTTACTGGGTGCACAAAGATCACTGCAATCATTGCATAGTCGCCGTTTGCAAAAAGGGCGCGCTTTTCAGACAGAGCGAAGCACAACTGGAACGCTTATTCATGTTCATCTATACCTGCATCATTTATGCGTGAGAAGCACGAGGCACCTTTCGTCTACTTGTCATTCTGCATGTGACCTTCCAATTTGTTGCTATCGCGTTCATTGCTTCACTTTTGCAACAAAGCTGTGACTTCATTGCCTGAAAATTTTCGCTGTTTCATTCACTGTTTTTAGTAGCCCAACAAGTGCAAATAAAAACAGTGAACTTGTGCATATTTAATAAAGCATCGCATTAAAAGCACGAGTGTGCATTTTTTATTTTAGCCACTCCTCGTCCACCACATTGAATTAAGATCCAAGACCGAGTAACGGCCCCCTCTTTTGAATCTTGCCACTTTATCTTTCACATTAGAGGGGTTACGCTTGCTCGGGATTTTACAGTGGAGTAGACTCGCGCTAAACTAGAAGCATAAGTGGTCTTCCACATAGTTCACAATGAGTCTTTGCACCAAATACTTGATAAAAATAAGCTGTGATGTCCTAAGAAGCCAAACAAGAGTTTAAAAGTTAATTTTAGAGTAAGAATCCATCGAAAAAAAATTGCAGTGAAAGGCAGGTATATCAAAAGGCTCGTTATATTTGCCGCATTATAGGCTCAGACTGTCAACATGTCGCTGCGGCAGGCAGAGGTTGTAAAAGGAGTTCTGGTCCCAGAAGTTCGCTCCTTTCCAGCCACACCAGCCCTGCACGGATGGATGCAATTCACGTGCAAATTACTTCCAAGAGCATTACATACTGCTGAATTTCAATAGATAACATGGCCTCAAGTGATGTAAAACTTGTTGCAGACTAGATTGTAGCTTCAGCCACATGTGATCAGAAAAAAAAAGAAAGAAAATGGGGGTTCCTTACAACATAGAGTTTCCCATAAATACACTAGAGGGAACTATGGCGCTAGTGTCTATTGAAGCTACAACACATGGCACTTCAGCGAGCAAGGGAATGATGGGTAATACACTTATTTGTCTAAATTTCGTACTTTTGGTTCTGGTTGGCTTTGCGTAGCTCGAACTTGCTTTGTCAGGAAACAACAATCGTCAAATATTCAGCAGTTGCACTCCACAATTTTAACCTTTCAGGCTTACTATTTCAAATCTGCTTACGAAGTTTATAATCGTTCATTCTTTCACTCAAAATAAAACCCAAACACGGCAATAAACATTCATAAGTGCGTTCAAGTACGAAGGACCAGGCAAATCCGTGTACTACCCATCATTCCTATGGTCGCTGAACATTTGCAGCGCAAGAGTCCCTCTAATTAATTTCAGGAAATTTAATGCCTTAAAGGGCCAATAAACAAGCCCAAGGTCCAAAAATTGTTATCAAGAAAAATATGTGCACTTTTACTTTGGGAACATGCTGCCGCACAAATTTTGCGAATACATGCTATATTAAGCAAGTTACCAGGATTAGAACATTGCTTTCTGCTGGTTTCACTATTTTCGCGCGGTCTCGCCAACCTTCTCCCTCAGAGGGAGGGGAAGGTGTAGCCCGTTGTCGTGACTTCACCCTCTTCGGCAACGTGACACGACGTCAGCAATTGACGTCATCGGCGTACTCTATCAGTCGCAACACAATTCGCTTGCCGAGATGCGTGGCTGTTAACTGTTCATTCGGTGCCGATGCTTCTCCGCAGCCCAGTCACTCGATTTGCAGCCAACAACGATTTGCAGCAAAACTGCGTTCCAAAACGTGGACATGCAGTTGGCCTGATTTTGAGAGAGTTAGCAGACTGTCGTACTGTCAGAGAGCAGTAACACAAATAATGCGTTTAATAGTGGGTGTGCTGATTAACAGGTGGTGAGACAATCTGCTCACTCCCAAAAACTGGGCCAGTAACATGTCCGCATTTTGATACATTGAACCTACAGGGAGTTTCGCAACTCGTATGATTGAATAGCTCTGTCGTAGCTGTGAGGGGGATACCGCGGGAACAAGAACTGTTGTTGACTATTGTTTGTTTTGAGACCTGGTTTAGACCAATCGACGAGCTGTGTGCTGCGTCACGTCGCCGAAGGCAGAGTTGACGTTGCTGCGCGTGGAAGGGCCTCAGTCAGGTGCAGAAAAGATTCGCTGGAATCGTTTTTCGAAATGAAGGCTTTGCACTGTGCACAGCGCCGTAATATTTAGAAAACGGGATCGCTGAGGCCTACTTTACGATTTGCCGAGCTTGTTTGGGGGGTGTAAAAAAAAAGTCTGAGTCTCTTGACTGGCCCTTCAAAAGGCCAGTGCACAACCCCAAGGTCCTAAAATTGTTACGAAGAGAAATGTGCGCACTCTTGCTATATGGACATGCTGCCGCAAGAATTTTGTGAGTATGTACAGGGGTTAGAACATATGTTTGAGCTGGCTTCATATTTTCGCGCGGCCTCGCCACCCTTCTCCGCCACAGGAGGGGGAAGGCGTAGCCTGTTGTCCTGATTCCACCCACTTGGGCAACGCAACAAAACGGCAGCGATATGTCACCGGTACGCAGCCAACGACTGAGCAGGGCATTCCCGGCACGAGACCGTGCCACAGTGGTGCGAGGTGAAAGTGTAAGGAAGCACAGTTTAAGGAGCACCTGTCACCTAGTGGTGAAGTAGCGAGATGTCTCTATTGCGCGGCCGGAACTGCATCACTACTGCAAAACTGCCAAGGCACTGTTTTGCAGGTCAAAATACCAATTCGATCAGCTCAGAGGTATGTAAAGTTGCCCAAGGGCAACCTTTCGTCACTGCGCGTACAGGGAATATTGGTCAAGCGAAGGAAAACAGAGGCGGGCATTGTTTTTCGAAATGGAGGGTCTGCATGGTATGCAGGGCTGTAATATTCGAAAATGTGATCTCCGCGGTCTACTGTACAAATTGGGGAGCTTGTTTGAAGAGTGTAAAAAAAAAAATGCTGGAGCCTGTGTACTGGCCTTTTAAGCTTTGAAGAGTTGAACACGATAGCGATATCTTGTCCCTATGATGTACCCTACTTCAACCCTACTTACAATGCTACAGCATCGGCTTTGCGTAAACTGTTTTTCCTACGAAGGCGTTTACCCTTCGCGCCGACAGATACTAGGCTCCTAACTTACACCACATTCGTGCGACCAATCTTGGAATACGCTAACACTGTGTGGTTCCCGCAAGGTGTTACTAATATAGCAAAAGTTGAACGGGTTCAAAGGAAGGCCATTAGGTTTATACATAATAAGTACAAACGCACCGACTCGCCCACAAACCTTTTAGAAATCTCCGGTCTACCCACGCTTGCAACAAGAGCAAAAATCGCGCGTCTCAAATTTCTATACCACATTCTGCATAACCACAGCCGGATCGATGCATCCAGGTACATATCTTTGGCAGAATCACGAACACTACGACATAAACATGCATACACTATCAAAGAATACGCTTCCAACAACAACTGTTTCAAGCAATCCTTTTTCCCCCTGTCAATCAGCGAATGGAATAGGTTAGATCCCTCCATTACTGACGCACCATCACTGGCAGAATTCACTTCAAAAATTGAGACTATACTTTGAGACAAAGGCTTTCTTCAACCATGACCTCCATTATTGTTTTCAAGTAGTATTTATTTGGATGTATAAGTGTACACAATGCCTTCTCTGTATAAAACTGTATTGATTCTTTTATGCAGCAAAGATTCAGTTCGCTGCTTCCAAAGTGTGAATATTTGGAGTGCATAAATACCTATGTCTAATGTTTCTATGTAACTAGGATTATTATTACCAATTTTAAAAAAACTACAGTTCTGTATGCCGCCTGTAAGAAAGTACTTAGCTTTTATTGTATTCTGTAACTCATGCCCTCCTGCTTTGGTCTCGTAAGAGACTGGCAGTATTGTAAATAAATAAATAAATAAAACCACTTAGTGCATACTTTTCATTTTATGGTGTTACTGGACAAGTTTAAATTGTAGATTACTGGAAGGTAATCAATAAAGATGAAAATGGCTTGTGTTAGTAAAGCATTTACATATGGCTGTATTCGCTTTAATGAGTAGCATGCTTTAAACCACAAGCAATTATGCACATGAAACGTTTTCCAGCTTGCTATGCACCCACTATCTAGTCTTGAAGGAATACATGCAGTAATGCGTCTGCCTTCTGTAATTGGTGACTGGCTTTAAACCACGAAGTCATTATGGTAATCACATTCCCTGACACCCAGTGGCGATTCACACTTGTAACACGCATAATTACTGCAATGTTACACGTTGTATTGTGGAGCCTGTATACACTACTATTCACTGCATTTCCAAGCAGAGGAAGTTATTCTCACTTTATTTTTCCAAGCAGATGTTTGCCAATGGCTTAGGCTTACAACATATTGCTGATAAATGCAATTCACAAAGAGCGCTATTGAACCGTGTAGCTTTTAAGCTACAGCAGGGTCAAGCTGTCTTCTGAAAGCAATTGTAAACAACCAAAGCTGTAACATTTATCAAGAAATAAAGCACCCTCTGTCAAGTTCCCTGTCATACTATTGTAAATATGGATTAAAGTCTTGAACTGCACAGCAAGCAATGTCCAGGTGTGTATAGGTTTCCAGCTCCAAGAGGAGCTGGAAACCTATACTTTTCGATCTGCTATTATACCTACAACTTCTATTAACATTATTTTTTTTGTATTTGCATTTATTTTTCAATATATATAAACCTGAATCACTTTATCTTCGAATGGCCCTAGACCTTCAATGCCTTGTGGTCATTATTAATGTCATGGCATGGGAGTGAAAGTCAGTCACGCCAAACTCTCTCTCAATTTTCGTTGTCACACATATCACAAGTGCACCTGGCTGCATGCAGAACCCAAACCCACACTACAAGAGCTGCCAACAAAACCATGGCAGCCCCGCTTACAACAAACCTACTAACTCCCAGTTCACAGAGTTGGGCCTTCGGCCTCATTAAAACACTGAATTGTCCCTCTTCCCTGATTTCAAAAAAAAAAAAAAAAACTGCTAGCTCTGAGTAAACAGAACAGTGGCATCATGATGCAGTGATACTGTGAGGAAGCACATGACACTGTTGCCTGCACGCTACGGCTGAGCTGTAGTGAAGCACACTTTTCTCCAACACAACGGCCTTTCGGCTGATCAGGCGACATATTATAGATAAACTTGACCAAATATTCTAATGTTTTGAATACTCGAACGAATATTATTACTGTATTCGAATTCACTTTGATTCGAATATAAATTGTCGAAAATTTTGAAATATTTAGAATTACCTGCATTTAACCACCTGTAAAAATTGTTTAGCAGCAGTGGTGGGGTGCTAATGCATGAGAGCATCTACTCAAAGCATATTCGCACTGCTACGAAGCCCCACTTCAAGGCTAGATGAACATATTGCTCTAATATCGATTCCTCATTTTTTTTTTAAGTTTAAGAGCTTAGTTATACTAGCTTATATTATCAAATTATAGTAAATTTTATAAGCAATTTTATAATGTAACATATCTTATAGGGTCATCACTTGCATTGTACCAAAAGTCAAATTGAGCTACTATTCAAAGTTGTTTCCAGTTTCTGTGAACGAAGAATAATGACATTTACAGAGATACTGTTTCAATAAAAAAAATATATCAGTGCAGGTTATATGGTAAATCAAAAATGGTGCCATTTTTCGTATGATATTATGTGATATATATACTATTCGATTTAAAATTATTCGACCAAATCACTTTTCGCTTCGAACCTGAAATTCACTGTTCGCACAAGTCTAATAATGGACCAATATTACTTTCTTTTTGCACTGGCAGCAAAGGTGCTGGAGTGCTTCACCTGTCAATCTTGAACAATGATATCTGGAGTTTACTTATTGCTCCGAAGTGTTGCAATTTCCACAAGTTTGCAGCGGTATCGGGCTATGGAATCACTGCGAAACCTGATCCGTAAAGCTATGAACTAACAGCTGTGGCAAACCAGTGTCTCAGTTTATTTTCAGTTACTCAAAGTTTGCTGCATCCTACTTCGCCTACTATGTTCCATTAATTCAAAGAATTTTCATGCTCCAAGGAATTAACAGGGTTTTACCATACCTTATTTTGCACGGTAGACAAATCCTCGCCACCGGTGTAATGTGGATCAAGCACAAGATAGTGCGATTCGCCTGTTTTACTGTCAAAAGCGATTCCAATGATAGTGTGTGCTAGCATCCCACCTCCTGCACAGGAGAAGTCATACAACAAAATAAATGAGAAATAATCACAACAATGTGTCTAGAGTTTGAATATGGTCTGCAAGCAAGCAAAGAGATAGCTGCCGCACGCATGCGCGTTACAATGAGTATTAGTTAATGCGAAAAACAAATCACCCTCTAAAGATTGCAACATTGAGTCAGATTGCTGAGACTTGATATATCAGACTCATTTTGCATCCAAACAAAAATGTAAATGTTATTCAACTATGTTATTCTTTACAAAGAAACAGAATGGTTTAGTCTCATTGCTTTACATGCATCATACATGCAAATTTCAATCTCATAAGAATGAACATGAATATCATATCAAACTATTATGTAAGTCAAAGTAAATATAAAATTTGGATGACAATGCTCTGTGTTATTACTGTGTACTGCTGTAAGGATATCGAAAATAGAACACTTCAGGCAATGCCAGTCACTACAAAGTGGATATTTTGTTCATCTGCAGCTAAATATATGTATTATGTGAGGAAGGCTTTATGGCAGTACATAAATACTCAGCAACTTGAAGTGACACATTCTGAAAGATGCCAAGTTTGAGCAGTTTAATGCAGCATTGTGAAGGCAAAGGCCCACACACGCACGCATGAGCATGTGAGTACACACAGACATACTAGTGTTTGTAATGTGTATGTCCACCATGTTCGTGTCCCATTTATTTTGCGCTGGTAAAAAGTGAGCCAGAAACCACTCACCGATCATGACTGGAGTGCCGTGCTTTTCAAAATGCGCCATGAGTTCCCGACTCTTAGTTGGCAACTCGGCACCAGAGCTCACAAACATAGTCCGATACTCCACCTGAGAGTAACACAACCCACAATGTAAAAAATTAGGAGTGATTTAACAATAAACAGTCGTGCCAAATTAATTATGAACAGTTTAAGGTATACACTTTGTAAAATAGTCAATATTGCATATTCTAGAACTTCGGAAGCTTAAAAGTGAAAGGGGAGTTAGAGGAAATAAAAATTCGTGTCACATTTTTTTCAATTAAATTAGGCTATGTTTAGACATATGACGACATGAGTTGTAAGAATGTGTGAGCCATGACGAGATAAATAAAATGGTCCTTATTTAATATGCATATGTTCAGCCAAAATAATATACTCTGAATAATTAAGTGCCAAATATTTAAGTCATATAGTAGTTACAAAACTAGAAATATCCAATGCGAGGCCCAAATTCAAGATATTAGCATATTACTGAAAAAAACTATTGTTAATAATTATTCTGCATGTCAGCAAGTAGACGTGTACTCTTACTTTGCATGGTAAATAATGATGAAGTGTAACAAGCAATGTTATTTAGTCCTTAGCAATATTTGACAAGAACACATGTAGTCACGAGAAATTTAGAACTTAAGACTAATGTTCCAACGTTCAACCCTGAATCCTTTCAACGAGTAGAAATTCTTTTTTCTTCTTGATTTGACTTTACTCATGAGCATGAAGATAGCGTATTCTGAGCACTCCACTAGCATATAAGAGAAATGGCGTCATGCCCATATATAGGACACCGGGGCTTAGAGCTTGCGAAGTGATATTTGGTAAATTTGCATTGCTGAGTAACTCAGGGGACTAATTGCAACTCATGATTATGGAGTTAGACAAGGAGAGCAGAAAGGTGGGTCTTAAAATTAATCTGTAGAAAACGAAAGTATTGCACAACAACCTCGGAAGAGAGCAGCGCTTTGATATAGGTAATAGTCCACTTCAAGTTGTAAAAGACTATGTCTACTTAGGGCAAGTAATAACCCCGGAGCCCAACCACGAGATTGAAGTAACTAGAAAAATAAGGATTGGGTGGAGCACATTTGGCAAGCACTCTCAAGTTATGACATGTAGATTGCCACTATCCCTCAAGAGGAAGGTATATAAAAGATGTATCTAGCCAGTACTTAGCTACGGAGCAGAAACCTGGAGGCTTACAAAGAGGGTTCAGCTTAAATTGAGGACGACGCAGCGAGCAATGGAAGGAAAAATGGTAGATGTAACCTTAAGAGACAAGAAGAGAGCAGAGTGGATTAAGGAACCAACGGGGGTTAAGGATATCATAGTTGAAATCAAGAAGAGGAAATGGACATGGGCCGGGCATGTAGCGCGTAGACAGGATAACCGCTGGTCATTAAGGGTAACTAACTGGATTCCCAGAAAAGGCAAGAGGGCTAGGGGGAGACAGAAGGGTAGGTGGGCAGATGAGATTAAGAAGTTTGCGAGTATAAATTGGCAGCAGCAAGCACAGGACCGAGTTATCTGGCAGAACATGGGAGAGGCCTTTGTCCTGCAGTGAACGTAGCCCAGGCTGATGATGATGATGATGATTTGTTAAATTTAAATACTTCACCCCTTATACCATGCTAGCATGAGTAATTATTGTGCAGCTAAACGTGTAGCAATGATGCATTCGTTTCAGAGTCCAAAGCGTCGAAAAGCAAGTTTTTGCATGCATAATACACAGCTCCTCATTGCACTTCAATGGCTGAATGCTTTAGGAGGTCAACCATCATAAAAAGATTGATTGATTGATTGATTGGTTGATTGATTGATTGATTGATTGATTGATTGATATGTGGGGTTTAACATCCCAAAACCACCATATACCGTAATTATGAGAGATGCCGTAGTGAAGGGCTCTGGAAATTTCGACCACCTGGGGTTTTTTAACATGCCCCCAAATCTGAGCACACGGGCCTTCAATATTTCGGCCTCCATTGGAAATGCAGCCGCCGCAGCCGGGATTACATCCCGCGACCTGCGGGTCAGCACCCGAGTACCTTAGCCACTAGACCACCATGGCGGGGCTCATAAAAAGACTGCTCAATCTGGCTTTGCGGTGTAAAAATTATTTCTGCCCGTGTCTTCAAGGGCAAGATGACAGAACTTCACTGCAGCTTCGTCATTTCCTAGCTCCTGCATGTTCCTTTCACGTAGTGCCGAAAACGTATTCAGACCTATTACATATAATCTCGGTGTTGAAACCCCCTTATATATCATCTAAGAAATCTGGGCCGGATTCTCGGCTGAAATAGCAAAAAATCAAAAGCTTACACAAACACTATGGCTCTGGATCAACCTGCGATAAATTCCAGGCTCTGATAACAACCGAGTTTTGTTGTCCTGTATTCAGGGCATGAAAATCGTGCATTACTGCGGGCGGGGCAATAATTTTATATAAAAAGGTTTTAGCAGCACAAACTAAAGGAGGGGATAGAAGAGACGAGATAGAGCGCAGAAACTGCCAACAATTTATTTCTTGCGATAGTCTTCGCTTTTATACAGTCACCAGTTGCACCAGTCATGCATGAAACACAATGATAATGCATAAATACACCACAACGCCAAGCAAAGGAACAACAGAAGGCCTGCTGACACAAGCATCTTTTAATGAACATATCTTTTCTGCCTGTACTATCTCACGTGTGGTGCAATCCCTGCATGTTGCAACAATAGTACAATCTGAAAACGTTGGCCTGCAGCCACACGTGCTGCAGTGAACAGACAGCCATCCTTGTTTATAATTGTCCACATTATACAGATGTTCTTTCAGCCTCTCATTTATACAACGATCTGTTTGGCCAAAGTAGTATCTTCCGCACGATAACAGTAGCTGATGCACCACATTACAAATACTATCTCCAAATTTATTTGAGTGTTTGGTAGTGCAACCAAGGGTGGGTCTGGACAGTGAAACGGACAGTTTGCACAGGCGACTCAATTTTTGAGGGCTTTAAAGGCCACATTCACATTAACTTGCTGTGCCACTTTCTTAAGATAGTGTGCTATCTTGTGCATAATCAAAACTACGGCGAAAGCTTGTCTAGCTGTGAAAGGTTGGACTCTTTATCATGTTATACCAACAGGCCGAATCCTACTGTAAATAAGCCCACTATGTGAGCCCACAAGTTCAAGTTTTCTGTGAAGCTCATCTTCTAGTATAAAATGACACTCAAGTTTTCGAACACTAACCTAACAATCTAGATAGTGCTACTTTCAATTGCTTGTATTTTGAAATTTCCCTGGCCGACAAATAGAATTCGCATGCATTGTTACTTGTTATTCAATTTGCTTTTAGCGGCTTCACACAGTGAAAATAAATCTCAAAAACATGGTGATTTGAAAAGTAGTGCTGCCGTATACCTTTCAAAGCGATAATGAAGACTCTAGAGATGAAATAATGCAATAAGAAGAAAATCTGGTGGCTTACACCGAGCAGCCTGTTGAGAACGAAGCCAACCTCTTGGGATCCAATCCACTGTTTTGAGCCAACAAATGAAGAAGGCTTGTCTCCAATGTCCACCAATATCTAAGGAAGGAGGATACGGTCACATCTCAGTATACCGAACACAAATACGACGAGGTATTAGATATAATCGTGCATAAATGCTGCAAAATGAACATATATTTTCCTGATGTCAACATGTACATTCAACACGTACAAAAACCAATGTGTACACGCCAGCGATGTTAATGTCTGCAAAGGCACCAGGCAAACCTTAACACGGCGATGGTCAATTATTGAATGATGTGACTGATAAGCATTCATCACTGACATCTCTACAAACAAATACTGTGCTTATAACTAATATAAGTCACAGCAGTGCTATTTTTGTGCCAATAGGCTTATTATAATGAGGCTTAAGCTGTTAAAAGGAATCACTGGCTAATCAGTTGTCAGCCTACAATTCAGTAACAGTAAAAGCACACTGTTTTGTTTGGGGCTCCTTCAGTGGCCAGCTTCAAGCATAGTTAATCAATTACAGCATAGTACCACTTAAACAAACATCAGTTAAACTACTCAGCTCAGTCGTACAAATCTTCTTTTAATCATCTCCCCTTCCTCCCAAGCTACTATCGGATCCAATGCTAATGTGTCAGATTAACGAAATCTGTACAGAGAGCATTTCAGATGTATGAACATGTCTTGTGACACCATCCGGTATTGCTCACATTATAATGAGAATTGTCTGAAAGACCGAGTACAGACGGTACTTCGTGTTCTGATCAGTGGGTCAACTGTGACTCGCATTGAGATATGCATCATTCTGTCCACAAAGGAGAGAGTATTCCTACCTCTTGAAGGAAAATAGGAGAAGTAACCATTGTAGAGTTAGCGCCAAGAATTTCAGCTAAAGAAGCACTGATGTACTTTGAGAAAGTAAAGTCCTTCACTGCCCAGCAGACTGTTGTGGCAGAGAAGATGTAGTGCTCAATTCATGCCTAGTAGTACTTCAGTGCTAAGTGCACAGGTGCAGCAAAAGATTAAATTTTTCAAAAAATGCTAAATAAGGAGAAATTCACATTCAAATATACAGTATTACAAACAAAAGGGTTCATACTTAGTTTCAACAACTAATGTTTTTCTTTCGCTCCTGATTACAAGTTGCATTATAGCTGTTTTAGTTCAGCAAACATTTGACATGGCACTTTAAAAAAATATTTCTTTAATTATGGATAAATTTTGATAGAACTCCATGAGTTTGTACATTTTTGTGTGCTGATTTCATATGTATATGCAATATTTTTGTATAAATTATAGTTTTTAATATACGAATTATTTCATGTGCCTTTTGGACAGCAAGTTCATTTTTCTATACTAACAAAGTTACGAAGGTAAATCAGCATATCACAATAATCTGGAATCGGAGCTGATTGCAGTGCAACAAAAATTGATGTTCTAAACTCATTAGAAGAAAAGTTATGGCATGTTGAACATTTGCCAGTGAAATCTCTGTTTGAAATTGACTTACTCACAAATGTTCAATGAACCATAGCTTTTGTTAAAATGAACTTAGAACCTCTATTTTTCGTTGCGCTGCGATCAGCTGTGATTACATATTATTTTGATATGCTTATTTACTATGTAGCTTTCTCAGTTTAGAAAAAATTGTTATTCTAAAAAGCTGCATAAAATATTTTGTACTTTAAGAACTACACTTTATTAGGCTAGTGCAATATTCGAACGCTTTGCATAATCGAACAAATATCACAGTATTCGAATTCACTTTGATTTGAATTTAAACTATTGAAAATTTTGAAGTATTCGGAATGAACGAATGGATGTATGTTACTCCACGTGTAACCCCCGACAAAGGTGGTTTCACTGCAGTAAGAAAGTGCTAAACCATGAAACACCTAGTTATTGGAAATACGCACTATCACAAAGCCCTGCTTCAAGGTTAAATGAACATACCTTCACATCGTTTCATAATTTTTTGACTGTTTGAAAGCTTGTTATACCGGCTTGTGTGCTCTAAGCATAGTATATATTGCAACGTAACATAATGAAAGTGATACCCCGTGAGATGGGTTATCACTTTCATTCTACCAAAAGTCAAATCCTGCTACTATTCAAAGTTGTTTACACTTCCTTTCTAACCAAAAAAAGTATTGCATTTGCACAGGCCTTGTCTGCATTTCAAAAATATATATATACTGTGCAGATTAGACCATGATAGATATGCCCATTTTCTTTTATAACATGTGACATATATACTACTCTAATTCGATTAGAAACTATTTCGACCAAATCGCTATGCGCTTCGAACCTAAAGTTTACTATTCGCACAAGCCTTTAATTTGTAAAATTATTGCATATTTCAAATCAGCACACAACTATACATAAACTCACTCAGTTTTGTCAAAATCAGTTAAGAAACAAAAAAAAAAAGGTTTATTAAGGGGGGTAGAGACCGAAAAATAGCGAAAGAACTCGTTTTTTTTTATTGCGTTTTTTAAATCTACAGCTACTAGTGCACTTATATCATGAATTTCATGCCTATAATATCATTATTTTAGCTGCTAAGACCCTTTATACAGCACTTTCTAGCTAAATCTCAGCCAAAATCGACGTTGAAATCGCACATTTTCCGTGACGCGCCCCTGCCCTTTCATGTGTGCCAGCCCGGCCCGCTTGGTCTCATTTGAGAGAGCCATCTTTTGCCTTCAAATTCCCGCTAGAATGGGTCCAATTCAACCATTGGCAGCTTGTAAAATGAGCATCGAAAAGAAGTATCAGAGCGCCTTCCTATTCGCTATTTTGCGCACGTGACTTGAGCTTGCCTCCCTATTGGTGGAGGTTCCTGGCTTTGTCTGCTCCGGGTGTTGAGACGCGTGTCCATGCCCACCATTTTGCCTCAGTGTCAGCCGAGAAGTTTCACGATGTCAAATCCTGAGCGAAAATTCCGCACGCGGCACAAGTTTGGTGCGAAAAAGGTGCAAAGGACGCTAGTAGCGAATTTCAAGAAGTGCTCCGTGATACAGCAAAACCCCCGAGACGCTACACTCTCTGTGTCCCATGGCGAAGTCATTGACGCTACCATGGAAGGCCTAGCTACCACATCAGTTGTCACGGATCCTGTGCAAAGTCCCTCAGCCGGGGAGCCTTTGAGCAGCAGTCGCGTGCGTCTAGATACAATCTATCGGCAGCAATCTGACTTAGACGAGGAGCGAGCTAAAGCCGAAGATAAGTTATCGAAGTTGTCGTCCGCTGCAGCGACGGAGCGGAAACCCGCATTTGTGGTTGACGGTGCCGACGAAGCAGGTCGACCGCCTGATAGAACCACGTTCACAATTATAGATTTGGACACAGTGAACAGCGCTTTGTTGGCATTTGCAAAGTGCAAGGCATGCAACGAAGAACTGCAGATTGTCCGCGACGACCGAGAATTCGGACTCGCCATGAAGTTGCGTTTTGTGTGTTCGACCTGTGGGGAAACTGCGTCGTTGTGGAGCTCGCCGTGCATACGTAGCGATGAACGCATGAAACCTTTTGCTGGGAACGTTTTGGCTGCGCATGCCATGCAGGCAACGGGGAACAGACAGACCGCGCTGAATGATGTGTTCTCGTTGATGGGCATCAGCCGTCGGGGTTTTCACACAAAAACGTGGCAACACTACGTGAAAACGAACTTGGCACCCGCGGCCGATCATGCTGCATGAAATTTTACGAGCGACTGCGCGTGATCGGTTCGCGAACTTTACGCCGAACTTAATATAGGCCACATGGGAAACATCGCGGTGTCGTTTGATGGGTCATAGATGACTGACGGTCATTCATCGCACATCGGTCTCGCCACCGTCATAGAATTGTTCAGCGGGCTGGTGCTTGACTTCGTTGTTTTGAGCAACTTTTGTGCTGGATACGAGTGGGGCCCAAAGGAAGATGACCCTTCTTATGCAGCGTGGAAGGAACATCACCAGTGTCAGAAAAACAGTGGCAAGAAGGCTGGGGAAATGGAGGTTGAGGCTACCCTCATCCTCTTCAGGAGGTCACTTGAGCGGCACAACCAGCGCGACATCACGGTGCTTTGCGACGAGGACAGCCGCAGTTACCTTGCGCTACAAGAAGATAAGGTTTATGGGTATATCTCAGTGGAAAAAGAGGACTGCATTAATCATGTCCAAAAGCATATGGGCACTGCTTTGTGCAACTTTATTGCAAAACACAAAGACCCTGGCCTTGAGAGCCTTAGCGGAAAGGGCCGCTTGACAGGAGGCCTGATTTCCAAGCTCACCAATTATTATGGGTGGGCTCTGAAGACACACAGTAGTGATGTTGATGCTATGTACACAGCAGTGATGGCCAATTATCATCCTATCACGTCCAATGATGATGTGGCAAACCACACTCTGTGCCCACCTGGTCCGAATCCCTGGTGCAAACAAAATGCGGCAAAGGCTAAGGGGGAGCCCATTCCCAAACATTGTCGAAAGCTGCCCCCATATGTATGTCTGCCAAGCCTTACTTCCCATTGATGAGCGCTTGTCAGACAGAAAGTTGTTGCAACGATGCCAGCGAGGAAAAACCCAAAATAACAACGAATGCCTGCATTCAATGATCTGGGCGCTGGCACCAAAGGAACGACATGCTTCGCTGTTCACGGTGAAGTCAGCTGTGGCAGAAGCAGTGCTCGAGTTCAATGCAGGCAATAAAAAGGCATCAGAAGACATGAAAGAGCTGAGCCTAAACCCCAGCTGGCAAAGCCGCAGCCGCATGGCTGAAAAAGATCGACGGCGCACGACAGCATCAGTCAAGAAGCGACAAGCAACGGAAAACATGCACCAGTCCCTGAAAAAGCGTCACACAGGGACTCATAGTCAAAAGGACTACATGCCCAGTGCATACTGAGCATTTTCAAGTGCAGTTATGTAAATCAATGAGTTTTATTTCTTTTTCTCAGTTTACTGAAACATGCTTTTTGGTGACTTTACTAGCTTGTCGGGTTGACATCTTGCAATCTAGAAAAGCTAGAGCAATAACTTTCTCATTAATTTAAAGCCCAATCTGTGTATTACGAAGTGCTGAGAGCAGAATTTCCATTTGCTGCCCATATAAATTTAGAAGGTATTAAATTTCTTTGTATGTCATAGCCATGACATGACTCCTCAACTTTCATCATCTGCAGAAACACTAGATTTTCTTTAATTTGAAGTCTGCTTGCAGCATTGCACTTATTGCTAATTGCAATGTCTAGCTAAGCAATAATATTTACTTTTTGATAAGCCCTTTCTCTTTTATTGTCTCCAAAAACAATAGAGTGGCAGCACTGTGTATCTTCTAAATTAATTGACCTACAATGAAAATTTTTACATATTTGAAATCAGCAGGAGAAACTACATAAGCATGTCTATTTTCATCATGTTTGGTCCACAAATACGGAAAATATCTCCACACACCATGTCCCCCCTTAAGAGCAGTGTCTCCCCTGTAGGAACGTTTTCCTGGGGTCCTTTGAAGTTCATTGAAGTGAAGTTTCACTGTAAATGTTGGAAAAGAATTGAATCGGGAAAGGTCATGTGAGGTTTAAGACAGGCAACCAGCGGCTTATTACCCTAAGTGAACGGATGCCAAGAGAAGTCAAAACACAGCTGAAGGCAGTGTTTAGTTGGAGCAGTGTAAAATAAAAGCTACATCACCAGATAAGCAAACTCGTTTGATGCAGGCATCTAATACACTGTCGATAACTGAACAGTGACATCGAAAACAATGATTTTGAAACGGGCTTTATCTGGCCGTGGCCATGCGAGCTGAGCAAGGTGAAGAATAGAAGTGCAGGTTCCCACCTGTTGTATTTCGCGGTGAGTGGGAGTGGCACACTCAGTGTAACCTTGAAGCTGGAACCAGGAGATGATGGTCTGCAGCGAGCGGTACGCACAGCCCCACCCATTGTCGTCCATTCGATCCTGCTGGTAGTGCCGATACCTGTACTGGCCAAACACCAGCTGCACCTCACACCCTGTGCATGAAGGAAGCCGGCAGCATCGCACACTAAGTCAAACAACGTTATACAACCGAATTCACAGCTCTCTTAAAAATCTCAACAGTGGAAATTTTGAAAATTTTAAAATTCATTTTGCACACATTTTAAGTTTATAATTCTTTCTTGTTTAACTGTGATTCTCTGTTCAATTGTGATTTTTAGGTTACCATGTGTTCTTTCTGCATTCTATCTAAAAATTTAACAACTAATCAAACAACTTAACATCCTTGGTCATGATGCACAAATTCAATTAGAAGCAATGATTAGAAGGAAATGCTAATTATAAGGCATCTTTGTAGGCTCTGAAAGGCACCACGTGATCCTAACAATGCAAGCTGACCACAAAGATGTCACTGGTATGTGGTTCGCAATAATCCTATGAGCTTGTCAGGCTGTAAATGTATGCAGACTGGTTTTCTTTTTTTGTCCATAAATATCTTTGTATTCATTACAGAAGAAAAACAAAGGCTTGAATGAACAATTGACAAGTGAGTGCAACATGGATGGAGTGCTATGGTAGTCAGGGCACTCAAGAGAAACACTGATTGCAGGTTCACGACAGTCTGATAATCTTTACATTGCTATGGGTGCTCCAGGCAGCAAACATCTCATTCTCAGGCCCCTACAAACCAAAGAAACTACAGTATTCACCTGATGGGGGATTGAGGCCAACATGGACATTGCGAAGGTAAGGTTCCGATGCCAGGTCATCAGGAAATGCATAGACAGTTGGACTTGCGAAAGTGCGGCTGATCCTCGGGTAGAAGGAGCAGCCTGTGTAGCTCGCGCCGGTAGGGCACTGCATAGTCACACAGGCACACGACAGCAATTACCTTAAAAATCACATATCGTTTTGCACATAAGCGTACATCATCAAAGCAAAGCACTGCACGCAAAAATCTAATGAAACATTGGAGTGGCAATTTCAGAGTGCTCCGACTGTTTTTTGAAAGTGGTGAACTCAACAGCTTTAAAGCTCTATATTTAACACAAGCAGATACGCAAGCCAGGTTTCTCATTCTCTACTGAACTGTATATTTTAGTAGTAATGCTTAGCAGCTATTTTACAGAAACTTTTCAGTGTTCAGAGTGCTCGAAAATGATCAGTTAAATGTACTGTAATTTAACCAGTCAGATATTCTGTGAAGAAAGCAGTGGCGTCTATGCGAAGTTAGTTGTAGAGTGAAACCTGTCCTATTATAGGTGACAACAATGGTCTAGTGGTCATCAAGAAGCAATTTATACACAATTTAGAGACCCTACACATATCTAAATATATAATGCACCATTTTTTCAAAGGATAATAACCACAACAGAATAAAAAGAAAGCAGTGAAGTTAACATATGGAATTATAAAAGGGGAGGCAGGCTTTGAATATTACAGAAATGCTCAAGTGATTCAAGACCATTTGCTTCACTGGCACACATCCTGAATGCACATGCAATTGAGAGATAACCTCCTGAATAAACATGCAAAAATTATTCTTTTCTGCAAGTAGGCAACGACAGCTCTCTCATTCATTGGACGCCTTTCCCGAGTTTCTTTTATTTGCTTCCGAAATAGCTTACAACCAGGCAGTACTCACACAAGTTTTCCTGGGAGATGCCATCGGGGTAGACTACGGTGACCCAGTGACCACATTTGGCAGGCCAGAAGTGGAATGGCTGTGCACTACATACGCTGTCCCCCTGCATCAAAGTGCTGTTTGTTCAGACATGTACAGACACATCGGTGGCTATGCATAGCTGCGAGGTGTCGCACTTTCAATGCAAGTCATTACTGTATGCGTGTGTCTGGCATATTTTTCTTGTATTTGTACTGTGACTTAATCACTTAGGGCTCGTTTTACCACTTTTGTTTTGTTTTTGTTTGAACATGCGACTGATATCACCATCTTTTTGAATTGGCACAGCAAACTTCAGTGAAATGACTGCACTTGCAATATTTAATATCCGCTGATAGCACCTTTTATACAGCTTGTTCCAGCTATCGAGCGCCAAAACTTAAAAAAAAAAAGAAGCCTCCACTTTATGTGAAGGAATACAGTACATAGAAGGAAATGCAGAGCAAATCTAGTTCACATTACGAGATTTACATTATGTGAAGGAAACCTAGTTCACAATACACTGGAGTAGCTGTTTGTAGACTTTCATAAATGAGATTTCACTATTTAATTGTAAGAAACTTTGTACATTCACAAGTACTCATCTAGTAATCAAATTGTCAACTGAGCCATATGTAGGCATGTTAAAGTGGCATCTAAACTGTGATATTTCCATTAACATACTAATCTGATGCTCATATTCTTTGCTTAAAGAATGTTTTATTATCAAGACAGAGCCTCTTTTTCTAAATTCTGGTACACAATATTTGTTTGCAAAATACTGCTATCCTAAAAAGGCTGTAAGCAGGGGTAAAGATTTTTTTTTTTTTTTGAGCAAATTGCTCAAAAGAAAAAAAAACTACAGTGTGAGTGCACTGTTGCTGTCAAACTGCTTCAGCACCTCACCTTGGAAAAACGTGAAATGCAGCACACCAGTTGGTCCACCTGGTTGACCAACTCTTGTGCCAGCAGGTCAACAACGTCAGCGACAGGATCTTCCACTCCCACGGTGGCCACCACATCCAAAGGCAGCACCACAGAGCAACTCTTAAACGTTCCTGTGTAAGTACATCACAACATTTCCTGAGAGAGAAAGTAGTCACTAGCTGCCATTAATCGGAATCCTTGAACAAAAAAAAAAAAGGAATTTTTACGAGGGGAATGTTTTGTTTTACTAGACAAAACTAGGCTTGTGCAAATAGTAAGTTCAAAACCAACAGTGATTTTGGAAGAATAATTTCAATTAAAATAGTACATATTACATAATATATTTAAAAAATGGTACATTTGTCATAACCTAACTAACCTGCACAATAAAATTTTTAAAATTGAAACAAGATCTGTGCAAATACCACTTTTTTGGCTCAAAGAAAATGCTAACAAATGAGCAGGATTCGACTTTCGGTAGAATGCAGTGATAACATGTAAAATATGTCACATTTTAAAAGTTAATATAATTAAACCACATGAACCGCCATAACAAACATTTGAGCTTAAATAACCTAACTAACCTGCACAATAATTTTAATTGAAACAAGACCTGTGCAAATACCACTTTTCTTGGGTCAAAGAAAATGCTAACAAATGCGCAGCGTTTGACTTTCGGTAGAATGCAGTGATAACATGTAAAATATGTCACATTTTAAAATTTAATATGACTAAACCATATGAACCAACATAACAAACATTTAAGCTTAAAAATAATGGTCAATCGATGTAAGGATGGTTCATGTATTCACTTAACCTTCCAGTGGGGCTTCGTGACAGTGCGAATTCTCTTTGGATAGATGCTTTCAGGCCTTAACACCCCTTCACTGCAGTGAAACCACATTTACAAGAAGTTACGAGTGGATTAATATTTATTTGTTCTTTCATTTCAAAAGCTTCGAAATTTTCAAAATTTTAAATTCGAATCAAAGCAAATTTCGTACTGTAATATCTGTTAAAATATTGAAAGCATTGGAATATTCGCACAAGCCTAGACAGAATAAATAAATAAAGCAGACAACTGGGCATGGGTAAACATAGTAGATACTAATTGTTGCATTTAAATGTAGCGCAAAATTGTGATGCAAGTAGTAATGAATTGAAGACGAAAAATCACATGTTTCGTTAGTCGGATCTAAATCCACAATCTCCGAATTGCATGGCATGATCACAAATTATACAGAGCATTCCATCGATACCTCCAAGACTACATGTCGACCTACTCTCCTCCAATAAAACTGTCAAAAGATTTACAATCTCCCATTCAAAGTCACTTTCAGCTTACTTCTCTGGTAATGGATGACGGGTGTGCAGGATTTTCCGCAAGCATCCATCGCAGGCTCCCCAGTACACTGCACCAAAACAGCAAAGCTGAGAATCCTCTGAAAAAAAAAAAAAAATCCATGTTGTTCAGAGCCATGCACCACAAAGAGTCAAGCTTATTTGGTAACATTTACTACCAGCTTTGAAGAATATTTCAATCAAAGTTTTGTAAACTTACTACAGTTTACAGATTCCCAAGTTACTGGAGCTACAGATGGTAGCAGCAATCCTATTGGTGCCATGTGGCTGGCAACGCATTGTCAAGCTATGGTGCGTTTAAAAAATTTCTGTGTCACACAAGTGTTCCCCGCACTGCATGAAAATTTCAAAGAAACTCCAAATTGACAATGATACAACTCAAAATACTTTACAGTAATTAGAATACTGTAGATTGCTGTAGTGTTATCTCTAATTAATATTGTTTAACAAGGTCAGAAGATGCCATAAGCAGCATTGTTGGCACCAGTACCCATTATTGGTCACCTGGAATTTTGTAAACACTTATGTGTTTTAATACACAGGTTAAAAACTCTCCACAAAAAGGAACAGATTCGTGAATGAAATGACATTTTCCTTTACATGCTGCACCAAACTATTCTTGATGTTTAAGGAGCCCTGCAACACTTTTTAAGCATGGTCAGAAAACACTGTCGATATGTAGTCGAGGCTCCCAAGAACACGTGAACGAACTGTAGCGCAGCACGCGGCCTGGAATTCACAATAAAATCTCAAACTCAGCTAAAAATGACTTCCTACTCTCTCGACAAATGATTCATTATACTCAAAAATCATTGTGTCACAGGCCCAAGTATCATACCATTGGCTTAATTGAGTATGGTAAGCTCGGGAGTAACTACGGCCGCTGCGGGAGGCCACTATGTGTATGAGCATGAATGCCCGATTGCACTCAAATGCAGCGCATTAAAAAAAGAAAAAAAAGTGTTCAAGGTCACATGGCGCACGTGACATATCTTCTTTTCCCATGCCATCCCTCCCTGCTTAGCATCCAGTGATTTTGTCACGACGAGAGGAAAGAAAAAGCTATTATACCATACGACAAATCTCCGGAGCTCCACTCATACTGGACGGGTTCTGAAAATTTTTGCGGCGGTCAAACTGTCTGGCAACATGCTTCTTTCGTGAAGTGATGCCATTGCTACTTGGAAAAGTGTTTCAGGGCTCCTGTAGGTGTAGCACAGGAACCTGCCATGAGATATATAGAAGGCCACACTAGCAAGCATATAATGATGGCCAAAACTGCACAAGCCCCAAAGTTTGTCAGCCAGATAACTGCTGTGTTAAGGGGAGACGCGGGTCAAAAAGTCGCGGTTTTCCGGAAAATTTTCGTTTTTTTTTTTCCGGCTGTATTGGCATCCTTGGACTATAATCTATTACTTCTGAAATAATCAAGCTGAAATTCGCACGAGAAATTATCAAAAAATGCTTCCAAGTGGGCAGCGGTGACGCGAGAAATGCGCGAAAGTCGCGAAAAACGGCGAAGTTCGCGTCGTCCTGTTGCGAAAACGACGCGTTGGCCGCCATTTGCAATCGTGCATGCATGCTGCGAAGGCCGTATCCTTCATAATCCACTAGTAGCCAGTCTCGTGCCTTCACGCAGAATAAACAAAAAACGAGAAAAACAACGCGTACGTCACGCGTTTTGAATATCGCGGCACACAGCGCGAGGCCGTCATTGGACGGCGGTGCGCTCCACGCTCCTCCCCCTCCTATCTCTCCGGCAAAAGAGCGAAGCCTCGGACGTCGCGATCGATTTTTTCTGCGTTTCTCTGCATTTTTGCGTCATGGCAAGCCCGAAGAAGTGCAGTTCAGATAATCGAAAGTTCAGAACTTGCCACAAGTATTGAGGGAAACGGCGTCGGACGCTTTGCAAAGCGACAGCGAACGACGATGTCGCCCCCGACCAACGCCCCGACGCTCCGACTTCGGATAGGCCTAACACCGTCAGCGAACCCTGCGACAGTGGTTGTGAAATAGCCGCTGCCGTGGAATTCGTCAGTGCATCCCAAAGGAAGATTGGATTCTTCGAGAGTGAACGTAGACCGGTAGATGCTGCTACTGCGAACATGCTGCTTTGCGAAATCGATGCGCTGACGGCACTTGTGGCGGGTGCGCAATGCCCAACCTGCCGCGAACGGAAGCTCGGCGTGCGAGAGGCAGCTGGAAAGCGCAAAGGACTTTCGGCATTCCTCGAACTGTGCTGTCAAAATTCTGATTGCCCTGAATCTGCACTTTCGTTCACGCACACGTCGAGACGTACTGCTTCGGCCGGGGACCAAGGAACGAGCGCTCGTTTTGACAGCGGCAGCTCGCGTGACAGCTTTGCTGTAAACGTGAAGGCAGTTCTGGCAGCACGTGCTATAGGCGCAGGCCACGACCAACTTTCACGATTTTGTGCGATTCTCGGTCTTCCGAGCCCGATGCATCACAAGACATTCAACGGCATTTGCAAGAAGCTCCATGGTGCGGCGATGACGGCAGTGAGCAAAAACTTGCACCAGGCACGAAACATCACGAAGGACGCAGTCGGCGGCAGAGATGTGCCAGTCATGTTTGATGGCACCTGGCAGAAAACAGGTCATAAAAGCCACAATGGAGTGGGCACAGTCGTGTCCCTGGACACGGGGCTCTGCCTCGATTTTGAAGTTCTTTCGAACTACTGCCATGCTTGCAGTATACACAGGGAGCTTGGGGAGGATGAAGAGATATGGCGAGCTTTTCATCTTCCAGTTTGCCAAAAAAACACTGACTGCTCATCCCATGCAATGGAACCTGCGGCAGCTGTCAATATATGGCAGAGGACCTTGTCTTATGAAACTCCACTGCGATTCACCAGCTTCCTAAGTGATGGTGACAGCAAGGCCTACACTGCAGTCTGCGAGGCAAATGTATACTGTGACACCCCCATTGACAAAGAAGAGTGCACGAACCACGTTTCAAAGCGCTTGGGAACTGCCCTACGGAAATTGGCAACGCCACTGCCACGAGGCGAAAAACTGAAAGATGCGACAATAATAAAACTACAAACATATTACAAGATCGCCATCACGAGCAACAAGGACAGTGTCCGAAATATGTACACTGCCATATGGGCATCGTATTTTCATTGCTGCTCCAGTGATGGTGCCAGTAGCCACAACTTTTGCCCCGCGGGACCAAATTCGTGGTGCGAGCACAAGCGTGCGGAAGCACTGGGGGAGCCTGCACCACGCCACACCCCACTGTTGACGAAGGCTCAAGGATTGGCAATTATGCCTATCTACAAGCGCCTTACAGAGGAGAAACTCCTTATTCGGTGCCTTCATGGCAAGACACAGAATGCAGCCAAATCGCTGAACAGCAAGATATGGCTGCTATGTCCAAAAACAAAGTTCGCCTCCAGAACAACTGTGGAGACAGCCACCGCTCTTGCTGTACTCTGGTACAACAAAGGCCACAGGGGCTTTGAAGAAGTGCTCGAAGGCATTGGAATTCTCCCCTCACAAGATCTGGCCACACATGGTGACCACTGTGACGTCATGCGCATCAGGAAGATGAACCTGAAGCAAACTGCAGAAGCGAGGGCACACGGTCACAACACAGCGAAGAGAGCTCGTGTTGAGGACACTGACCGCAAGAGCCGTGAAGGACCAAGCTATGGTGCAGGGGACTTCTAGACACTTGCAGTGCATTCAAGGCAAGGTACTTTTCATTGTGCCCCAATTTGATGCAAAAAGAATGATTTCCTAATAAATGCCAACTTTGCGAACTTTCAAACTTGTTTTTCTCATTTTCATTTTTTCTGACAGTTTCACGTTTTCCGGGCAGCCTTTTAGAAACTTATATTCATTGTATAGTAACAAAACTTGGCACACATATTCTTCAACACATGCAGAATGCAAATATCTACTCTAAATTGCAATGCCTACCAGCATTAGTTGTGAAAATATTAGCTTATTGTTTCAAGGGAGATTGAAAATAATAAGTCATTCAATACAATTTTTTTTTCTTTTGGTTCCAATATTTCTGTGACATATCTATATAGATATTTGCACTTTTCAATCTACCAAGAGTCAAATAAGATCAGACACAGTGCTTTTACTGAAAGTTTAGTACATAAAAGAGTGCCCCCAAAAAATGTAACTTTTTGCTATTGTTTATGGCATAACTCAATAATTATAGCAGCTACACAAAAAATGATTGCATATTTGAAATCTGCATGAAAAACTATACTAATAACAAACTTTTCAAGTCTCTATTACTAGAAATAAAAAAAAAACTTTTTCGAGGAGCGTCTCCCCTTAAGTTACGTTTAGCCCCAATGAGAGATTTAACCTGGGCTTGCAGCACAATGAATGTTTACGTACTCCAAGTTCCACAACAAAAGGTGAGAAAGGGCCATAGATTATGCACAACAGTAGAATGCAAAAGTGCTGCCACTATTGTGCTGTCAGGATATCAACACACGTGCACGAATCGCACATGGCGGGTTGAAAGGTCTTCAAAAGTACATGCTGAATTTTTTCATTAAAGCAATGAAAACAAACTAGTGCCCTGCCACAATACAATTCAGTCAGCTAGGTACGTGTGTACCTGTTGTGTGAATGTTGTCGTATAACTCAACAGATTCACTGAAGGTGAGTTTCGCCTAAAAATGTTTTAAAGGCATAACTGACAGAGGACGTAGAGTTGACATGCAGGCACACTAATACCAAATAAAAAGTAATCATAAGAGTGACAAGAAGAATAGGAATGAGATTTTAAGTCTTAATACCACGATACGATTATGAGAGACACCATAGTGAAGGGCTCCGGAAATTTTGTCCATCTGGTGTACTAGATGTGCACTGACATCGCACTGTACACAGGCCTCTACTACTTCGTCTCCATCGAATTGCGACTGCCGCGGCCGGGATTGAATCGCAACCTTCAGTTCCACAGCCGAGCATCCTAACCACTCATCCACCGGTGTGGACAATAAAGAAGTCACTATTCAGTGGATGTCTCTACTTATTTCAAATGATTATACACCCCACTCATTGTCTGTGCCATGGTAAGAGTAGAGCTAGAGCCATTGATGCATCTCTTTTTAAGGCTAACGAACCACTTAACTAGAGTCGTCTGCCACGCACTAAGTGCATCCTGTAAACCAAAATAAAGTTTCTTCCAGTTCTTCCAGCCCCATCCAGTCAGACTGGAGTCAAGTAACAAGCACAAAACCGTCACCTGAGTGTTCTTGAGGCGACGCTGTTTGCTCCCATCCCCCGACTGGTCGACCAAGTCGGAAAGTGGCTTTTTCGGGAGAGTTTCGCCGCATGAGTACTTCAGTGCCATCCAACTGAAATGACAGCACTTCGGCCGCCAGGCGGCGTTTGATCCGTGATGCAGCCACTTCCAAATTCTGTTGCATAAACTCTAACCCGAAGAAAAATGAGAGACCGTCAGGTTATCATTCACCACGAGACAATGTAACAGCTTTTCGAAACGGAATGCTCACACAAAAAAAAGCTTTTTCAATTGAGCTCCAATACTAAAGCTTCAATGGTAACATACATTTGGTGCTAAAGAAACGCATGTGACCTGTAACTTTAATATTGTGTTATGCCTTTAGTGCAGCAGTTACCTAACACTACCCAAGAGCGATCAACAAGCCCAGCTTTCTGCCTTTCCTAGTTAACATTAGGAAACACAAGGAAATGAAATCGTTCCAGAATGGTCCTTAAGTGAAAGCTCTAAATCAGGGGTCTTAAACATGTGGCCCATGGAATTTGAATGCGACAGCGTTAAAGAGCTCGTTTCGCACGGCGTAGGTGTCATTGACTGTGAACAAAAAATTATCTTGTCCGTGACCAAAAAATAAAAAGATATGAAAATAAAAGCAAAAAATTAAAATTTCCAGGTCCAAGTAAGGATCGAACCCAGGCCGTTTACATGGCAAGCAGGTGTTCTACCACACAGACACGCATCTGCTCAGAAATACAGTGAAAATAAACTTCCTCTGCTTGCAAATGCAGTGAAAGTAACTTTCATGATTTACAAACACACGTACTACGGTTGCAAAATGTAACATGTAGTATCGCACTGATATTGTCTGTTACAAGCATACATTGCCATCGAGCTTCAGAACATGCGATTATATCATAACTTTGTGGTTTAAAGACGGTCACCCATTACAAAAGGAACACACGTTACCACGCATATTCCTTCAAGACCATGTTGCGGGTGCATAGCAAGTTCGGAAACATTGCACGCGCATAATTGTTCGTCGTTTAAAGCATGCTACAGTTACAGAATGTAGCCATATGCAAAAGCTTTACTGAACTTTATTGATTGCATTGTAATAATCCGCAATTTAAACTTCTCAAGTAACATCACACAACATAAAGTATGCATCAAGTGGTTGAAGTACGCACTAGGAACAGGATATCACTATCGCGTTCAACTCTTACAGGCGAAGCTTAAGGGTTCCCCAATTTATTTTTCTAGCAACCTTGCCATGACCTGCAACTGTCTTCCTCCAATATACCAATCTTTTCATTTTTCCTAGCATAAGTGTGGCATTATTTTTCTTAAGGGCCAAATGCAAAAACCAAAACTTGGCTTAATATCATGGCAATGTGAAGCACCCTGAAGTATTTTCAACTTTTTAGAACACTTGTAATCTAAATGAGACAATTCCTGATAATAAAGTGAACTTTAAGAGAAAACAAAAGCAGTTTCAGATAAAAAATGAGCCAAATCCTGCACCTGTCCGAGTCAAATTGAGCCAGATAGATTAGATCAGCAGTGCATCAACAACAGCAGTCAAAACAACAAATGCGGCCACGTCCTATTGGTTTCATTTGTGTCACAGTTGCTTTCCTATCGTGATTTCATTCCTTGATAGTTTGGCACTTACTGAAGGAAACTAAGTATTAGGGAGAAACTTGAATATAAAGACTAAAAGGCTGATTTTCCTATTAGTTCTGCCATTTAGTGTCTGAAGTTTATTGCTGCAGTATCATGTCCTTCTTCAACCCCAAGGTGGTACATTTAAAATATTAGACAACTATAATGAAGATATTGGGCACCAATTCAGTCTTAAAAAAAGAAGTGGTCCGAAACTGTGTGGCATAAAAGGACCCAAGAAAAAAAAGAACACCTGAAACGTTTTTGAAAGCCTTCACTGAGTGCTGGGATTAAGAAAATTCTGCCAACAGTCTAGAACTGCATGCCCTTTGCTTGGGAAGATCACTCGCTCTACAAGTCTAGCCATACCATTTACGCCCATGCAACAAAGGATGGCACCGACAGAAGCATGACGATAGTGTTAACTTTGCCGCCAGACATTTTTATATCGTTCATTCAGGGCGATTTAGACAACTTTTATTAACTAATTTAAGCTCAAATTAAATGTTCCAATATATAAATAATAAGAGCCAAATCGCGAGTTCACGCGTGAGTATCGACGATAGTGGTCTCTATGTAGATTTTAGTCGCATTGCAGATTTCAGATATTTCGGTGACATAAGCACACTAAAAAAAAAAATTGGGGGCCAGGCCCAATCGTATTGTCAGTAGCAAAAAACTGCGTTTTTCTCAGTCTCAGTCAAAGTGCGCTTGGCTCTTTTAGGGAAGAGGAAAATAAAAAAAAAAAAACCTTCACATATGTTCATGGTCTGCAAATCATGACTGACACCAAGCAATTTTTTTTCATGAGGCACCCCATACACATATTGTGCCTTGAAACATAACCGTGAAACCAAACTGTATTTCAGAATCAGCATCTGTATGTCAGTCATTCTAAAGATGGGTATCGATGCATTTTTGAATCCTAATGCCAAATTGCCTTCAGAAATTATTGATATATTAGATAAGGAAAAGGCTGCCTTTAAAATGGCAATTGTTAGCTGACATATCATACGCATGAACTGTAAAACACTCACTAGGGTCGGGGTCCATCTCAAAAGGCATCATGAGAGAGGCACGAGCTCGAACCGTGCACGTTCCAACGTGAATGTCCGGCACCATGGTGACTGACTTGGGTTCCATGGGGCAGTCTGCCTCGAGGGAAACAAGCTGGGTTGAAACAGCCGTCTTGCTCGTGTCTGTGTGTAGAATGACGGCCACCTCAAGGTTGCTGCCCATGGCATCTTCCTGCAATAAAAACACATTTTTCCTGTGGCCTACCGTACCTTGAATGGCAATGTCAAAATGCTAAGCTGCACAGTGCGAATTCAATACAGGGCATAGAAGTGCACCAACAGAATGGGACAAGCGATAACTCTTCGTGCATTGCAAAAAGCTTTCCTACATACATATACTGTACAGTCCTGCAAGTGCCCTGCCTACCATAACCACACAGAAAAAAGACATTGCCAGGTTGCAGACTAAAACATTAAATCTAAAATTTCTTTTCATTTATTGAATAAAAGTACAGCAGTATCATTGACACAATCACTTCTTTTCTTTCTCATATGGTACACTTTCATAGGTTGTGTGTGCTCCTCAATGTGCTGCACCAAATTTTCCCAGCAACAAATTTGTTTAAGCAATATCCCAATATGCTTTCCCATAGACTGAATGCACAACACAGAAACCACCAATGCTTCTTTCAATTGTATCTTATTAAACTTTAGATACACTAAACACATTCTAATCTATAAACGAAAATATGCAGTCCCCTATGGCTTGACGGAACACAAGTTGACTGTATGACAAAAACAGATTGACGTGAGTCGAATGTACAACCAATTGATTGTATTATGACAGCCGAGTAAAAATAAGCTTTTATTAGTTCACAAAAGATGTAACAGATCAAGATATACATGTATATTTCTCAGAGCCAAAGCAGAAACTGGGACATCCCACGGCTTGGTAAAATACTGTTATGCAGCAATTCCAATTTGAAATCGTGTTGGTCTTCAACAAGTATATAGTATGTACAGCCGGTTCGGTATAAGTAAGATTTCCTTTTCTTCAATTTTGTCAATTCATCATTAACAACGACAGCAAGCTGTTTATAACGGCAATAGAAATAAGTCATGGCAGCCGATGAAACAGGGAAAACATGAGAGCAACTACAGGGGCTGGCTGGTATTGCATCTTGAATGATCGCACTCATTTTTTGTTTTTGGTGCGTTCAGTCCATACCTGCATGATAAAAAGCGCGATTACCTACGAAGGAGAACGTCCTTACCACAACATTGTTGGCCTAAGTTTGCACTCCATTCTGCAGCTGTTTATCAAAAAATTCGGTTATTTATTTATTTATTTAACAACCTCTTTTATGTATATTTGCATACAAAATTTAAAGGGTATCAAAACTGAATGTCTGTTTCACAGAAGTCCAATAGGGTATTTCAAATGTCAAGAGTGAAAAGGCAATTTCACATAGATACATAGTCTGTTACAACCGAGGCCTGTTTCCCATCGTATCACTCGTGTGCCTGGCAGACAATGATCCTAAACGATAACGTCCCTGAGCTGTCATGAGTGAACAAAAAAAGTTTAATTAGTGTTCATTCCGAAGTGCCTTGGCAAACTATGAAAGAATGTTTAAAAAAGCAAATAAGCTGTACTGCTAGCACAAACAGGCTATAGTTGCCAACAATGAAGCCTCTTTACCTACAATATATGACTATCATTTAGCACAGTTTAAAAACTGTCCTTTATGAACTTGGCATTGATGCCAAAGCAGTCTAAAAAAATTGACAATGCTACTAAACTGTACGCACATGTCTAGACCTACATGAAAACAGGTAGCAAAGCTTTGTAACCCACGTCTATGCCCCACTGAATAACACATCCTAAATAAACTAAATATTTTCATTGATGTAACACTTTTGATTCACCATGGTATAAAGCTGATGTGAAAAGCCAACACTGCCAGCACTGCCTCATCTAATTCTCTGAAAGAATATCATTAGTTTTTCAGATCAGAAAAATATTTGCTGCTAATAGTCTCTTCAATTTGTGTTCTAACCTTATAGCTCACAATAAAGTAAAACAAAATGCTGTCTCTAGGTTAATTGCCAAATATTTCAAAGGGAGCACAAAAAAAAACAGAACACTGAGGGAAATGCACAAGACACAGCGCTGAGCTCACAACTATTTCATTACATCCAACACAAGGCCTTTTTAAAGCATGGATCAAGAAGGAGATAAATACTTAGCACATGTGCGTTCTCAACAGCTTTTTTATCAGTGTCTTATCTTTGTCTAGCATAACTTCATGGCTTGTTTGTCTTTATCTTATTTGCTATTTGATTTTGGATGTCATATTTGTGGTTATATATCTTTCTAATTTGACTTTTTATATCTTAAGCGTGCTTGAGGTTTTAAGATTTTTGACTATGCGCTTACCACTGATTGATTGTCCTTTTCGAAAGCTCTTGCCACGAGGCCTTTTCATTGCTTTCTTTCATGAAAACAATTTTTTCATTGCTTTGATGCACACCGTAAAAAGTCCTAGTAGTCAAACTAATAAAACAATTTTGAGTTCAGTGGTGTGTTGCGCGTCATCCTCGATATTCTGTTTTCTTTTTGTGCTGTTAAAATTTTTAACTATAAACAACTCATCAAAGCAACCAGTTTTAGCTATGTTAATAACACAACAACACAAGTTCTTCATTTTTACAAGTCCATTTCTGATCTGTCATGCAACCTTGTATATGCCACTGTTCTCTTTTTTTTTCCTTGAAAGTACCTCCCATTGTTACAATATCCTATATTTTGAAGCAGTCTCTGTGTTGCATACTTTTCTTGTGTGCAGTCCCACATTGCTAATAAACATGCACGAGTATTTTTACTGCATTTCTCAGGGCCCAAGACAACGTCAGACTAATTCAGTAGCAGCCTGCGGTTCAGGGTCCATCTGTTTCATTTCGACTGTAATGAGCAGGGCAACGGATATGCACACATGTATGCTTAAAGGGCTTCTAAACCACATTCAAAGGCGAGACAGTAGCTTATTTCATCCTGGCGTCACGTGAACAAGCTGCTGGCATTACGAATTGTGCCGCAATGATAGGAAACACTGAGAGAGAATAACTCACTCGCTCTTCACATTATCAGAGGTTCCTTAGGGGCCCTTTAAGCTTTGCAATGCTCGTAACAGTATTTCTAAACAAATGAAAAACTTAACATCTGATCTGCACAACAAATGCAGTTGTCTCTTTGTAAATCAAAACATGAGTGTCCTTAGCTGTCAGTGGTTCATATGCAAGCCATAGAGGTCATGTTTTAATGGAGGTACATTGTAGGAACGTATGCCAAATTAGACATAGATGTAGTTTAAAGACCTCCAGATGATTGAAATGCAGGTGCTTCTACAATGGAATTTCTACCAGCCCTCTGTGAAGCAATCAAGCAGCATGTGTTTCTAAAAAGTTTTTTCCGTTTCATTATGCAGTGTCTAACAAAGAAATGAGTGTCCTCTATCAATTCACCCTCTTTCATTCATGAAGGTGTTGGGTGACTTTGTTTGAGTACCCTAAAGGTCACAGAGGGTATGGGTCAAATGATTGCTGCAACAGTACAACAGCAGTCAACACCAAGCAGGCTAATCAATGACGGAAAAAAAAAAAAAACTTTCAGTCACACCTGCTGGTACTTGAGAAGAAATGGTTGGCAGAGTTCGTAAACCTCGTTGTCAGAGAGGCTACTCGAGAGGCAGAACACTCCAACCACGGAGTAGCCGAATGACTGCACAACTCCATCGTTCTGTACAGCACAACCTACAGCACTGGATGCCTCTTTTAGAGATGTGGCCGAATACGTAGCCGAGCGTCGGAGTTGAGCTGAGCGAGTGCTTTAGAAGTCTCTGCAAGTGACAAAAAAAAAGCAATTTTCGATGCTATAATGGTCAATGCACGCTTAAAATATTTCAAACATATATGTTTAGCCTAAGGACACAGACGTTTCTTAACGGGCTAACGCTACTAAATGGCAGCTTTGACAAAGCTTTCATTCCATGCTAAACAGACAGGGCATGCAAACACGGACACAAGAGAGAAGTCAAAGCACCACAAACGCCAAGAGGACTTTCTCTTGTGTTCGTGTTTGCACGCCCATATTTTTAACATCAATGCTTATGAAATGGCAAGTTGTTTCAACCTTTCACTGTCTGCCTCTTTCCTTGAACGTGGGAAATAGTCGCGTTTAGCGCTAGAATACCTATAAATCGGCGAATGTTAAGTAAGGATTACGCTAATAAAAAAATGCTGAGCCATGCAATTAAACTGAAATATTCAATTACTCTGAATGCTTAGACGTTTGGCGTGCTACGCATAAAGTGAATCCGGCGCGCTCAGTTTCGGACCAACACACGCGCCACACGAGGCTATCAGGTTGCGCAAGCGTGCCAGATTTCTTTTTTATAACGGCAGCATGGTTGTGGCTCCTGGAAAGGGTGATCATATACTTGACACAGCAGCTCCGAGATGAACACGTCGCAAGCGGGGGGCATCGCTGTCCTCGAGGCGGAAGTCTCGCCAGTCGTTCTTTAGAATCTGAGGTCTGTCTTGTCCAGTCCTCAGTCACGATCAAAATATTGCGGACAACGAGACTTTGAAGAAGAGGCTGCTGTTCATCAAGGCGACAGCATGACAACGATTCGCGTTAGTGCACAGCTGTTCACGTCGATCAGACACAAACCCTTCAAAGCTCAGAGCCAGTTCAAGATCGCCTACAGTCGACCTGCGTTGGATCTGACGTGGACCTGATTACGCGCTTTACGCTTTAAGCTCGTTAACCAGCTCTACTGTAAACCACCACACAAGCTGTGGCGTAATAAACTTTTAAAATTAAGATTTATTTTAACGTTATTCAAGTTGTTATGAGGAGTTTACCGTCAAATGTTTTAACCAGTAAGCACCCATCATCATCAATGCAGTTTGTGGTCGATTGCGGCGCCTTATGTCGACATTTTCTCAAACTTTTTACGCGTCTCCGTGGTAGGTGTTCTCCGTCTCCATCACCACAACCTCCTTGCTTGCGGTGGCCCGTGCGATTTGAGGCGAGGAATATTCCTTTGATATTTGAACATTGCGTGGCGGTGACGAAGCGTTGGGGAATGCCGTGGTTGCAGCCAACCGGCAAGAAGGGGTGAGTGTCCCTGTCGCGGCGAATGTCTCGCGCCCTGATCTGCTCGTGACGGGACGCACAAGAGTTGGCAGTTTGCATCTTGCGGACAAGTTCATTTTCATTGATGTGCGTGAGTTGACGTTACACTTCATTTGGCGACATCGGGGCATGCTGGTGCGTACGCGCGCTGACTTCCCTGCTTGCACAGGAGTTATTGCGCAGGAGTTATTGAATGTCACTGATAGCTTTGGTAATCCTGCGAGGTCGGGAACTCGGTGGCCGATCGGTGACCACACGCGTTTTTGACGTCTATGCGTCAGCCTTTGCGCGCGATCTTGGACACTGCTGGAGGAACATACTGCCCGCGCTTCCCCAGAACGCTCACAAGAATTCCATTATGTGTCTCTGCGATTATGTCACTCTCGCTTGACAAAGATGAAAAGATGACCAGTGCGGCGGTGTGTGTATTGACCTTCAACAGCTGTGTCGTCGGCTATCCGTTCAGAGAGCTCACGAGCGTACTACGCGGGCGTTTTGAGCAAGGATGAGAACTTCCTTTTTAAGCGTCCCTCCACCCACTGCGCTTCTCGGCTGGGCGTGCGTGTTTCACTTCTCGGTGCGTATAAATGAAGCCGCCGGTCTTTGGCCGCTTCGGAGAAACCACGCAGGCGCGCTGAGCGATTCTCCGAGCTCGGCAGTGCTCGCGCTGTCTGGCGACAGGTCCAACTCTCGTGTTACCGGCCGCCGATTGTTGTCTAGCGCATGCCCGAGTTTTGTCGCTTGACAGCGTGCGCACATTCAGTGTCCCTAATGCAAACGCATCTGACCCACTTCGTGAATCTGAACGTCGCCTGTGCTGGATTTCCGTATTTGCTCCGTTGAGGATACTTACGGACGAATAAAGTTATAAAAGTTGAAATACCTACGGACAGATTAAAAATTTAAAAGGTTGAAAGGTATTCGGTATATTTTGACCGGAATCTCTCTCTACCACTGGTAGAAACTTTTTTTTTTTTTTAACTTTCACCAATGACATCTCCATAAGCACGCCTATTCTTCGCGAGCCGGACGGAAGTTCTGTGCATGTATTCCGTGTTTCCCTGTTGGGCGCTCGTTCGCTGCACGCGCGTCGTTTACTTTGGCTGCGCACGTAACAACGGCCCGTTATCGTTTGGCGGCGCGCAAGCTTTCATCGATGAAACGTCCTTGCGAGCGGCGCAGCGTCTGCGGGTGAAAGCGTTCAGCCGCGCCTCTCGCTCAAGAAGAGTCGGCCTTGTTTTCTCTGTGGGAGCGGCGTGACCCAAACGCAGTCGCCACCCGATTGCGACCTTGCCCACCCAACGTGCTTGCGTCTGACTCACACTGGTCGCCCGCCCTTCCACTCACGCACCGATGGCTTCGTCGTGAGCGCCCTCGCATCCTCCGCCGGCCACTACTAATGCACGGCTGGGTTCGAAATGAACTGAAAAAGCCTGGGTAATCCCCTCGCCTCGACCATTCGCGCCTGGAGCGGTCGCACTCGCGCGCCCATGTGCCCCAATGAGGAAACATGCGGACACCGTGCAGCCCAGATTATTTTAGCATTCACACGGGTTGCGGACCTATATTAGCCTTTGTGTAAGTTTTTGGAAGTGAAACAAATACGTATGGTATTTATGTCAGGAATATTTTTTTGTTTATTGACACCCCATGCATATGCCCTCGTAGCCATTCAGAATATGTCACATGTAATTTTCACCAACCATTGTTCATTTAAACCTGCCAAGATTTTGATTTACAGCTTTGTCCACCTTCTGTCTTCATAAGTTCGACAGGTCCCACATACTTTGGGAATCGATGTTATGTGAAGCATACGGATGGAAGGTGACTGTGTTGTAATTTTTTTATCGGCCGAAATGTTATGAAGTAGCACTTAATAAATGTACAGTGGCGGTCAAAATTTCGCGGACCACGGGAGCACGTGTTAAACAGCTACGCGACGCAGTCTGACGGGGCTGCCTGCGAAGCTTGGGAGAGCGCAGACCGCGCAAGCGCTCCCCTTTTTTACGTGTCAGCCTGCTTGTTCGCTCTCTTCAACAGTGTGCGCACCGGAAGAATATTTTATTGCCACGCAGAGTGCTAGGGTTCGATTCCTGTTGGTACCCTGAAATATATTCTTTGCATTCGTCTGGTCAGTGCTGCCGATGTCAGCTTTTTTTTTAACGCTCACACGTTAAAATTACTTGTGTGTTCTCGCCGTTCCTGGTGAGCTATAACTGCCAATCACCTGTTGCACATACCCTCATACCAGTGGCACATACCCGCCTGTGGGTATGTGCTACTGTCTGGCGGAAAGTGTTTGACGCACGCAACGTGATCTTGATACTATTTGTCACAACCAGCCAGTCGTATTCGTAAACCATCTTACCCTCCCAAACTATTTTTGGTTCACCTCCAAGTTAAGGGAGTGATCACAACAGCACCTAGACATAGGCTGCTAGACAGACAGACGCCTAATGTGCCTGCAGTATGCAAAGAAATGCTTCACATTTAAAATGCAGCGGCCATGACTGGCTAACCCAACCGAGCCAACTGTTGACACATGAGGGAGCTAACTGTATGTATTTCATAACAGGTGCTGAAACTTGGAGACTAAAGTATTATTTTGTTTTTTTACCGTATTGACCTTTACTGCCCCTTCCAGAATGAAATGTGGTATGTTGTGAATGATTATATTGCTTGACATCTTGACTGCAAACAATGGACTCGTGTAGTAATTTGGGTTCTATGCATGTCACAGGTGCCTATATTGCAGAAGAGTTGATGGGTGGGCTAATTGATTTAGATTCGTTATCACAACTTGGTAGTCCAAACAAACAGGACAAGGGACACAGACAAGTGCAGACTTGAACTTGTGTTTAATTGTAGCAGAAATATATATCCTGTGTCCTGTTTGCTTGCGCTACCAACTTGTGATAATAAAGGTGTCTATATATTGCTACATGCTTCTGTGATTGAGCGAGTTGAAAGTTTAGTCTCCATGTTGTCGTCCCTCCCGCTGTCTGCGCCTTCTGTTTGTGGCCAAGATGTCAAGCAGCAAGAACCAACTAGGCCAAACTCGAAAGTTCTTCTGAGCCATTATATTGTCTGCCACGGAGATTAACTCTCTAGCATGGTTTCTTAGGTAATTAATTCTATTATGGGTTGAAGGTGTGTAACATTGTTTTTGCTAGCAATGGCAGATATTGGCAAGAGAGGCCACCACTCTAAAAGAGGGAGTCAAGGACATATCTATGCGCCCTTATAGCAGTCTGTAAAGTGCTATCTGGTGACGTTTTGCAGAAACAATACCCAGATCATTAGATTAGGTTAGATGCTGGAAAATTTTTGCATTGGTATTAAAGAAAAGAGGAGGATATATCGAGGGCTCAGTTATTTGTTAAGCACAACCTAATGAAATCAATAAGCAATGAAGCTAAGGAGAGTATAGGGGACATTATTTGTACCTTTTAGCTGTGGTATAATATTTGTGCCATACATAGGAAAGAAACACAGTGGATGAAAAATGAAGTTGTTGCAGGTAAGGAACAAACCTACAACCTCTGGATAATGTGTATGATGCTCTACCGATTGAGCAATAGCAGCAGTTGCTTTCTCATACACTGTATTGGGTATTTATGCTCATGTAATCCTGGGAATGTTTGCCAGCACTGCTTGAAGCCATGATGGTGTGTGTGAAACGCATTTTTCTTGCCAGGTGGTATAACATAGCACGTGATTTTATTACGTTGTTGTTCTATTACTGTACATAGTACTGCAATCCTTAGCTGTAATAATAATGGTGCCCACAGTTGCTGGTGAGCCCAAGATGGCCACAGCAGCCGAGCGGCCCCCGTCCTTTGGCGAAGAGGTGCCCCGGCATTCCCGGCTCTGGTTGCCGCCCGTGCCTCGGCGCCGGTCCGAAGCCAACGGTGTGGCATCGCCCTCAGCGATGAGAACCAGCCTGCAGAAGTTGTCTGAGGGGAGGAAAGCACGGCGCCTCACCTTCTTCCGCAATGGGGACCGCTTCGACAAGGGCCTGGTGTATGCGCTCTCACTGGAGAAAGTACGCACATTTGAAGCCCTTCTGGAAGATCTCACACGCATAATGGTGGACTTGCCCATGGTAAGTGAAAAGCATATGAAGTTCTGCTTACATGAAAGTCTAAAGTGAAGTTATGCAAGCATCTTGCTTTCTAAATGCCGTCCACGGTGATGGTATAGTTTTTATGGTGCTTAGCTGCTGACCCGAAAGTTGCGTGTTTGATCTCGGCTGCGGCAGCTGCATTTCGATGCAAGGTGAAATGCTAGAGCTCCGTGTGCTGTGTAGTGACAGCGAATGTTAAAAAACGCCAGATAGTCAAAAGTTCCGGAGGCTTCCACTACAGTTTGCCCCTTAATTGCTTCCTCTTGCCTCGCCAGGCTTTATTCACCCACCCTGCCCAACTGCCTACTGAAGTCAGGTGATGAACGCGTAGTGCCCGGAAGATGATGAAAGTAAGTGAGCATTTCGAAGGCGAGATGTTGGTGCAGTCTCACCCTTGCTGGATCACATGTCTCACAATGCGAATAGGTTGATGTCGGTTTGAGTTGCAGAAGAATAGGTAAGTTAGAAAGGACCTCAGAGTGAAAAGTAGCAAACAGCACACCTTCAAAGTTTCCGCACTAGTGCTCTGTAATGTGATGCCGCTTGAAATCTACGTTTGGCTCTTTTTAGTTGTTTACTTGTAAAGCATCGTGACATTGCATTGAAATGCTAGTTGTAACTATGCAGTTTTGTAGTTTTTCTGCATGAAAATTTGCCAGGTATGAGAAGACACTGTGACAGAGTTCATGCCAGTCTTTGAAATCCTTGAAGACGCTTGAATTTAAAAGGTTTGTTTTAAAGGCCTTGAAAGTGCTGTAATTTTCACAAATCCTTGAAAATCCTTGAATTTCTTTTTTTTTTCTTAATAAACATTGTCCCACATTTGACATCCCATTATTTGTGATGCCATAAATGTAGCAGGTGGGATATGTAATATGTTCATTACAAAAGAATTAAGAACATTGGTAGCTTGTGCATGGAATTAACACTCTGCATTTTTGTAAACTCAGAAAAGGCAGGAGCAGGAGGATGAGAAACAGAAAAAGTCATGTTGCATTGATGAAGAGGTTGAAATGCTTACAAAAGAAAAAGAAAATAAAAACTATAAGCCGCTGTTACAGAATTAACAGCTACAGCAGACTCATATGCAGAAAAGGCAAAGACAACTATAATACCTGATGTGCATCATGAAGTCAGACAGTCTTAAAAATACTGCCAATACCAAGCAGTAGGATATAGTGGATATTGATATGAATATTAAGAAAAAGCAACTTGGCATTGCGTATAACTGTTGTTTAGTTTTTCCTATATGAATACAAGTTTGCAACTTGTGTCATACTGAAAACGATTACCCATGCAACTTTAAGAAACTATGATTGAAAATTGTTTAGAAATAAAATGTTGTTGGAGCAATGTTTTTGACGTATGCTCCAGTGGTCTTATCCCTTTTCGATGAATTTTAGTCATTTCAAGCCTCCATCCTTCCCTGAGCATGTTTTAGTCTGGTTTTTTACAGACAGTGTTGTCCTTAAAAATTCACACGGACAGCTTTGAAAGTCCTTGAAAACCCTTGAAGTTTAGTCATGTAAACGAGCATGAGCCCTGTGCACTATCTGTACTAAAAACTTAATGGCATTGATGTTGCAATTTTCAGCTGTGAAATTCAAAAAGTGGTACTTGGCAGCTGACCCGCAGGGCGCGGGTTCGAATCCCGGCTGCGGCGGCTGCATTTCCGATGGAGGCGGAAATGTTGTAGGCCCGTGTGCTCAGATTTGGGTGCACGTTAAAGAACCCCAGGTGGTCTAAATTTCCGGAGCCCTCCACTACGGCGTCTCTCATAATCATATAGTGGTTTTGGGACGTTAAACCCCACATATCAATCAATCAATCAAATTCAAAAAGTAGAAGTCACAAAAGAAGCACAATTTTTTCCTAGGGGGCTCGTGTTTTTTCTTTTTTTGTCAAACAACTTAAACCAAAGAGAGCAAAGGGAACATCTTTTGCTGTTTTTATTGAAATATCAATTAGTATATGGGCACTCTTAGTGGATTTTCTTCTCGGAGTGATATCCTGTGTATAAAAAGAAGGCACAAAGAAAAAAATTAATGAGAAGAGAAAAAATTTCGATGTGCTCGATTGGAGATGGAACCAGTGACCCTTTGATCTGTATTTTGCCGCATTAAACAACTCTGCTATGTGCCATGCATCTGCCAGCATAATAACAGCGAGCTATTCATGTACACCATTTACTGCTGGTGATACACAGATCTTGGAGGAACTTGAGCGAGTTTACCACACAACGCTACTACATCTTGTTTCAATTTGTAAACTGCCCTTCTAATGCTCATGATAAAGTGACCCCCTCTCTCTACCCACTCGCAATGTGAATTGAGGAAAAAAAAAAAAAACAGACGTGGGGCACACCTTGCATCAGAGGCCACCATGCGGCAGGAGGCACAAAGGAGATGCCCCATGCGCTGCAGTTTAAAAAAAAATGTAATGATGTAAAAGCGCGAGGTTCTGCGTGGTCTACACTTGCAGTACCCTACACAAAGACGTAACTTTTGTGATATTTGTTAGTTTGTGCTCCTTCTTTGTGTACCTGTGTATTCTGTTATGGCATCCTTTCTTTTTTTTTGTGCTTCAGCAGCACGTTGCAAGTTTTGCACTGCTTGTCATTCTGTATGTGGCATTCCAATTTCTTGATATTGCATACATTGCGTTGCCTTATCAAGTGAAACTGTGACTTTTTTTTTAAAAAAACAAAAGTTGAAAGAAGTTAGAGTGGACAACAAAGCATTCTTTCTCTCTGTGTGATCCAAACCCACAAATTTTAAATTATGTGCCTGATACTCTACCAATTGAGCTACGACAGAAGGCACTTCCTCATACACTTTGCTTGGCACTTTTGTGCGTGTGATCACTGGAAGTGTCAGCCAAGGTCATATTTAGTCAAGGCGGCAAGCATACCACACACGCTGTATGCTAAATAACCTCAAGTTTCTACGCGTGTGCTGTTTTTAACCTCTGTTTTATTTCGTTTATCATACCCTCAGGGCCCTAGGCAGTAAATAGAGGAGTGGTACATTTAAAATGTATCATAATAAAAAGTACAGTGCGTAATATCAATAGAAGTACATGAATAGAATCACACGTTTCTTTGTAAACAATTTTAGCGGCAGGTTAACGGGAAATCCTAGGTCTACCATGTTAGTGGAGGTTTCATAAATATGGTGGTTATCAGTAATACATACAATATCAGCAGTAAAATGGTTTCATTTTGTAGATATATGAGAAAAAATGTGCTGGTGAAAAATGCTTCGTGTTAGATTGAGAGGTTCCAGCTTTGTGCGTGTCTTGATGTGTCCAATCGTGTCGCAGGGCGTCCGGTTCATATTTTCGGAAGATGGCCGAGAGAAGGTGTCCCAGCTTGAACACTTGTGCGAGGGCTGCGTCTATGTGTGCTCCTCAACGGACCACTTTGTAAGACTTCCATATGGGCGTCAGGAGCCGCCTCGTCCTCACTGGACCCTTGGTCGCAGTACCCGAGGCATTCCTGGGACTCCATCCTCCTCACCTACCACGCATCACAACACCTTGCCCGCTCACCATGGCTTTGTTCGGCCCAAGCTCATTACAGTGAGTGCAGGTTCCCAAGTGCAGCATTGATATAAAGCTATACACTGAGCACGAAACTATGCTGACCTTATCTGGACTTAGTGTTGTATGGAAGCTGTCTTTGTCTACCATCTGCTGCCATTGTCATCAAAGTACACTCAAACCTCGATATAATGAATTCGGATATAACGAATTATTGGTTATAACGAAGCAAGTGACTAATAGCTTTGTCATATACACAGTGTTACTAATAATTGTTTATAACAAATTTTTGGATATAAAGAAGTATTTTGGTGGCAGATGTGACTGTTATAATGGTGTTTGAGTGTAGTAGTAGTGGTGGTGGCCATGACACAGGTCACATGATCAGTGGGGAAGTGATAAAGAAATTAAGTGAAGTGATGACGATAATGCTAAATGTTAATGCCATATGATATGGTGGCGCTGCTTGTGTTCCGGATTAGCCACTACAGTAAAACACGTTTTGAGTGAGTTGGCGCGTTGAATGGGCTGCAGTTGCACTGGAATGCCAAGTTCTCTCGAGAATTCCAGCTCTGCTGTGAATGAGCATATTGTCTTGCAGTATTAACACAGCATGGCTAAATGTTAAGAACAAAGAAACAATAAACAATCCCCTAGTGAATATTTTGCTGGAACTTAAAGGGATCCTGCAACACTTTCCTAAGTAGCCATGGAATGGATTCACTAAAGGAGCTTAATGCTTCATGAATTCACTGCCGCAAAAATTTTCAGAATCCATTCAGTACTAGCAGAGTGATAAAGGTTTGTCGCACCCTGTAATCGCATTCTCCTGTCCCGAAAAAAAGCACTGAGAACTAAGCAGAGAGGAATGACACAGGGGAAGAAAATGTACGATAGCTCCTTCAACTATCGAAGATGAGTGATGTGCAACAAAGAAACTGAGTGGCGTAATGTTTTTCTTGCATCGCCGAATTTATTTTCTCATACTGAAAAATTTTTTGAAAAATTTGCCCCGCATAATAAACACACCCTCAACTTTGCTACGATTTTTCAAGAAAAAACGTGCGTTCATTACGCGAGTAAATACGGTATGCCTGATGACAGGGGTGACAGCTTCACCATCAAACGGTCTTTCACGGTAAGAAACTTGCTGGAATTTTTCAGTTAGAGCATTAGAAGTAGAGCGTCAAGAGTGCTGTGCAATCTATGCACAAGGGCTCTGAGAGATTTGCAGCGCTGGTAGATTTAAATGTGACAATTTAAAGCAAGGTAATGCATGTACTCGAACGTTTACATCGAAACCACTTCACCGGGTAATGTGTTGCATTTATTTCAAGCGGCTGTACATACCAGTCATTGCACTAAATGTCTTGAATATCGGATTTCAATCTGTGAGCACTGAACATTGGTGTAATGGTCAAGGTGTTGGCTAATATAAGATTGCTGTTGGTTTTTTTTTTTTCTAATGTTCAGTACTGTTTACCTTTGACAACTTGATATTTATTTTTTGCAATGCTCAAAACATCTGTCAAGCTTGAAATATGACACTTCTGTTAATTATGAATTTATTTTTGTTTTGGCAGCTGAAGAACATTTTCACTTGTAAGATAATTCATAGATGGCACACAGGTAGACTGTACACTGTGCCAATCCCACTCATAGAAAAGGAAGCTGACTCTTCCCGCAACGACATAACATTGCTGTCGGGTAGCTCCACTGCAAGAAAGCTGGCGTCATCTGTCGAACTAAGCCGAAATAAACGTAACCTGCTCATAAAAAGAAGCCATATTATGGGAGTCGCGAGAGCTGTGCAGTAATGTTAACTTAGGGGACAAAAGCCGTGTGCATTCCAAGTCTGTTATTGTTATCATAAAAAAAAAAAACCTAACCTCCTTTCACTGGAATGTTCAGCTGATCTTGAAAGCGGGCAGGAAACGCAATTTCCCCTCAAATATCCTTGGCTTCTTTCTGGTCACATTATAGGAAGTTTAATATAACACTTTTGAGTTGATTATAAAGGGTTTCTAGATACATGCGAAGCTTGCCAACTGCTTGGACGGGTTGCTCTGTCTTTGTTGTTTTGATTTTTGCATGATTATTGAGCTACCCATGTTGATCACTTTTTTATTCAAATTTTTACTGATAAGGTTTAATCATTCCTTAAAAGCTTGTGTGGGCGTGGTTTGCAGGTTATTCGCAATGGTGTACGTCCAAGAAAAGCAGTAAGAGTGCTGCTGAATCACAAAACAGCCCGGTCATTTGAGCAGGTGCTTGACGATGTTACGAAAGTGATCAAGCTTGACTCCGGTGCCGTGCGCAAAGTTTTCACTCTTACAGGAAAACCGGTGAGTCCTTTTTATATTGTAGTTGAAGTAAAAACATATTACCGGATACTTAGCGTTGTCTGCAGGTTAGTTTTTGGTATCTAAATTGCCACTGATACAGTCGACTCTTTTAAACGGAACTCGAAGGGGATCCATAAAACTGTTTCATTTATCAGACGTTTCATTTAAGCAAAGTACGCTTATTTAGTGAACCAAGACCTTTATTCAAATCGCACAAACCTCGCCTTACTCATGAGGATGAGTAGTAGAAAAAAAGAAGTGAAGAGTGGTTTGTTTGGAAAGCTTGAGTTGTTTTTCCACAAGGTACGCACCCATGCCTGATGAACTAGCTAGAAATTCTGTACAAGCCTCATGCTCAAAATAGCGCTGCAATAGTTAAGCATCAGCAGCCTCTTTAGCCGATCGGTCTGGTGGCACCACTGCACTGGCAGTATTATCATCACATTCATCGCTGGAAGGTTTATCCTCATCTTGCACTTCGGCAATCATTTTCTTGACAGTCTCTTCACGACAGGTACGAACGTTTTCATGGAGGAAAAACTGCATTCGAAATAAAAATTGAAATTCCTTCATCAGGCCCCTGTAACATGGTTACTGTGGAAGTAGTAGGAGTACGAGTCGATGCTTTTGTGGACACAAGTGCGACATTGATTATGATAATGCATATATGAGAAGCGCATAATGAATGCCCATACTAACATCGTGATTCACCGCACTTAGCCGCACAAATAGGCCTAACTAACACACAACTGACTCGCCGACTCGGCTCCCACAGCCACCACAAGCGAGAATGGCTACTGATTTGGCTTTTCTTGAGGTGTTGTCATGGTTGTGAGACTACCTTTGGCCTGAGCGAGTCTATTCTGTGTTTAGAGTTTGTGCCGTTTAACCGTAGGTGACCAATAAGTGCTGCTTCGATTAACCGATGAATTTTATTGCGCAACATATAGAAATCCAGCCACATGAGCGCGTTTAGTTTCGTTTATGAGGCATTTTTGTTTAAGCGAGTTTCGTTTATTGGGAGTCCACTGTATTAGTTGTCAACCAGTGATGCTCGTCCTTATGACTGCTTTTTCAAGAAACATACTGTAGCCACTGGCGGGCGATGGCAGTTTCGTTCCAGAATGAAATCGTAGTGGAAACATGTCGTGCACCTCAGTTTATGTGTGCCTTGCTTGCAAAGTTCTAGAGCCTGCAATTTTGGTCGTTTGAATAATAGACGGGGACAAATTGACCTGGCTTTACAAGCATTGAAGTGCTACGTGCAATAATGAAAGTGCCGATTTCCTAGTGCGTGTTATCAGAGTCCTGATGTGATGAATAATAACCATAAAGCACTCTTTTAGGAGGAGTGTCAATAAATGACCAGTCGCTCATCATTGGGTGTGCACAAGTTGTAAATAACATAAATGCAGCTTGAAGATCTTGTGTAGGCACACTTATCAAGAAAACTATGGCGCTTTCTTTTGTGAGTTTCTTGCCATTGTAATTGTTTCGGGCACTTTTACACTTCATGCATTGGTGATTGTCAGCAGAACTTGATACGTAGCCTCGTGGGCAAATGTGTATCATTCTGTCCAACGCTTTTTTTCTCAGTTATGTAGGTAAGTGAAACTGGTGAACTCTTATCCATGTCCTTACGGAAACCATGTTACGCACTGCAGGTGACCACTTTGGCTGACTTCTTTGGTCCAGATGACATTTTCATAGCGTATGGCCTTGAGAAATATTCGCACGACGACTTTGATCTAGACTCCGAAGGTTGGCGCTCCTTTGGTCATTTCCTTTAACAATCTTGAAACAAACATCTGAAATTGTGATATGAGCCAAGCAGCTTTGTCTTGTGTATGCTGTACTGAAATATCAGTATTTCCCAGTTTACTCTGCTGTCAGTATCACTACATTGTTCAGTTTACAACATAGTTTCATACACTGAGCTATATCGAGGCATTAAGAAGTTAACAATTTGTGCTCAATGTTGTGAAAATCTGCATAATTGAATATCTGCTAAGCTGTGCTAGAACTACGGTTCCAAGACACTTATTCACTTGAACTCCAAATGGACATTAAGAAGTTAATACCATTCGTCATTTTTTTAGAATACTGATATTTTGTGTCTATCAGTGTGATTGGTTTGTTGTCAGGAAAGGTTAGCTACTTATCTTTTCCACGCACTCGTGAGAATTACTAAAAGTCGGAGCTGAAGAAGCCTGCATGTTTCTGTTAAATAGCGGTTTTTTTCTTCATGTAGGTAAACTGCTTGATTTTTATTATTATCATTGTTACTTTTTTTCGCAGAGTGTAAGCATCTCAATGGTGCTATGCGAATGCGCCGGGAACAGCGTTTTTCATGTGGCCGACCCATGTCCCCCATTTCAGATGGTAAGCACTCATCCAACGTTGTTCTTGTGGGGCGTACACTTGCTCTAACAATTGGTGAATCAGGGCTCAGTTGTTGTTATTTTAGAACACTCTGCAGTCTTGCTTTATTATTTAATAGTATATATTGTATTTTCTCGCATAGTGGGAGCACTTTTTTTTTTTTTTCAGAAAATTCAGCTGAAGTTAGGGGTGTGCCAATTACGTTGGGTAAATTTTCCGAAATTTTCTCGACTGGGTTCTAGCACTTTAAATCTGCACATTTGTCAAGTAAAAGGCGACCTTATCATTTACCCATTGATTCAGCTTAAAGCAAACATACCTACGTACCTTTTAATGAACAAGCGAGAGCCGTCAACTGCACCCACACATGTAAAGTTTATTTACACAGAAGTCGTAGGTGTTCCTTCTTTTCCCAATTCGGAGTCCGGGTCGGAGAGCACACATTCATTCTCGCGGAGCTGTCAACTGCTACACACACACGTAAAGTTTATTTACACAAAAGTCGTAGGTGTTCCTCTTTTTTCCCAATTCGAAGTACGGGTCGGAAAGCACGCATTCATTCTTGCCGAGCGGGGATTCGTTTTCGGTGTCCGAATCATCCGCACCCCACAACATGTCATCCTCACTCGCATCCAAGTGCGTTCAAGATACGCGTCTTCTTGAAGCTTTTCCTGGTGACTTTGTCGGAGATCGCCTGCCACGATCCAAGCGCACAGCATTTCCACAGACGGCCTCTTAATTTTACCACCTGGAGTCAGCTGATGTTGTCCTCCAGCCATCCAGGGTGTGTACAGCCTTCGAACATTGTCCTTGAAAGGCTTATTCAAGGACACGTCCAAAGGCTGCAGTATCGATGTGAGGCCGCCCAGAATCACTGCCAGATCTGTGCGCAGCTCCTTTAGCTCATTTTGTACGTGGTCTACTAGGTGCCCACGAAAACTATTCAGGACAAGCACGGACTGGAACAACAGACCACCCGGCCGCCGACCCCAGACTGTTTTTACCCAAATCCACCATGAGTTCCGCGCTCATGCAGCCTTTTTCTGGACTCTTGAAATAGATGCCTTGAGGGAAATTTGCTTTTGGGAGCGTCTTACGTTTAAAAATAACGTAAGGCAGTAGCTTGCGCCCATTCGTTGTCACTGCCAGCATTACGGTGCATGGTTGTCTATCAGCGCCAGACATTCTGACGATGACGTTCCATGCACCTTTCTTCTACATTGTCATGTTCCGCGGCATATCAAAGCAAAGGGGGGTCTGTTCAGCGATGCCGGTCTGAGACAAAATGAAGTCTTCCCCCTGTCGGAGCTTTATAACGAAACAGCGGAAGTCCACAACTGTTTTGTCCTCATATGCTGCGGGCAAGTGCTGGCATAAAGTGGTCCGCCTTCACAGTGAGAGGCCATGGTGCTGCATGAAACGAGTTGTCCATCCGGAGCTGCCTTTAAACATTTTTGCTTCGATGCGCTGCACTCAAGCTATTCTGCGCGCCGAAGTCTGCACAATATCTAATGACACAGCACAGCCGTCTTGTCGTAGGTCCCGTATATGCCAAACCAGTTGCTCTTCGACGTTCAGATACCTGCCAGTCTTGTCACCGCGGAAAGCCCATCGTGTCTTTTTCGTCACCTTAAGTTTTCTTCTTGATCCCTCTAGTACCAGATAATGGTTTCCTCAACACCGAAATGCCTGCTTGCAGCCCAGTTGCCATGCTCCGGCGCGTACTGCACTGCCCGCCGTGTATCTTGCGAACTTCCCCATGGTGGAACCAAAGTTGAATACACGACCACAACATATGCACACCGCTTGCAAAATGGCGTTGTTTTTTTTTTCTCTGATGGGGGTAATAGCAATAGAGTCCCCAGCATTGTACACGGGACCTCCAAGTAGCTCGGCGATTTGTGGGGTATCAGTAATTGATGGAACAGCCATTTTGTTTTTTGCTCATGGACGCTTTTTTTTTTTTTCAAGTTTTATTTCGACAAACACGTTGGTTAGGTCGTTGCACTTCGAATTTTTCTTATTTGCTCGTCAATTTGCAGTCTTTCTTTTTTCTTTTTTTTTTTTCGGGGTACAGGGACCGCGTTACAACTGTACTGCTGGGGGGGTAGGATCGTTTCTCATCACAGCCAAGTTCGGGATGCCCTTATTATGCGCGGAAATTAAAAAATCGAATTTCCCGCGACCAAACTATGGGGTGCGCCTATTATGCGAGTAAACACGGTAGGTAGTGAAAGGAGAATGGTTCGTTTCGAAATAAGAGGCAGCTCAGTAAGCCTGTAAGGAGACAAGTAAATGATGTGCAATTTGCACTCTGCCTGATTTCATTCATTGTAACAGTGTCTAGCTACTAATATAGCTTACTATTCTACAGTGCATGTTTGCAAAGTGGCATCGTGTCTTGCAATTTTGCAGATCTCCAAATATTTTTAAACTAAGGCATTACCTCTTTTACTGCCAGGAAATCAATCTGCGCTAGTGCCTTTTTTTTTTTTTTTTCAGGTGCACCTATTAGGCATTTAGAAGTGTTTGTCCCTTCAGGGGGCTTCCGTAAGTCTTTAGAAAAAAAAAACTTTCACAATGCTTCGTGCACACTGAGCCAATCTCTTTCGTGCAATTTTACTAGATTTTTCTCATGCAAATGGGGCTTCAGAATGAGTTTTGAAAGGCCCTATAACCGCATAAAGGATTACTTTATTTTGTGTATTGTAATTAAGTGCGAGCTCTGCAGCATGAGTGTAACACAGAAACGTACACAATACGTTTGGTGCAGTGCTGTTATATGTCGGGCGAAATAATAGAAAGTGAAAACAATTTTTTCAAGAAATATCTTTTTCTTGCTTTTGATGCTACAGAAAGCCATTCAGGTTAGTCTGTAGTTTCTTAAGTATAATAAGGTAATAAGAAATACAAATCTTTCTTTCGGTGATACACTTACCGGGCCGTACAAAGTGCACAAAAAACCCCACCAAAATGTGCTTTCACAGGTGTTACACTCGGAAACCTCTTTCTGAATGTTTTTGAGCATTTCTTGTAAGTAAAATGAAAATGTCTTGTCTGTATACTCCTGCACTACGTGCAAAATATTCACCGATCAAGAGGTTACAAACTCGGCCGAATAGCCTACTGCTTCAATCATCTGATTTTGTACTGCTTTAATAATTTGGTTTTGCCTGTTCGCGCTAACTTCAGGCACTATTGTTTCCACTGGGATAGCCACATGAGCAATCTGTCATGCATTTTCTTTGCTTCTCTATATGTTTCCAGTGTCTTCAAACCTGAGTTTCCAGAGTTCTCACTCTATTTCGCCCAAGGCATCCAAAAAGCTCCATTTTACGAATCATGTAGGTATTGTTTATGGTCATCCATGAAGGGAGGGTTAGCATTGTTGTGTGAATTGGGAGACTCAGCTTAGGGAAGTCTGTTCGGTTCCTCTTTGGAAGAACATGTGCTGCCTGCCGACTCTACAACTGAAAGAAACAGTGATGCCTCTACATGCAGAATGAAGGGGGAGATGCAACTGAAAAACAAAAAGTTTTTTAATCTATAGCCTAGCACAGGAATCGGCCTCCCTTTTAAGTGGAGAGCCAAGTGGTATGGAGCCGTCACAGCGGCGGGCCGCACAGCAAGTGGGGTGGGACACTTTGCAGACGAAGAAAAAAGTATTTTTTTTAATTGACAAAAATGTACACAACTGTATTATAATTCGTGTTCATTTTCAGCATGCATATTGGAAGGTTTCAATCAAACATAGGTTTCAGCAAAAAGCCCAATTAAGATCAAAACTGCTATCTCAGCCTTCGGATAGGAAGGGATACGGGAGAAAGGGGAGGGCTTTGACATCATGCCAGGAACTGCACAATACTGCGTTGCAGGTTGCACGTTGCTGACGCCTGGCTAGGGCAATGAAATTTGTGCTGTGTACATAGGCTTTTATGCTGATTCCAAATATTTAATTGGTTTTGTAGTAAGTTGCATAGTTCTCGTTTTGTATCGTGATTATGTGTAAAATATTGCTCATTTGAGACACACTTTTTCTCCCACTGAGCTTTCATGATAATGAACCATTAATGGCTCACATTGCTCCACATTAGCTGTAAAATGCTAATGACTAAGAAGAAAGTATGTATAGGACATTTGAATGAACAAGAAAAAAGTATGAGAAGTAGGGTTGTGCGAGTATTCAAGCACATCAAACATTCGAACGAATATTAATGTATTCGGATTCACTTCAAATGAAATATAAATTATTGTAAATTTCAAAGTACTTTGAACAAACGAACAAATGAAATATAAATTATTCTAAATTTCAAAGTACATTGAACGAACGAATCGTGTTAAACCTGCCTATAATGGACCGTCATATAACGAATTCCTCATTATTAGAAATTTTTTCTATTTCCCACCATTGCTTCATAGAAGGACATGTATTTGCGAACTCTATGTAACAAAGTGGTAGAGAGCGATACGCTTGATATAACGAATTTTGGTCGCCAGTAACTTCGGAATTTCGGCCAAATTTTGTCATTTTGCCACAAGCATGCATTTTTCGCCACCGACGCGAGGCGTGCAGGCAGGCCTGTGCCCATCAAGCCTGACTCGTGATTGAATTCGCTGACCTGTGTATATACTATTTGAATTCAATTCATAATTATTCGAGCCAAATCGCTGTTTGCTTTGAATTTGGTTTAAACCTAAAATTCACTATTTGCACAAGCCTAGTGAGAAGTCTTAGAATGTTTTGGAAATATGTGGGAAAAACTTCCTCCTAATTTGGCCATCATAAGTACCAAAACATGACGCCCAATATTAATAAGTTGCCCATAATTGCATCTTGAGGAAAATGCATATTTAACACAAAAATGAGGGTTTATTTATGTGGCAAAGATGTGTGTTTCATGAGAGCTTGGAAATTCACTGATTATCTTGAGCATGTGGCTTTGGTGAACTCCTCATGTGAAATGCAATGGCAAGCAGCCAGGTGACAATTTCTAGAGGACTCCAGACAATCAGCTCTTCACAGTTTTTAATAACCACCTTGTGCTCTTTGAAAGTGATTTTAACTTACAAAGTTGCATCTTACACACAAATAAGTGCATTATATCCAGAAATTCGTTATACAGGTTTATTCCTAACACTGTATCTATTGTAAATTTTTTTTTATTTACTTTGTTATAAGCAATATTTTGTTATATCAGGGCTCGTTACATCAAGTTTTGAGTGTACTTCGAAGTGTAATTACAGCCTTGATTTTTTGTCATGAAAGTAGCGAAACTAAACTTGAAAAAGCAATTCAAAAACTAAAAAATGCAATTTTGGGCAAAAGTATTTTCTAGCAGCCTCTCCCCTAAATTGCTCAGTGTTAGCACTACCACTGGTTAAGCTGCTTAGAATTTAAGCAACAAGAGACGAATATTGTTTCTATAAAAGGATGCTTTCTGAAATGTATTTGAATCCCCTTTTTGAGAGACTATGCAACACGGAGCAGCTATTGCCCTTGTATGTTGTGTCTTCTATAAGCAGGGTACCATTCTTATTCTCCTGATCAATCTCTCTCTCTCTCTCTTTTCTTTTTTGTTTGATATAGGCCCAATGGTGTCTTTTATACCCAGTTGTCTGTTATATCAGCTCCTCTTTTAGAAGAAAGGTTCAACTTTACCACCACTGTACTGAGTCTTTAATTGGTAGCCCAGCTGAGCCATGCTTCTATTCTGTGGCTTTGAAGGTGGCTCTACCGGAGACAGTTGGACGGCTGTACTCGGTGCGGGAAATGCTGGGCGACGGTAACTTTGCCACAGTCTACCAGTGTGTCTCCAGGTGACTTTTCCTTTGTCCATTTTGTTGCCTGACTGTGATTTCAATTTAGATCCTACTGAAATTTGTTGGCTGGTACATTTAATTTACGTAATTTGCTTAACAGTTGTTTCTTTTTTTCCTCATTGTAGGGAGACGGGTGTTGAGTATGCACTAAAAATCATCGACAAGGACAAATGCAGAGGCAAGGCAAGTGTTCATGCTGACAATATTTCTCTGGAAAAAGTGGGAGATATGCTATGGTGTTTCCAGGTTGTGCGCACACATTAATGCAGCTGGAATGTGCACTGCATGGCAGCTCAAAAAACAATTGAAGCCATGCTTTGGTGATAATACAACAGTAGGAAATTTTGGCTGACACTTGCAGGCCTTAACCATCTGTTGTCGTCGGGCAACATATTTTGTTTCACTGAGCTGCCACCATGTGACAGGGTGACCTGCACAGCAGTCTTTTTGCCCCTGTCCAAAAAAAAAAAAAAAAAGTTGTTGCGGGTGTATCTGCAATGCAAGGTAAACAAAAATGGCAAAGCTGTAAGAGGGAGTTTTTGCCGTCCTTGGAAGTCCTAAAACAGGGGCATGGCATTATAAACTTTTTTCGAGTGTGTGTGTGTGAAGAGGGGGTCCAACCAACTATTGTGTATGTTTGTGCATACAGTTTGTCTACATGCAGGCATATCATTCTCAGCCCGCAACATCTCATCTTCACTCGCATCCACTGCGTTCGAGATACCCAGTCTTCTTGAAGCTTTTTCTGGCGACTTTCTCACTACGTCGGCTGCAGGGCAACGGTCGCTCCCATGTTCCACCAATTAACCCCTTCTTTCGCTTTCAGCCTGTCTTTCGCTTTCAGCCTGTCTTTTGCTTTCAGTCTTTTGCTTTTAGCCAACTTTCAGCCTTTCTATTGCACATTTGTCTTCCTTTGAATCTGATCTGTTATACCCTTAACAATAAGCAGTTATCTTGCCTATGGCCTACATGCTCTGCCCATGTCTATTTCTTCTTGATTTAAACTAGGATCTTCTTGGCCTCCGTTTTTTCTTACAAAGCCTCAGAGCGCCGCATGTTTATGCACACATGCAAAATTGAAAATTGTGTGTGTGTGTGTGTGTGGAGGGGGGTTATGGCTGGACTAATGCCCCCCCCCCCCACCCCTTCTTTCTTCCCCCTTATCAATGTCCTCTGGAAGTCTGGTATTCCATTGTCCAAAAGCTTTACTACAGCTACTGTATATCTATTGCAGTTCCTTCACTATCTTCCATGGTATCTTAGCAGACCAAGGTGCTGCGCTGCTAAACATGAGGATGCGAGTTTGATTAGCCTCTGTAACTGTATTTCGATCGGTGCAAAATGTAAAATCACCTATTTGCTTAGATATAGGGGCACTTTAAGGAGCACCAGGCAGTGAAAAATCAATGTGGAGTGCCTCAGTGTCCACCACAGCGTGCCTCATAGTCGTATAGTAATTTGATCGTATGCTATCCAAGAACTTAATTTATAATTTTTTAAATTTTTTTGCCTTGGCCAAGTCTCAGAGTGCTTCGCTGCATTTAAAATGTCTATATGCATTCCTGTATTCTGCTCCAACTTTACTGGTGCACTTTCCATGGACTTCGTAACGGGACCACTGCATAGCTGCGATTCTTTCATACAGCTATACCATTACATCAGTACAATGCAGAATGTATAGTTAGCATATTCCTGGCTGACTAGATACCAGCCTCACCACCATAACAGAGCCGTGGTACATTTGTGTAAAAACGTACGGCTTCTAACGAGCACAGCATGGCGTCTGCACAGTCATTTTGAGCTTCTTAAGGCATCATAAACAAAATGGCTAGGGCTTCATTGGCTGCTCTGCTCTTATGACTGCAATTGTCATGAAAAAGGAAACTCAAGCAAGCTGAAGGAAACTGAGAAGGGAGACAGGAAAGAGCGCCAGACAGGAAAGACAGCAAGTCGAGTTTTCAAATATGAACTAACTAGTCTGCAAAGAAGTAGTGAGAAAAGAGCCTGATTCATCATGTAAGCTGGGTTTACGTTTTGCTTGTCCATTGTATAACCCAATGATGGCCTATTCTTGCATCTCATTTTGCAATCTGCACTTAACACTGTCACTTAGGCACTTGCATGCACTTATGTTTGGCACCTTTGTTGTGCTGTGCAGTCCAAGGCGTCCACCACTTGCTACAGCGATGTCTGTGTGTAAAAGTGCTTCTGTAACTTGCACTTGCAGGAGCAGATGATTGCTAACGAAGTGGCCATTTTGCGGAGGGTTCAGCATCCAAATGTCGTTCGGTTAGTCGAGGAGTTCAACTTTGACACTGAACTCTACCTGGTCATGGAACTGGTCAAGGTATGTGGCGTGCCTCACTTCATCACTGTAAAAGTTAACATAAGCACTGAGGAACTGTTATTTTTGTTGATGATGAGTAATGTCATTATCAGTCATTTCAGTACAAAAAAGCATGATGTCTATACAACCATCAATCGGTTAAACAACACTTGGGATAATCTTCGCTCCTTGTTGGTATTATATTAAGCAAACTGGTGTAAAATGCATGTTTGTGGCATGTTAGTTATTGAGCTTTTTGTTTTAGTTTCTGAGGCGCAAGAACAAATGAGTGTGGAGAAGTAGAGTCTGCAAGTTCTTGACTTTTTTTTTTTTTGTCATTACATGTCTTATTCAGTTTTTATGCTGCTTTGCCTGCTATTCTTCACATGCTAGGTTCTAGCTCGAGTTCCATTTATTTTGGTGCTGTACTTGAACAGACTGGTTGGAAAGAGTGTAATTTTAGATTAGCGCTCATCTCTGGGCTGATACCAACTTAAGGCAGTGTGTAAAGGGTTCGGACTGTTTTACTTCGGGATGTTGTTATTGTATCATTATCGCTGCAGACTATGAAAGAGTGTGTTTAGTTGAAGAAAGAGAGCTCGTAACATAGTACTGTTTTCATGTACTGCGATCGCAGGGGGGTGACCTGTTTGATGCCATAGCGGCAGCGACCAAGTTTCCCGAGTATGAGGCAAGTCGCCTGGTTAGTCACCTGGCCAGTGCCCTTGCCCACCTGCACTCGTTGCATGTCGTCCATCGAGACATCAAACCTGAGAACCTGCTTGTGGGTGTCCGGGGTGCGCTCAAACTGGCCGACTTCGGCCTTGCGACCGAACTTCCCCGGGATGGCTCCCTGCTGTCTACAGTGTGTGGCACGCCGACATACGTGGCCCCTGAGATACTCGCCGAAACAGGGTGAGCATATACCGCTTGTATGCTATGCTTCATGCTCTTAATTAGTAGTCCCAAAGCTCATTTCACCCAGAGGGCAGCATTCACTAAATGTAGTCCCAGAAGGGCTAATGTGCTCAAGTATGGGAAAGCGGAAGGGGCCGCTTTTTTGTGAACAGAACTTGCATTTTTTTCTTACTTTGTAACTGAATGTGTAAGGGGATCTGTCCAGCATCTGCTTAAGTGGATGTTGATACTATTATGATTCTTTCAGGTTCAGCCAGGCTTGCAGTAGGTGCCAATCCTTTATTATATTTAAGTTGCTAGTCTAGAAGATTTTGGTGGCTGTGGTGGTGGACAATTGTGGGAACTGATTTCATTATTTCTTTGCAGTTATGCTTTGGAGGTTGATGTGTGGGCCATGGGTGTCATCACCTACATATTACTATGTGGATTCCCACCGTTTGTCAGGTGTGTGTGGTATTCAGTTCTTGGAATATCTCTTAGGTGGAACGTAGTCACCGTGTTAAATTTAGTAGTTCTGTATCATGTATGACTAGTGTGAAAACGTAAGAATTGAGGCACATTATAAGCACACCAGATAATACGAGTCCATATGTCTGTGAGCGTTTTTGAGCATCACACCTGCAGTTGTCTTTCAGCATTCAAAGTCACTCTGACAATCTCATTGTTTTAAATTAATTTGAACTGTATTGCAATTTCTTTAATGTATGTGCCATCTTTTCTTGATTTCTTGCAGTCAAACAAACAACCAAGATGAACTGTTCGACCAGATTCTGAGTGGGCGGTTCGAGTTTATGGCTCCATACTGGGATGGCATATCTGCATTAGCTCAGGTGGGCTCAGTAGCTGTTTTGTCACCACAGTGTCTTCAGTTCGAATGTTTCTGAAGCCTCCTCCATTACAGACAAATACTGTACAACTTCTAATTCAAGCGCAAAATATATTCATAGTAAACTGTTGGCATTTTGCTGGTTGCTTGCTCGGAGTTTTTTCTAATTGTTGAGGAATAGTAAAACAGCCCTAAGTACCTTCATTGTCATTGTGAATGTCACTGGCAGCATAGTAATTGTGGCTTTTGTGCGCACCATAGTCACTGTTATAGGGAACAATGAAATATTTTTGCTGGTCAGGAGTAAACTTAGTGCTGGCTCACACAATTTTTTTTTTAGACACACACGCACACAGTGTGCCTTACTGTGTCCTTTTTTTTTTTCAAGCCTGTTCAAACACACGGTATGCTGTTGCAACAAGCCCAAAAACAGCACTCCTCACACTAAAGCCTCATTAATGTTTCATCAACATGTTTAAAATTATATAAGCTTGCACCCCTTTATTCCCAAGTGTCCCCCTTATCCCGCGCTAGTTTTCCAGCTATATTTGAAAGTGTGGCCAATTGCTCAGCTGGTTGTCAGAGCATGCTTTTTATTATAGCACAAAAATTTTTATGTTTCTGTTTTCGATGAGTTGTTCTCGTCCTACATGCCTCTCCTGAGTCTGAATTGATTGCCACTGAAAAACTGGAGTCTGTTAAAAGCAGCAAAAGGCCTTCAAAAAAGCTTAAGGGATATGATTTACGGTCCACCACAGTGGTGTGGCAGTTACTATGTTCAGTTGCTGACGCAAAGGTCTCTGGTTTGATCCCGGCCGCGGCAATCGCATTTGAATAGAGGCAAAATGCTAGAGGACCATTTACTGCACAATGTCAGTGTACATTAAAAAACACAAGATGGTCCAAATTTCCAGAGCTCTCCACTACAGCGTACCTCATGATCATGTCGTGTTTTTGGAACGTGCAACCCCAGATATTACTGCATTTAATTGCATAACTTGTGCCGTCGCGTTATTTGTGCACCCTCAATATTGAGTCAGCCTTACTAAAAAAAAAATAGTAACTTGCATATTTTGCACTCCCCAACCCGCCCGAGCCATCCTTGCCGGTGCGCGCACGAATAGACTTTGGACCTTTGGATGAAAGTTCCCTACGCTTGGTTGATTTTAGTACATTAGGTTTCGCCATCTGTGCCATCGCGTTTTTACTCCCTTGCAATGAGCTACATAACCGTATACACAGCGAAATTCAAGCACGCTGTTATCAAGTTTGCCGAAGAAAACTGAAACCGTGCCGCCGCCAAGCACTGCAGCCTGCTTCTGCTTCAGCATGAAGTTCTTCAACGGGTGACGGTTCGATACGGGAGAAAGCAGAAGAGTGCACGCTTGCTAATACAAGGTTCCTGCTGATAAAGAAGACCTTTCCAGTTATGTGTGAAAGCTTAGGTCCTTCGGTATTGGCATGACGCAAGCCTGGTTTCTCCCAGCGTTGTCGAGAAGAGCTACAAGAAAATGGGGGATGTTCGCACGCCCTCTACAGATTGAAGGACGATGCGCTTGGCCAGGGTGGTGATAGCTGCCGCGACGATGATTCCCAATCAGACCTAACAGTCAGTGTTTCCGACTAGACCACGCATGACTGGAGCTGGCTGGTTCAAGTATGCGCTGATTCTGTTAAATGAACAAGTACACTTGGTTCGTGCTCCTAATTTATTTGGTTTACTGGCGAAGCTCCTCTTAATTAACCTTGTCATGCGTCACGCGTAACCGAGAGAAGAAAGACAAGAAAGAAAAAAAGGCAGTATCTCCTGAACAGTATAATAGACGGCGCTGTCTCATAGAAGTACATACAAACTGCAGTTGAGTGAGGATATTCTAGATGGCGCTGTACTGCTACTCTGCGATTGGCTCCTGCGTGGGCTGTGCCTGGGTACGCAGAGAACGAGTGCCTCTGTCTGTATCTTTTGCATAGTCGCCGTACGTGGCGGAGCGTTGGTGTGGCATGGACGAAGCAGAGCGACGGGCGCGTTGAAGATGCTTGCACTCGACTTCCTTGGCTCACGTCTCGTCGGTGTTACTCGCGCGCTGTCTGCATTTTCGAACGCGATCGGATGCATGGATGCATGCACGGACGGACAGGACACACAGACGCTTCGCCCCAGTCATCATCATTCACTCTGTGGATGTGCTGGGATTTTCTTTTTTTAATACATATTGTTACAGCTGGCATTTTTTAGTGCAAATAAACCTATCAATCCGTAACACTATATATACCACGTGCATTAGGACTATATAATATTGCACATTATTTTCGATACATTTGCAACATTTCCTCGTAAATTCTCTAGATAAACAAGTGCACTTGGTTTGTGCTGCAATTTATTTGCTTTTTTTATGTATATACCTCACGCATTTGGACAACGCACGTTATCTCAAGTGCCTTCCCAAAATATCTGCATTGTTTGTGCACCCCCTTTTCAGAGCTATAAAATTGCTAAAAAGAAGTGCACAAATTATGTGAGTCAATGCAGTATTATTGTTTGATTTACTCAGGGGTGGTTGTTTGCACCACGCAGGATTTGATTCGAGGCATGCTTCAGGTGGACGTGACGCAGCGCTTGACAGCAGTGCAAGTGCTTGCGCATCCTTGGCTGCAGCAGCAGGCAAGTACTGAATGCTCTTGGAAATTTGAACTTGCATCCTTGTGCTGCATATTTGCGTGGCCTGCTTTAATAGAGTACTGTAAGGCATCCTGTGAGAGGTGTGGTATGGGCAGAATGGAAGTGCTGCGCCATCTGCGCCATTGTCTGCCAATCGGACCTGCTACACCAGGCTGCGCATAAATGGCTATTTTCATTATAATTGTCTATTGGAAGTGCAAAACGCCAAATCTAGCGGATTATACATCCTTTTTATAAATATGCCACCTGACGGTGAGCTTCTCGTCAGTTTTGCTTCGCAAAGGAGCGTGGGATAGCTAGAGCCATCATGAGGGCATGGAAAGCAAGCCGTCAAATGCGCGAGTGTTGTGATGTTTGTGTTGGAGGCTTGTTCTCCGTATCATCTGCTGCAATCGCACCACTTTCTAGCTTGAACGAGCTCCTAGTACTATACGATAAGCTTTCTGAGCTGCTTCTGCTGCACAATGAGCAATATTCTGTACCCTTCAACTGGTTGCACGAGCAGTTTGGCTTGTTATCACTGGCAATTCATGGATCGTCAACGGAGCTACACTGAGTGTTTGCTACACCAAGGACGCAGCAGAATTGATATCCAGTGGAGTTCGATCACCATGTAATTTGGTTAATTCGTAGGGTTCTCAATGCTGTTATCGCAGTGGTTTCCCTGCAGAAGTGATGGCACCAGCGTGAGTAATTGTTAATTATCTAGTAATACAGTGAAACTTCGATGATTTGTACCAGCCGAAAACGCGACACGATCGTGCACTAAATGGCAGTGTGCGTTTACAAGTGCAAATGTGCATCTCCTGGCTTGCACCATTGCCACCAATAAATTAATACACTACCACAGCAGACGTCGCCCAAAGTACCTACACGAAAATATTTTTTCTTTTTTGCCAGAGTATGGGGCTGGCACTCTCACACGATTGTCTTATCACGCGCAGTGGCAACGCCAAAAAGCATTTTCGAACTATTACATGGTCTGAAATACACAGCGACTGAAATTGCGACAAAACGACACTATCAACTTTTCGTGATGCACACGTGTGCTTCTATACTGCGATATCATACTAAGCGACAACTGACAATTTCATTCAAACATGGAGCGGTTTCATGGACTTGGATCATCTTCTGGTTAGTTGCGTGCAGAGCGGCACCTATGCTGCCTACACTGTCGGTGCCAGGCAGCTCGCTGTACCATGCACACGGATTTGCTCTATGAATTGCTCATCCCCACTTCGATGCCCAGCCATCTTGATCTGGTGTCTGCGTCCATACTTGTGTACATTGTCCATCAAAAAGCAAATATTAATCATATCTGAGGTGCAATATCAAAATTTCAATATTTGGTGCTGTATTTCTTAATACTAGCGATTGTGTAGATACGTAATTCTAAATACCATAGTGTTTATTACGCTGCGCTGACAATGTGATGCTATGCACGCAAAGGCGGGTGTTTCCTACGCTTTGCTGAGACTGATACAGGTGCTGCCACCTACCCACGGCTGTGCGTTCTGTTGATGCTTTCAGTTTTCCAAGGTTACTGCCAGGTGGCACTCATATCTCACGCAGCACCTCTAGTATCCCATTCACTGATATTCTCGCGCAGAACATCAAATAAACATTTTATTTTCTCCCTCCACACGGAAGACTATCGTCTTCCGGTGACATTTGCAGTCAAACACACAGATATGCGGCCAATTTTCTTCTAATTGCCTCATCGTATTGATTCAGCCGCAAGACCAGTACCTGAAGTAACGGTTGTACAATGGTTTGTGGTGTGTGTCCACCACTTTTTTCAGGGAGGTGGGGCAAGCAGGCAATCTGACGCATGGCAGGTGGGCCTTCACTTTGAAGAGCGGCCACGATCCTGTCTAGATGCTGCTGGCACGCTGCCATCAGCCATGGTAAGTAGCACGCATGTTGTTTTTGCAGGCTGTCCTGGTTGGTCTCTTTTTTTTTTTTATCTCTGTGATCCTGCCAGACTTTTAATTCTTTGTGGCACATGCAGGACGGGTAATTTCTTCTTTGTGTGCAGGAATCGGAACATTGAATGTGTGGTATTAGTAGTCCCTTTTTGTACTAGTAACTAACAAGTACAGCAAAGCCTGCACATATTGAACTCTGGAAAAAAATGCACATGAGTTCGGTATGTCAAATAATTCAGTATACAACTTTTAAGGGGGCAGACTGCTCTTCGGCATTTTTTGTTTATTTCTCCTGTGATCTTGATCAAACTGCACAGAATTATGCAGTTTTTTCTGCTGATTTGAAATGTTTAATTAGTTTTTCTGTAACTCATCTTATTCCTAAGATAACTTAAGTTGACTACCTATTGTTTAAGGCCACCATAGAGAAAAAGTGCTTAATTAAATGTGATATTTAAGATATCCTAACATAGACTAATGACTATAGATTGAATAATGCAAGAGTTTTTTTGTTTTTAAGCCTTTCCTAATATTTCACAGCAAAATGAACTATCCATATTCAAAAGCAGTTGGAATTGTGTTAAAATTTTGATAAATAATTAATTAAAAGGCTTGTTCTCTAAATTCTGCTCCCATAATTGCACCCTACACACATACAGGTTTCCACCGCAAAAATAATTATTGTTGTACCTGTCCCAGTTGCAGAGATATTCAGGCCTCAAAATTGAACAGTTGTAAATTTTAATTTTTTAGAAAAATGAAAAAAACTGAAAACACACAGCTTCTTCAAAAAGCAACAATCATGGTGTGCATCTTTTGCAATCCTCATAAAAGTGCTCATAAATTCGTAGCAGAGCTTCTAACAGAGGCGCCGACAAATTATAAAAAGGCCTCGAAGTTGGTTCCCCCTTTTCTTTTGCAGGTTCTGCATGTTGACAGCACCAAGACTCTGGACAGTTAGAATGACGTTACAAAAAAATTATCACTTCCTGGTGTGTAAAAATTTGCAGAGAGATAGCAAAATACTTGTAGATACCAAATATGTCAATTTTAAAAAATCATTTTTTTTTTTTGTCACTTTTTGGTCCCAAAGAGCAGTCTGCCCCCTTAATGAAATTATTACATTTTCAGGCAAATCTTAGTGTGCAAGTTGGCTTCTCAGCACTGCTTAGCATTAAGATGATAAACACACCTTCATGGCAACATGCAATTGCTTTTTTTTTTTTCGTGGTTTTCGTGGAATGCAGGGTAGTATACCGGGGTGGGTTACACATGACTAAGTATGGTGTAGGTGTCAATAGAACTTCAAAATCTTCATACATACTCGTTGGGCGCTGGAAGCACATACTCTGCCTTGGCCTAATGTAGGCCTTGTTTTTCAGTGTCATACGCCGTTCACTTCTTGCGATGATGTTTGCATGGCGACTTCATACTTCTTTTCTCTACCTTTGGCTGTGCCGATTATTGCCAACTTTGCGGCGAACAGCAACTTTTTTTAGATTTATGGCACCCATTGTGGTAACAAAATGGGCAGAAAAGCAAATGACCCCGCATGACAGACTGGCAGTTGATGACAAGGAAGCAGTGCGTAAAGCAAATATTGGCAAGCGGCAGTTTGTACTCAATCTTTGCAGCGCCCTGCTGATTCGACTGCTCACTTTCCAAAATGCTTGTGGAAAGTTACCTTCTGAGAAGAAAAGTCGAAAGTTTGGTTGGGATGGCCAACTTCGTGGTATGCTTCGGGCTGCCCAGTCTTCTATATGTGATGTCTTCTGCCTGGCTTTGTTAAATGTCGCCACAGATTCTATGCATTGAAAGTAAAGCATTGTCGCATTCAAAAAGTGTTTGATATAAAGGGTATTTGTTTTATCCAAGTTTGATGCAGATGGGTTCGACTGTTACTGGTATTGGAAGAGAAGGGATGGTTGAGAAAGAAGGGGAAGAAAATGCTTTTGCTAAAGATTGTTGTGCACTAAACAATGAAATTTTTTTCAATGCTCCCAGTCAATCAAGTCACTCGTGAACTTCTAATAGCAACACAGTAAAGTTCGTCAGTGCGTGTCATGACCCTGAGCGGTTTCTTTTTTTTTTTTTTTTAACACGTGGCTTACTTTCAGTGTGAGTGCGAGTGCGCACATGCGCATGTGACAGCATTCTGAAGCAGCTACAGTCACTATGCAGCTCGTGATGTGCAAATCAGCCAATGGCCTTGTACTTCAGGTTTATGACACCATTTGTCACGTGAAGGAAAAGCAATGTTTAACTCAACTTGCAAAGTAATTTTAATTTCTATGCCATTTGGTGTGTGTTTTTAGGATGCGCGACTACTGATCGGCAGCAGTTCTCGACCATGCCTGAAATGTGTCTAATGGTCTTGATATTGGCAGTTATGTTTTCCAGTTTCTGGTGGCCACTGCTGCTATGAAAGTTTGGTAAGGGAAAATTCAGATGAAAATTTTTAATCTTGTATTTGTAGTAATCGGCCCATTTCATTTCTTCAGACTGCCCTAATTTAGTATGTCTTTTTGTGGGAATTTTTCGTTTACTTGGTTTATAAACTGAGGATGATGCGACGTACATGCTTCACCGATTAGGAGCCAAACATACATTTGTTTTCCGGTTGGTGACTCCTTGCATCAAGTGGATGTGCGAACAGAGAGTGAAAAGTATTGGCACGAATGTGCCCCTCTGTGGGAGCATATAGTGTACCCAGACCTGTTACGAACTGTCTGTGTTGCTAGATTGAGGACCACTGAGTTGGTGTTTCAGTGTGTCGTCGTTTTGATTGTTCAAGTAATGTCATGTGATCATTTACTTTCAGTCCTGACGTCAGTCCCAGTCAGCGCGAAGAAAGCTGCGTGCTGCGGATGCACAGGTATGACGCTAAAATTATTGGCGCATCTTTTCGCGCATAATAATTTTAAAAGGATTAGGGGCCTATATTCGAATTTCTTTTACATAAGAGCATTTCTGCATTGACTGGCATTCAGACACCGGTTACTCATGGTATTTATAAATGACAATAGGGCTGCCATCTAGCCACTAACCACTCAGAGATGGTACTCTTATGATAGAGCTATTGTAAGTACCGTATGCCCTCAGACGGGCCTGTAGCCAGGGGGGCTTGAAATTCGTATGGAGGAGTGTGTTTTACCAAAAACATTAATAAAAAATAGGTGTTTTCAGGACCTCCAGCAAGTGTTTGCCCCCCTCCCTCTGCAAAAAAATATATATATATTCCTGACCGCAGGTCCTGCCCTCAGAACTTTCTTCCTACCATTACCATCTTTTATGCTAAAATTATAGGTCAGTATCTTGGTTTAGTGATGAAGCAATCTGTTGTCCGTTGCAACTTGATGCAGCACAGATTTTATATTATTTTAATTTTTGCTTCGTTGATGCTTCTTCTCAAAGTAGTGAATGTTAACTATATGCTCAGGAAAAGTACATGTGGTGCAGCAAGATGGCAGGGGAAAAAATTCCTGCGATTGTACTGCACCACAGAGTAGACAGCTGTAATGATAAGATACGGAATTTGATGGGCAGTTGACCTCGTTGGAGCTTGCTCTTCATGCCACCATGGCATCACCGTGTCCTAGTTCCGTGTGAAACTTGGCCTCCATTCTTGCAGCATTTGACATCTCCGTAGTGCCATCGGGAAAAAGGAAAAAAAAGAGAGAGTAGCTTCGTCGCCGGAACAAAGCTTTGTGACTTTCAACTGCACCAGTGCATACTGTACGTACCTCTACCTTGGAGCAGAGAGGCACTTCAAGGGAGGCTCTCCAGACATCATTTATCATCTGAAACCAAAGTCTCAAGCGCATGCGTGCAGTGTGGGTGGCATTATCGCTCCTTTTTCCGCGCCTGATCCTGTGAAAGATCCTGCCTTGGTCACGCTGTTGCTCATGGTGCCACTAGTGCAGCACAAAGTGGCTGCGACGTAACAAGAAGGTACGGTGATTTGATGTGATGTAACATAGTACGTGCAGTCAGTGTTGGAAGTTTTACGGCCGGTGGTGTCTGAGATAATATCAGATTTTCAAGTAGCTAGCGAGCGGTTTTAGCCAGTAAATTTGGTACCGATGCATGTTTTTTGCGTGCACTAGTGCAAGTTTTCTTCAGCCAAACACTAGGCTGTAGAAGTGTTCTGGTTTTACTCGGATCCAATGGTCTGTAAGCTTCTCATGCCATTTGCACAAACCTACAAACCCACTGCAAAAGCTTTTTGAAGCACGATAGTCAAAGTTTGTGATGACTTTGCTATTTAGGTTCAAATTCAAGGAACATTGTGGCTCAATGACGTAGAATCCATGATTCTTATTTGGATATGCCAGCTTCAGCAAAATAGAATTTTTCTTTGAAAGCTTTTGCAGTTGGGTATAACAATACATTGTTATATGAATCGGTGTGGCACACAAGCTGCTGCAGCGTGGTCCCGGTACGTTTTTGCGGAGATTATGAGTGGGTGAATGCTTTCATTTTTTTTAGCTGAAATGTGCAATCGCTTTTATTTTGCAAAACTAGTTTCGCTGGGCTGTACTGGCTTCCCTCGGTTTGTGATGAGAGCTGACCATTACGCGATGTGCCCCGTAGCGTCGACATAGGACGAAACGTGCAAGTTTCCGAGCAGCACTCTTTTTTTAACTAGTCAAGACTTCCCGAGTGTGCCGGAACATGGCCATTGTCGCTTTGCTCTATGTGTTTTTTACTTGGCAAGCCATGCTGACAAAGTTAGGCTGTTTTACGTGTGGAATATATTCACAATGTCAGTTCAAGGTGCCATATTGCACAGTTTTGTTCGAAATAAGACCTCCAGTAATATAATGTTCCTTCTATTACCTTTTAACTTGATTACCTTTTGATTACCTTTAACTGATTACTTTTAACTGATTACCTAAGATTACCTTTTAACTCTGCACCAATATTTTTTGTATAAGGCAGTACCTTTGCATTTCATAGCAGTTGCATGCTGTATAATGTCTATTTTGCCGCCCTGTCAAGTAACACTCACTGCTTTGAAATGCAGAAACATATTTCAAAGGGTGGACTAACTTTGACAGCGTGGCCTGACATGTATTGAATGGGGAAACAACTGCATGGTGCTGTTTCTGTCTTTTTCATTATTATTGTTACTGTGAATTATGCTACTACTTTTACTATTACCTTTAATCATTGATGCATGTCTTGTGTTGGGCTGCACCCGTGTTTCTAGCAGCCACTTTTATTTACGATATTTTTTACTTTATGTGATCCAATTTAGTGTGTGGCACGTTTTATATTGCCAGTGTCCTGCACTTCAGTGAAAGCTTTAAGGCACGCCGGATGAACACTAACAAGGGTAACAAGAATAAGCTGCCCACCTCGCAAAACCAATGGCTGGTTCTAATGCCCACCGATAATCTTCGATGATCGTTCCAGTCAAACCCTCTTGTAGGAAAGCAATTGTACACTATTCAACAGATGAGAGGTGTAGGTAATTGTCATACTTGATGTACTGGTGCGAGCCTTAGTTTTTCGTTGAACTGCCTGGAACTGGCATGACGGAGTTGCTGTTTACTGAGCGAGAGACACTTCTGAAGATTGTGAGTGGTTTGTTTTTGTGTCATAACGTTTATTTCCTCTTGTTCTAAACTTTTCTTAATGCTTGTTATGCATATCCAAATGTTTTACCATGTGTTTGTATTGGATAGAGTAGGAATGACAACAAGCTTGTTGGTTCAAATTCAGGTGAACTGCGCAGCAGTAAGAGAACAGTGGATGCAGTGCTGACAATATGTGTACAAGTGATTGTGTCAGAGTTGCTGTGATTTGTGTTGAACAAATTTCTCTGTGCACTATACGTGTACATGTGCATATATTTTGCTCAGTAATTCCCTGCGCTACAACTAGGTTCTTTTGTTTTCCTGCCTGTTCACTGCGTTTAGTTTTCAGACTATGCACTTCACTATAAATCCACAGCTTCTATTAGGCTGCCTTTCTTGATGCCCAAGTGACTATGCACGATAATTACATTTGAGACATGACATACACCATTTTCTTTTAACTAATGAATGACGTTTTTAATTAACATTTTTAACATTAATATTCTTTGTGATCATGGTTTGAAAGTACTTGCTGGTCGACAGAATGAAGTTTACTACAGCTAACAAAAGAGAGCATAAAATGTAGCAACCTTATTACACACCTCTAGTTTATGTGGCACCCTACATGTTATGGGGAATCACTGCTGAGCAAGCCATTTTGACATTTCTGAAAATAGGCAAAACTTTTCAATTGTAAAGCATTGTGACTCTATGCATTTTACTTGGTACTACATAGCTAGCTAGAAGCAAAACAGAACATGCAGTTTCACTTGAGAATAACAGCTAAAGCGATATTGCAGGTAGTATGATTCTCATTGCTTCAGAGGGTACTGAATGCAGTCGATGTTTGTATTGGGGCACACAGATAATTCCAGCATTAGTGCCATTCAGAAGCACGGGTAGCAACCTGCCTGTCAGATAGCGCTGTACTCTCTTCAACATGTTGAGGCTGGCTTGTTGACACGGTCGATTGGCCGCCTCCAGTTGTCTCGTGTATGTAGAGGTACCGTAAAAACCCGCGTATAGTTCGGACCCGCGTATAGTTTGAGGTGTAACTCTGGGATAGCAAACGCGAGAAAAAACATTTTCACGTGAATATTTTTCGAGGAAAACAGAAAAAATGCATTTATTTGCCTGCAGCAGCTCGATGTGCACAGCGAGTTGTGCAGCTCGTTGCTCCCGAACAAAGTCCGTCAGTTCTCGTTCCACGTCTGGAAATGCTCCATTTTTCGGTCCCCGGAAACTTTTTCTCTTGCCGCAGCATGCAAAAAGGGCTTCCTTCTGCTTCCGCCAACCCCGAATGCTCCGCTCATTCACGCCGAACTGCCACTCCACGGCACAGTTGCCGATGGTTTCGGCAGCAGAAATAACTTTCTTCTTAAAGGCAGCCGAGTACTGCCTGCGGGGTCCCGACATGGCTTAAAATCACGGAAGTAAAATCGTGGCCGTCGTGATGTGCGCCAAGTGATTGCAATGGCCACTGTTGCTCGCCTGATGCACGCCTGTACCTGTAGGTCTCTAGGACTAACGCCGCTCACGCTATCACGCCACCTAACGTAGAAGTGCGCAGACACCTGATAATGATGATAGCACCAACCAATGCCGAAACCAAAACTGAATTCGGGCCGAAATTTTTTTGGGATCCGCATATAGTACGGGGCTGAAATTTCGCACCCTAAATTTTAGAAAAAACCCCGGATTATACGCGGGTTTTTACGGTATGCAGTATGGGAAGCTAACAACTACAGTATGTGTCATGAGGCTTGCTCTCCAACCTGTCCATCTCCTCGCCCGTAGCTGTGTGCGAATCCTGCAGCTGTACAATATTTCTGCACCTCTGGAAAACACAATTTTCAATTCTTGCTCACTGTTCTAATTTTTGCTTTTGTTGAGTTTGTGGGATCTCGTGTCTTGTTTACGTTTCTCGAGGAAAGCTTTAACTTGGACTAGTCGGCACTACATACTGATGTAGTTGCGCTGAGTGAAAGGCTTAAAGGAATAAGAACTAGGAGCACATATATTTGTCACCCGTCATGGTGGTCTAGTAGTTATGGTGCTCAGCTGCTGAACCGAAGGTTGCGGGATTAAATCCTGGTCGCCGTGGCTACATTGCCGATAGAGGGAAAATACTTGGATTTAGGTGCGCTGTAAACAACCCCAGTGGTCAAAATTTTTTAGATCCATCACTACAGCATCCCTCGTAATCAGGGGATGTTGAGACGTTAAAGCACCTACAATTTTTTGCACATACTTGGCCTTTTCTCATTGTCCTTATTACTCTATGCCTCCCACTCAGCACAACTACATTAGGATGTGTTATCTTGAGCACCAGAGCGTAATTTATAATGGCTGATTTGTGAGGATGGCTCTTATAGGCACTTTCATTTTGTTGCTATTCTCGTTGCACAGATGATAATATTTAGAGCTTGCTTAACAAACGGTCCCTGGAAAGGTCGAATGCTAGCATGCACAGAAAAGTAGTGTGACCCTTAAAAGGAAGCCCATAAGTGTTGCTACATCGTCACCCAGGGCAGGAAATGAGATTTTGTCACCTCTTCTCGTGTTAGTAGCACCCAGTTTTCTGAAATAGTGATCCCATGTTTTCCGCACTACGCAGGCCTTACCTAGAGAGCATCTGTTACTTTTGTTTGTTATTAAACAGGATTGGCTTGTAACCTCAAATTTATATTTTCATTTTGGCATACCAATTGGGGCATCTCTATGACTGCGGTGTTTCCTTGATGTCCAAAAAGTCACAAGTTCAATCGATGTCTATGCCAGCAACATAGTGATGACCACACTTTTTAAAAAGAAAAAAAACTTTCATGCTACATGTTTTAGGCAAACATTGAAAAACCCCACGAATTGAAAGTTATGCATTACCCAATCATTAGGCATCTCAACTTAGGCTCTATGTTACTTTAGATGCATTTATTATATCAATTAATCTCAACAATGCCTAGCCATCACACCTTGCTGCATTTTGTATATTCGGTATCTGCTGATGCAATTATAAAATTACTGTTTAGCAGTTATGCACATTACTTTATCTGTTCAACTCTATTCTTTCATTGAGCCATTATCTATACAGTACACCTGCTAATTTTGTGGCTTCTGAAGAGTGTGGCACATGGTTTGCAAAAAGGTAACCTAGAGATTCTATATGGAACAGCATGCCTCAAAATCATTTCAATATTCTGGCATATAAATCCTTAGAGTTGGAAATCCACCCTCATCATATTATTGTACAACTTTTAAGGCGATCTCTGACATCACTCTCTATAAGTAGCACTACTTTTATCCTTATTGTCAACGAGAGCACCTCTCGGAGCGAGTGCTACATTTTAATACATAGTGATGATAAAGTCTCGCAGATACATAATGATCGCAGGAAGCACTTCAACAGTGAAATCCTGTAATATTGGCTAAACTGGTTTTGCTTGTTTTCTTTTCGTTTCGATCTTTAAGTGTAACGTGGATAACCACTTTGCTATCAGTGGTTGCGTGCAATTTAAAGATGGTACTGCTTGAAGACTTTTCAAAAAAGGTAAAAGTTTCACGCATTATTCTCGCACCAAGTTTTTTGGGAGTATAAGACTACATTTTATTTCAAGTTTGCTTAACGTCAAAAAACAGTCTGCCAGTTGGAGATGCTGGTTTGTGGCTTATGCTATGGTTGCCAGTGGCCACTATGTATGATATAGCTGGAACATTCTAATTTGCTTTAATAGAGGGTTCAGGTGGGGGGGGGGGGGGGGAGTGAGATGAATGCAGTGCCAACAAAAATATTTGTTAAGGAAGGCCTCTACTCTAGACAAGTTGAATTTTCTCAAAATTTATTGTCAACCTCACCAACATCATGATACACCACTGCAGAGGGTGAGTGTAACAAGTACAGGAAGACACTGCTTCAACATGTGCTGCACAACATGCAGAGTGTGTTGGCATTACTAGAGTTGTGGCTTGGTGGCGTCATAACCGAAAAATCGTGTTTTTGAGCCTCTACTGTCTGCCGCAGTCACATTGGCAACCTCCATGAACACAAGGCGCATGTGAATCTACATTCGTAATGTGCGCTGTGTTGGCACTGCCTAAAGACAGCTCATTCGAAAGGCATATGTGTTTCATTGAAAGCGATGGCAAGTCATGTTCAAGTCAAAGAGTGTTTTGGAATACAGCGGTTAGTGTCCTTTTCGTGCACCACTGCTTGACAATGACCTACCAACTCAGCTAGCAGTCCTTGGTTGCACCAAATGTATGGGTGTGCTTTTGTAAAACAATAAACAAGGCTACATGGTTCACTCATAGTAAGCATTAGGGTTTGGCAGCCCATATTTGCTATGAATTTTTTAAGCACACAGGATGTAACATTATTGCAGTAGCTAATATGAATTTTTTCTTAAGTTTAAAATTTTAATATTAAAATTAGCCTTGGCATTTCTTTATAGACTTTATGTATACCTGTGCAGTGACCTAACTAAAGTTTTTGCGTATGAGTAGCAGTGCACAAATTTTAGTCAGTAGCTTACAATAAGACACCTGCAGGTTGTATCTCTTCAAAGTTGCAAAATGGAAGGAAGTAGGCTAACCTTGGGTAGTCCATATTCATTAAAGCCACTGCTGTAGTGTAGAGTTCACAGAGCTTCACTTGCGGTGTTTGACTGCTGGCCCAAAGGTAGCAGCATCGAATCCCAGCAGGGGCAGCCACATTTCGATGAAGGCGGAAACTCTGAAGGCCCAAGTGCCTAGATTTAGGTTGACATTCAAGAGGTCCAGGTCACCGAAATTTCTGGAGTCCTTCACTACCGCATCGTAATTATGTCATAGTTTGGGGACGTAAAACCCCAACAACACACTGAGCGAGCTATCAATTTTACAAAGCGAGCCACTCGCTCGCTAGTTTCGTCCCTTCAGCGAAGCATGCGCAGCGAACCAACGTGCGGGCGTTCTCCAGGCGAAGCCTCTGCTCAATCCGCAGTAGCTTCAATCGTGTTCAACGGGTGGTGCAGCAATGAGTTCCGATGTCTCCGCTAAGACGATCGGAGCATTCGCTCAGCTATATTCTTGCACTCCGCTCCTCCGCTGCGACCACTGGCCCGCTTGGTCGCTTGGCTATTACTATAATAACTAAGCAGTGCAGTGAGCAAACATAGAAAATAGTCACTTTAAACACACAGTGGATCAAAGTGAAGTCTCATAATGTAATAAGTTAATAACTGCTAATTTATGTCAGGGAATTTTTCTAAACATTTGATCAGTGTTGACACAGACATGAGCTAAAGAACAACAAACAGCTTTGCTATTCAGAACTCTGTAATGCATCGCACATTGTAGCACTGATTGTACTCTTGTGTGACTGCTTGAATCACTATTTTGCAAGTTGCCTAAAAATAATTTTTTTTTTTAATTTCTCAATAGATAGCACTGTGCTCCTTTGAACAAGTGCATTTGTGTACTAACCATGAGTGTTGCAGATGCTGAAAAATTACACTTGACAAAAATGAAATTATTTTATAATTTTATTGATGCCTTCTGACTATGGTGCATTTCTTCTGCTGAATTTATCTTGATTACTTCATCTGGTCTGATGTCTGGACTTTTAAAGTGTCTCACATCTGTTCAGTGGTATGATATAACTGAACTATTCTGAAGCACTCTCAAGGGCTACATGTTCACACCTCAACATATGTACATCTTACTATGGGTCATTTATTATAAGCATTGCACTTCTACTGCATTGGGTGTTTTGTTTCTGTTGTTTTTAAGGATGTTTTTTTATTGAATGCTCGTGCAGTTCCTACATGAGACTACAGTCATAGCATCAATATTTGTGACTAGCTCTGACAAGCAAAAGGGTGTAGAGGTATTGTGACTTTACTTCCCCTTTTGTTTAATTCGGTTATGTGAACACTGTACAGACTAGCACTTGGAAACTAGCAATAACAAGTCTTATATGGGCATGAATGCATTACAGTAGGTTAAAGCGAATTCCTTGCATTTATAAATAGAAAGAAAATAGTATTGCTGAGTGCTTGAAAACCAGGAAAAGATTTTTTTTATGTATGTGTCTTGTCTTGTATTGTTATGCTATAAAACCGGTTAGTGACAATTTTAATGCAGCCCAAATGGTTGTATTGTAGATATCTGTGTTCTTGGCTGTTTTCAGTCGATGGTGAAATAATGTATGAGGTTGTGTGATTGAATTGCTGAATGTCTGTTGGGAATGTCCAGAGTGGTGAAACATATTGGTGCTTCTTTGTACGTTGCTTGGTAGACTGGCCGTTCGTTGCACTAAATCTTGAATACTTTTTACACCTATCTATTTGCTGTGTGCGTTGAACTTGCACGGTGCTTTAGCAGCGCCCTGTTGCACCATGACAGTGCGATTTTTCCGGCTTGGAAAACAAGCTCTGAGACACGTAGACACGATGAGAAGCAGCCTTTACCAGCACGTAGGCTTTTGGTACGACAAAAACACAGTAATGGAGTGCATTCCCTGATATATCAGCAGAGTCGTAATGTGGCCCTCCCAGTGCAATATAGGTGAAGAAAGAAAGTGTATGTACGAGACATTTCTCACGCAGCATGAGAAACCCCATTTGAGCGGAAACAAAGTGTCCTTGAACATGGACACTAGAATTGCTACAGACTGCACAGCTTTCCCATTGTGACACTTTCCAAGTTATCAAGTTCGATTGCTTGTATTTGTGCTTTAAATTGCAGTAGCATAACAAAATTTTAGGAAGTCAATAGTATCAATCGGAGATTATTTGATCCTATATGTCAGGAGTCTCAAACACATGACACACGGGCCGCGTGCGGCTCATGTGACTGCCTTCGTCCCACACTTTTCTTTATTTCAGAATCGGCGTCCAGATTTTACTTACTTTGGATATCTGTATCCGCATGTTGTAAATGAAATCTGGGCGCCAACTCTTTTTCATAAATGATTTTGACCCTTATATGAGGTTATGGGTTTTCTTTTCAATGGTAACATTAGCCATCTTAGTAGGGTCACAATGAACTGTCCGTGTTTGGCGAAGGAAACTGAGCATTTCCGTCGCATGGGCTGTCGAGTATATTGTGGGTACTTTTTCGCGTTGCATACTGCTCTAAATGTGTTGCCTTTGACGGGAGAAACAATCTTTTACTTTTAAATTAACGTATCATTCGCACTAACAGATCAAAGCCACTTGGTCTTTAAGCTGGCCACACCAGAAAAGAGCACGTTTCTGAGATCTTCATCTTTGTGGGGCAAAAGCTGGCTTCATTTATGCTGGCAAGGCATTGCGAGAGCTTCCGCTAGAGTGTACTACAAGTGTTGAGTGGCGTGACCGCGCCTCGCCGCCTGATCCCTTCCGCATTGCCCGCAGCGGTGGCGCTGCAGTCGAATAGTACTAAAAGAGCCATGCGCCGCGTGCAGGAACTGCTAGGCGCTTCAGCTCCTCCATCGCACTTTCTTGATGCAGATTTCTTCATGCCTGCCCATCATTCATGTCTGGCACATGATGTCATAGCCCTTGAAGTATGACATGCCAATCTACTGAATTTGAGCTCCATAAAAGCTCTTGTGAGAGATTGAACACAATTCAGAAAGGGCGTCACTTATACTGATTTCTTCTGTCTTAACTCTTTCTTTGTTGGTTAGGCATCTACAATAATCAGAATAACTGAGCCGATTTATCGGAAGTTAGCTGTGCTCAGAAAGCTGTGAAATGAAAAAAAAAGATACCGTGTCAAACACACACAGAACCAGGAGTTCGTAAGTAGAGAAGGGAGAGGAAGAAAACATGAACCACGTGCACAATGAAATAAATAACTTTTGAGGGTATATTAAAATATTTACATGCATTCACAGCGACCACCAATTGCGGAAGTTAGTAATTCTGCTGCCCCGCCCTCCTCAAAAAAAAAAAAATCTGGGTAGCCTTGCGCCGAACGTTTACAGTTGGCGAAGCTGAATATAGCATGTCGCTGTACAAATGCACACTGTAAATTTTACCTTTTTGACAGTATGATGTCGTAAAACTTGTTCAAGTCTAACGTAGTCGGACGAGAAATGCACTGCCTAAAAATAGTAGCTGTGCATTGAATGGATATTGTTAATGGGGCGGTGACGTGCGACTTATATATATAGTGCGGGTGTGTATGTGTTTACTGTGTACATCTACTAGTTAAATTTCTCAAAACAAGATGCACCACTGCCTGCCTACACTTTTGACCCCTAATAATCGAACTATGCTTATAATACGAAACAGTGTCATAAATTTGCTGGCTTCAAATGGCGTTGCGCCAATAGAATATTTGGAAAGCAGCACAATTTAAACTGTCGATACAAAATGAGAACTGGTTACAATGAATTTACGCAGATTAACAGATGGGCTATATACAAAATTGGCACTTTTTAATATGCTTGTGTGTTGTTTTTAATATGTTTATTATGTAACAGGCATTTCAGAAAGCAATAATTATTGTCTTCCAGTTTTTAAATGCATGTAAAAAAATTCCTATTTGGCCTCATTATTAACGCATCAGAATTGAAGTAAGGGTTCAGAATACAGCAGTCGATGATCACCAGTGCCGAACGAGGCATTGCTACGAGCCTCGGGCGTGCCAGAAATTCCAAGTAGCAGTCGCCTGCTCCTCTTCGTGCCTTTCTTTATCCCCAGCGTTGATCGCTACATCACCACGCGCATCTAGTCATGTAAGTGGTATAGGTTGTATAAGTGGTATAAGTGCCGCCATAGTCCTTCTTGGGCTGGTAGCGTGAATCCCGAAAATGCATTGCCGGAGCTTTGACTTCGGCCTTTGTACTAGAGTATTTGCACTCCCGCGGGCAGCAGCCTATCGTGGCGGCGTTTTTTTTTTTTTCTCTTGGGAAAAGTTGTATAAAGGCACCTGGCAACAGGGGTAGGCAGAATTTTTTTTTTGGGGGGGGTGGGGGGCACTTTGAAGTAGCCTAGTGGCGTCAGGGCAGGCAGAGGTGGTCGAGTGTCATTTCGTGCCCTATATATGTCATGGAAAAATTTTTTTTCGGGAGGGGGGGGGGGGGGGGGGGCACGGCGTTGGTGTGCCATGTCGACCCGCCTGAGCTGCCTGTGGCGATCATTTTCCGACTCCCGGCCAGCCCTACTGAGAAGAAGTGCTGCTGCAACCTGATCTAGCCGGGGTCTCTGTGGCTTTGCTGCACGACAAGCTCACTGTCATGTATACGAGCTAGTCGCGTGCACCTGTCTCTCTACTGGCTTCCCACTGCCAGGGCAGCACACTACGGTGACACCCTGGTGACCTCGGCAGCGCCCACAGCAGCTGCTCCTCACCATTCACCCAGACAAGCGGCAAAGTATATCAACACCCCTCCCGAAGTCTGGCCTAGAGAAGAGGCAGTGGTTGCTCCTTCTCCGTCTGTGAACGGGTAGTGCCCGGCCGCTGCTCATCACCAGCGTGCAGCAGATGCGGCGATGCCAAAACGCTCGAGCACATTATTTGCTCCACGCAGACTGTTAAGCCGCAACGGACATCTTGGGCTTCCAGCGACATCCCTGGATGACATTTCCTGGAGTTTGCGGGACCCGCTAATCTTCGTGATATTTAATCGGAATGAGTCTCCTCCTGCCCGTACCAGAGCGGGTGGCCTCCTGTCCTACTCATCTAACTCTTCTCCTCATCTCTCCCTAGACCCTTTAAGCCCACCTTACATTTCCTGCAAGGCGTTTATCCTTTTGCGCAATAAGGGAGACAGAAACAATCGCCTTCTCGTTCCTCTCCTCTAATGGCCACTTATATTCTGTAAGGTGTTGCCACAGAACACCTGCGTTGCCAGGAGAAGGGGCGAGCAAACAAACGAAGTGTAGCGAAGGATTGTGAAACGAGCGAGAGGCGTTCTTAGATCATCAAACGCGTGTAACTCTGCTATTACGGCACCATTTCTTTTTTATTTTATTTTTATTTTTTGCGGCGATCTTTTTTTTTTTTTTGCGAACTCGTGCACGACTGCAGAACTGAAATGGAAGTTTTTCAACTGCTGGATGGTTAAGGGCCGTTTAACTCGACATGAAATCGAGCTTCTGTTATTGCGATTTTCTCGCACTCTCCATATTTACGCTTTTGGTTGTTCTTTTTTTCGCACCAATATATATTTGCCAAACGCGTAACCATCGTTAAATGCTTGCAATTAAAGAATAATAAATTCAAGAGATTTTAATCGGCTGCGTTATATTGATGTGGACTTGATGCGTTATATTGATTTGCCTTCAACACAACCCTGGAAGAAGTTTTCTTCAAAAATACTTGTTATTAAAATGTGGTATAACTAATCTCCTCAAAATTGTTCCGATCAGGTTAGAACGGCAGTTTGGAATACGCGCTCAACAGCATAATAAATGCGAAACATTTCTTAGCGAACTTCGGCGACTTTGAGCGTATATATATATATATATATATATTATGACGACTCGGTTGTAACAAGGTTCACACGATAGTTGACAGGTGAAGTCTGCTCTAAAACAACATATGGGCCGATGAATCGAGGCTGGAACTTGTCGCAGAGACCAGGTGTGCGAATTGGTGTCAATAGCAGCACCTCGTCACCCGGTCGGAATGATACCACACGATGAGAGGTGTCGTAGACGGCCTTCCTTGCTTGTTGCGTAGCTTCCGTGTTCATACGAGTGCGCTGGCGGCACTGGGCAAGGCGAGAAATATATTCTTCGCAAGAAGATGGTGATGGAGGGCCATTGCTGGTGAAGAAGGAAACATCGATAAAGAAAGTAGGTGAACGTCCGTAAACGAGATAAAACGGTGAGTAGCCGGTTGTGCGCTGAACAGCGGTGTTGTAGGCGAAAGTGAGGAACGGTAGAAGTTTATCCCAGTTTCTGTGATCCGGTTGAATGTATACGGCGATCATGTCGGCAAGGGTTCGATGAAATCTCTCGGTAAGACCGTTTGTTTGAGTATGGTAGCTAGACGCCATCTTGTGTGTGGTACCAGAAACGCGAAGAACTTCACCTAAAAGCTGTGATAAGAACACCTTTCCACGGTCACTTAAAAGTACACGAGGAGCACCATGACGTAGTATTATGGCCTGAAGGACGAAGTCAGCAACTTCCGATGCTGAACCAGTAGCTACTGAAGTTGTCTCGGCGTAGCGTGTCATATGGTCTACGGCGGTGACTATCCATCTATTTCCAGCACCAGTAACAGGAAGGGGCCCATAAAGATCGACACTGACGACCTCGAAAGGTGTTGTAGGGCACGTCATTGGCTGTAACTGACCAGCCGGGGGACATGTCGGAAGTTTGCGAAGTTGGCACGGAGAG